GCACTTTTGGGACACTCCATCACTAAGCGATGCAGATGAGAAGCAACGTCACATGACCATGCTGATTTACAGTGGCAGTTCCAGCAATCCCAGTGGTGGTGGTGGTGTTATTAGGTAGCGGAAATTTTGAGTAGTTCAGAGAACTGGCAAATACCACCTCTGGCTGGCCCCAGAGTGGAGTGGGAATGGAGATTTTGCAATATCCGTCCCCTAGGAGTGGGGAGGGAATGGGGATTTTGCAATATCCTTCCCCTGGAGTGGGGAAGGAATGGGGATTTTGCAGTATCCTTTCCCTGGAGTGGGGAGGGAATGGAGATTTTGCAGTAGCCTCCCCTCTGGAGTGGGGAGGGAATGGAGATTTTGCAGTATCCTTTCCCTGGAGTGGGGAAGGAATGGGGGTTTTGCAGTATCCTTTCTCTGGAGTGGGGTGGAATGGGGAGTTTTGCTAATCTTGGGGAGGGAATGGAGATTTTGCAGTATCCTCCCCCCTGGAGTGGGGAGGGAATGGAGATTTTGCAGTATCCTTTCCCTGGAGTGGGGAAGGAATGGGGATTTTGCAGTATCCTTTCCCTGGAGTGGGGTGGGAATGGAGATTTTGCAATATCCTTCCCCTGGAGTGGGGAAGGAATGGGGATTTTGCAGTATCCTTTCCCTGGAGTGGGTGGGAATGGAGATTTTGCAGTATCCTCCCCCTGGAGTGGGGAGGGAATGGAGATTTTGTAGTATCCTTTCCCTGGAGTGGGGAAGGAATGGGGATTTTGCAGTATCCTTTCCCTGGAGTGGGGTGGGAATGGAGATTTTGCAGTATCCTCCCCCCTGGAGTGGGGAGGGAATGGAGATTTTGCAGTATCCTTTCCCTGGAGTGGGGAAGGAATGGGGATTTTGCAGTATCCTTTCCCTGGAGTGGGGAGGGAATGGGATTTTGCAATATCCTTCTCCTGGAGTGGGGAAGGAATGGGGATTTTGCAGTATCCTTTCCCTGGAGTGGGGTGGGAATGGAGATTTTGCAGTATCCTCCCCCCTGGAGTGGGGTTGGAATGGAGATTTTGCAGTATCCTTCCCCTGCCATGCCCACCAAGCCACGCCCACAGAACCGGTAGTAAAAAAATTTGAATTTCACCACTGGATTGACCCCTTCTTCTCTGTGCGGGATCAACCTATTCAACTTTAATAAACCTTCCTTTGAAGGTTTATTAAGACGGGTCTATGCTGTGATGACAAAGTCGTTTTTGGCCTCTGGCCTCTGCCTTCCCTCTCCCATCACCTGTCGAGGAGAATGGCACTTCCAGCCTTTCCAGTTTGATCACCATAATTGGTGACTCTTATGACCCAGGGAGCTTCTAATTTCCTTTTTGTATTTGCTAGTATGCTGCATGGGTGATTTGGAAATTGCCAAGCCAGTGTTTGTCAACCTTGGCCCCTTTAATATGTGTGGACTTCAACTCCCAGAATTTTCGCTGGGGAATTCTGGGAGTTGAAGTTCGCACATCTTAAAGGGGCCAAGGTTGAGAAATACTGGCCTAGGCACAGCTGTTCTTGAATTTTGATGCATAGAGCATTAGGAAACCGCACAATAATTTTTCTTTTGCTTATCCCTTTCTGTACTGACAAATGACATTTGGCAAAATCCAAATTAATCGTCTGGCTTGAGCCGTTTTCCTCTTCTTCCAAAAGGATTCTCAGTGACATTAAAACATACATTAAAAACCAGTCCCCAATTTTGCTTGCTTTTTCTCCCCACTGGCTATTGTTTTCTCTCTCTTTTTTTTTTTTTTTATATTGTGGTTGTTACAGATTTTTTGCAGGCAGATTTTTTTTTCGTAGAATCCTTAGAAAACTTTGGTGCCTTTCATAAGTGCTGAGTGAATCTCCTTCTCTTTGACAGCAGTGGATTTGGCCAGAGGCATTTAATTCACAGAGAATGCAATCTTGAAATTAAAAAAAAAAGAAAAAAAAAGATGCAAAGCGAATTCAGGGAGCCTGTTTTTGCTTCTAAGTTTCTTTCGAAAGGAATGTTTATTTCAAAATTACCCTAATTGTAATTTCTCAAACCACGGAACTTTTCACTTTTCATGCGGAATGCCTATGCTCCTGAAGATAAGTAGTCCTCGACTTACGACCGCAATTGAGCCCAACATGTATTGGTTATTGTTTAGTAAGACATTTGTTTAAGTGAGTTTTTCCCCATTTTACTTTCTTGCCACACTTTGTGAAGTGAATCCCAGCAGGCATTAAGCTAGTAATACTGTTGTTACTACTAATACTGTCCGGCTGCCCCATTGATTTTGCTGATCAAAAGGTCACAAAAGGTGATCCCACGACCCCGGGACACTGCAACCGTCATAAATATGAGTCAGTGTGCCAACTGTCTGAATCTTGGTCACGTGACCAAGGGGACGCTGCGAAGATCGTTAAGTGTAAAAAAACAGTCACATAAGTCACTTTTTTCCAGTGATGTAACTTTGAACAGCTGCTCAATGGACAGTTGTAAGTCAAGGACTTTTTAAAATTATTATTATTATTTTTAATTTGATTTATATGCCGCCCTTCTCCGGAGACTCAGGGTGGCTTACAATGCGTTAAGCAATAGCCTTCATACTTTTGTATATTTATACAAAGTCAGCTTATTGCCCCCACAAACTGGGTCCTCAATTTACCTACCTTAGAAAGGATGGAAGGCTGAGTCAACCTTGAGCCTGGCGAGATTCAAACCTGCAGTAATTGCAGGCAGCTGAATGTTAATAACAGGCTATTAGTCTGCTGCGCCACCAGGACTTCTTGCATTTCAAAAAGGAAAGGCTGCCTGAAAAGAGAGAAGCATAAGAGGTTCTTCCCTGACTTGTTCTGCTTTTCGTTTTGTTTTTCTTAGCCGGGCTTGTTTTCCAAGCCCTGTGAAGTTTTGGGCTGGTGCCTCTACAAACAACACCTCAATAGGTGTCACCAAAAAAACAACAATCAAAGTTGGGAATCTTGTCTCACTCCACCCCTCTCCGTTCCCTGGGAGTGAGAAGGAGTTGGGCGGAGGCCAGCTGGGTTAAGCCATGCTAACCAGCCGGATTGTCACGCCTCGTGGTAGCATCATCATCCCCAGCCTCCTGAACCCAGAACCGGCTGGAGACAAAAAAATATCAGAGGCTTGCAAGGCGAGGAACAGCAAAGAGGGACTGTTTGGGGCTGAAGTGAGTGATTCACAGGTTTTTAAGGCAATCCGTAAGTTCTCTTTTAATAGGCTGTGCCAGTTAAGCATTTCCCTCAAATGACCAGCTTAGAAATACTTTTCTAAATTCGGTTCCTGGTAGCTGGGGCTGTGAATGCTTACTTGTTTATTTACAAGGAACTTTGTTTTTCTTCTGGGTTTTTAATTGTGCTTTTGATCAGGCCGGATTTGATAATGCCGACCCTCAAAACGACGCTATAGAGCTGCTCTTCTGGTTTCCAGCACACACGTGTGCCAGCCAGGTGATCATGTGTGCCGGAGCCCCAGAAACCCGAAAACCAGCTGGCGTGCGTGCCGGAGCCCCGGAAACTCGAAGATCAGCTGGTCGGTGCGCCAACCACCTAGTCTTCGAGTTTCCGGGTTTCCGGCACACACGAAGAAACGAGAAGACCAAATGGCCATCACGTGCATGCGCACCGACCAGCTGGTCTTCGAGTTTCCGGGGCTCCGGCACGCATGCGCTTCTACACGCATGTGGCCCCGTTGCAAACCAGTAGTAAAGGTAAGTAGTACCCACCCCTGGCACACATACATTCCGGTTTGAGTACTCAATGCCGAAAAGGTTCGCCATCACTGCCCTACACCATTTCTGACAAATGGCAGTCCAATCTCTTCTTGAAAGCCTCCAGGGATGAAGCTTCCACAACTTCCGAAGAGGTTAACGCTGTCAGACTTGAAGGGTCCCATACTTTTAGCAATCTCTGAAGTCCATGTCCTGGTCTGGTCTTCCAAGTGGGGTTGATCCCGTCTTAAGAGATCCTGTCCTGGAGATCCTGCCTTCCCTGTTCTGCATCTCCAGGCATGACTGCTCCTATCTCAAGTCCACAGAGCAGCTGCTGGTCTGCCATGAGATGATAGCAAGTGATTAATCATCTAGCCAGCAGAAGTTCTCCCTGGGTACTTATTAATCTGTTTTCATGTTTTTTTCTTATCCCATTCAAAGTTTGCAGGTCAGGGTTGTGGTTCTGTGGGGTTTCTGGAGGCCCCACAAGTCATACCTGCAGCTCCTGGGGAGAATCTCTGTGTGGTTCTGCATTACACATCCAAAAGAAAATATTTAGGGATAGTAGATGGTGGCCAGACTTCTCTGAAGGAAGGAACTTTGCTTCCTAAAACAGGGTCTCCAACCTTGGCAACTTTAAGCCGGAGGACTTCAACTCCCAGAATTCCCCAGCCAGCTTTGCTTTGCTGGCTGGGGAATTCTGGGAGTTGAAGTCCTCCAGTGTCGGCTGGCGGTCCCCAGGATGAGGGCGTTCTCTGTGGTCGCACCGACCCTCCGGAATGGGTTGCCCACCGGGCTCTGGACAGCCCCCGACCTCCGCACCTTCCGCGCCGACCTAAAGACATGGCTCTTTCAGCAACTTCCCTGATCTGTCGTGGATTTTAACTTGGGGATTTGGGGATTTTAAATTGGTTTTTAATATTATTTAATCTTTATCTATGGTCGGGTTGTTTTATTGTTATGAGCCGCCCCGAGTCCTACGGGAGAAGGGCGGCATATAAATCTGACAAATAAATAAATAAATAAATAAACTAAGGAGAAATTTCCTAATAGTGAGAACAATTAACCAATGGAACAGTTTGCCTCCAGAAGTTGTGGGTGCCCCATCACTGGAACTTTTTTAGAAGAGATTGGATGCCCATTTGTCTGAATTTTCATAGGGTTTCCTGTCTGAGCAGGGGGTTGGACTAGAAGATCTCCAAGGTCCCTTCTAATTCTGCTAAATGATAAAGGCTTTCTTCTATTGTGGGAAAAGTTAACTTGGCTGCTTGTCTTCCAAAGGTTTTTCCTCGTTTCAAGTCAACTTTGTCCATCCAGAATTTGAGCGGCGGCCTTCTCAGATCATCTCGCAAGCCAACATGAAGGTGGAAATCCTTCCAGCCCTCACAGACAACTATATGTACCTCCTCGTGGATGAGGAGACCAAGGAAGCAGCCATTGTTGACCCCGTGCAGCCCCAAAAGGTATTATCTTCTGGACCATCTCACTTTCCTCTGTTGTGACCTTGGCTTGCTGAGTCATTAAAACACACAAGTAGTCCCAAAAATCTCTTTTATTGCAACAATGAATTACGTTCATTCACAGCTGAGTCCCAATTAGTTGCAAAAAGTCCTTCGGGTGAAGTCGTTCGAGATAATCACCAACCTTTATCTCCCTTGACACGCTGCCAAAGACCTACTTGGCAAAGCCACATGGAGTCCAGAATCAAACAGAGATGCTGACTGGGAACAGAATTAAAAACATTGCTTTCCTGCAAAAGGCCCATGTGCCTTTGCTCCTCTTTTAAGACTTACGGGAGGAGCCAATCATCTCCAGGCCTTACTCCCAAGTCGTCCCTTTTGTTTTAACTGTTCCTGCCTTCTGGCAGCTCTGCACATTCGCGCACTAGGAACAGACTCCTCCTACTCCTCTGCCTCTCTGCTGTCCGACTGGGGGCTCCGGAATCCGCACATCACTCCCAGATGGCCCTGACCCCAACTCTGCCTCCGATGCAGAGCCCTCGTCCGGGCCTTCCCCAGACTCCAGGACTGGCCCATGTTCCTCCCCAGCCTCCTCACTGTCTGACTCCGTTGCCAGCTCCGCAGGCTGCTGGCGGACCACAATATCCACTGGGACTCATGGGCATCCGTTGGCAGAGACAAGCATCCTATCTTTTGGAGAGCAAGAGTTCGATATATATGTTTCCTAATACCGTGTTTCTCTGAAAAAATGACTTACCCCCAAAACAAGCCCTAGCCCAATTTTCATGCCTGCCCCTAATATAAGCCCTACCCCAAAAATAAGGCCTAGTTAAGCCCCGCCCATCATCTGATTATACGAGGTGGAGTGAGGCGGAGACGTGGGGGGTGGAGCTGCCCCATGTGCCCCGTACCCACTTACCTTACGACCGTCACAGCCAGGCTTCACACGCCCCAACACTTGTTGAGCCGCTGCCCGACTTCTTCTGTAGCCATTTGTAGCCATTCGTGGCCGGATGCCACATGGCGCATCACTCATTACACCGTTGCCGCCCCTCGCGGCAGGATGCTGTGAGATTTGTTGCGCTGGTGCCGCCACTGGCATGCGTAACGGCACAACGCACCATTCAGCGTCCTGCCACGAGCGGCTGCACCGACGCGATGAGCCACGCGGCGTATGGCCACCAGCGGCCACAGAAGTCAGGCAGGGGGGGCGACAGGTGTCGGGTCATGGGAGGTGTGACTGTGGTGTTCCTAAGGTAAGCAGGCAACACATCCCCCAAAAATAAGACCTGGTGCTTATTTTGGGGCCGAAAAGAAAATAAGACCGGGTCTTATATTAACCTTTGCTCCAAAAGACACATTAGGGCTTATTTTCTGGTTAGGTCTTATTTTGGGGAAAATACGGTGCTAAATGCACCCATCTGGCTGACAATTTTAACGGGGGCTTATTTTTGGGGTTCGGTTTATATTACAAGCATCCTGAAAATTCATGCTAGGACTTATTTTCCGGTTGGGTCTTATTTTCAGAGAAACAGGGTACTAGTCTCCCTTTATGTCTTTGTCGGTAACTATAAATTCAATACGCGAAAGCGGCTGCCTGCATAGGCTCCTGGATTGGGGCTGAAAGGCGAAAGCGGAAGCAGTATGTATGCTCCGTCCCATATTTGGGTAGACCAGGTTGCCCTGATAGACCGGTCCCTCCGGGAAAAAACACACTCAGTAGTAGTAATAATAACAATACTTCTGCTTTTCACTGTTTTTACTAGGTTGTGGATGCAGCCAAGAAGCATGGAGTGAAACTGACCACTGTGCTTACTACACATCACCACTGGTAATCCTTTATCTCATGGCTTAAAAAGTTTTGGACCCGAGTAGCAATGGGCAGCGAGGGGGCAGCCCTATTTTTTTGGTGAACCAGGGTTTTCCCCACGCAAAGAATAAGGCCCAGCCTGTAAACACGTTCTCCTGGGCTGCTGATTCAGGTTAGATCAGGGTAGTGGTGAAATTCAATTTTTTTTACTACCAGTTCTATGGGCATGGCTTGGTGGGCGTGGTGTGGTGTGGTTTGGTGGGCATGGCAGGAGAAGGATACTGCAAAATCCCCATTCCCACCCCACTCCTGGGGGAAGGATATTGCAAAATCTCCATTCCCACCCCACTCTGGGGCCAGCCAGAGGCGATATTTGCTGGTTCTCATGTACGGGATGTACTGCGACTTCCCCCCCTTTGCTAAACTGGGGGTGGGCGTGGCCAGAGCGTGACGCATCCGGCCCTTGGGCCACGAGATTGACAACTTTAGGTTAGATCTGCAACTGCAGATGTCATCCCATTTCATTTATTGCTGTCAACATGAGATATCTCAGACAAGGAACTCTAGAAGTAGTAATTTTCTAAAGGCTTTTCTAGGGAGGAAAGAAATACTGACTTCTTTTCAAATTAACTATTCACCAAGCGTGTCTTCGTGGAACGGAATGGGACAACTCGCTGAGGGACAATTTGTTGCAGGACAAGTTAACAATTCAATTTAATTATTTAAAATAATTTTTTAACAAATCCTTTTAATTTTCATGCATCGTTGTGCCGACATTCCTCAGTTATGGGAACCTTCACTCCTTTGATTTGTTTTACTGAGTGCTTGTCAAATATTTATCTCCCTCTGCAGTATGGTTCCGCCCCTTCCTTCTGCGCATGCTCAGTCTTTTTCACTCAGTTGACTCAATAGGTCTAGAGTGCTTTTTGTTCTACAGATAATCTGTCTAATTCATCATCATTATTATTATAATTTATTAGAGGGCTGCGTTAATGGCTTCTGTCTTGACAGCTTTACAATTGTTTAAAAAAAAAAAAAAGATCGCTATTTAAATTGTGGCGTTAAGGGGCTGCTAGCTGCCTTGCCGTTCAATCAACAACGACCTGCAGAGGTTTGGAAGCTGTCTGATTAATTTGCTGTCTGTACTGAAGTAAATTTTTTCTTGCTTAAAGTTACGGCGCTAAGGGGCTGCTAGCCGCCTTGCCGATTTAAATTGCGGCGCTAAGGGGCTGCTAGCCGCCTTGCCGATATGTCAGCAGCGATCCGCTGTGGTTTGGACGCTGTTTCTTTAATTTAGCCGAGGTGTTTTTCAGCTGCTGAATAACGTTAATACTATTGCAGCCCTCTCTTGCTTATCAGCGGCTACATAGTTTCTAAAGTAACTTTCAGTCTCATGTGGAAGTTTCTGTTTTAATTGAGCTACATTGTAACGCTTGAAAGCTGCTTTTTTTATTTAAGCCACAGTGTTTTCAGTATCCAATAACACCTTTGAAGTTTCGTTATTTATTAGTGGCGAAGGAGTTTCTGATGTTGGATTCAGACTCCTAATGAAAGAATCTATTTAAATTTAAAGAAAATTGACAGACTATTTAAAGTTCCTGCCTGAGCCAGGCATACTTATTTTTGAAAGTTGTGATTTTTTTCTCAAGTTATACACTCGAGTGTTATACTATTAATATACCACAAGAGATCAGTTCGGAAACGTTGGGCTCGAGGAATCTTCGTTAAACTGACAGTTGCTGAGGCAAGCAACTGACAGCGCAGCCATTTTTTAACTGTCAAAACTTCGTTCATCATTTGCTTACATCAACTGACAGAAGTTCATCTCAGGGAAGTTGCTCTAATTAATTGTTGTTTGATAAAAAATATTATTATACCTTGAATTAATTAATTAATTAATTATATTTTTTTAAAAAATTAAAAATTAATTATTATTATTATTATTATTATATTGATTGAATACAATCTTTAATTAAATATGGCAGACGATAATCTATCATCTGACCTGGAACAGGTCGCTTCTCCTCCTAAAGTACATTCTCCTCAGCAATTTAGAAAAAAACGAGCTAAAACAAAAAATGTGACACAGCTTCAACAGTCTGCCAATTCATTGTCTGATGACATTATTAAAACAATGAATAAGATGGAAACACGTAGACATAAAGCTTTAGAGCGTCAATTTACCAAAGCCAAGTGTGCTGCACAATCGGCTTCTAACACATATCATTATGAAATGTCTGATAATAAACAACTTATTGATGACAATAATCAGATTAATGAGGAAACTGAAGAAATTCAGTCACAAGATTCTATGTTTAGAGAACAACAAGGACAATTTATGATAAATATTCAATTTTTCAGGTCTTAATTCACTAAATCAAGGTCCTCCTGAAGCCACTTTCACCCCAACCGCTGCTGGGCTTAGGGGGGAAGATATTCAAAACAGTAGTCAGGAAGTGGATTTTCAAACAATGGTTACACATGCCATTTCTAAAATATTCCAAGCAGGTTTGCAACAAACCAGCTATCCTTGTCATTCTGGTGCAGTTACCAGTAATCAATATCATTCTCAATCAATTCCTAAACAGCAATATTTTAGCTGTGGGGATGACACAGAGTTAGAGGAATTTGAATTATCAGAGGATGAAGAAGACATGACACCAGAAAAACCAGCATTTCAAGGTCTTTTCAAACCATCTTTATTTAAGTCACTGCTACATAAAGCAAAAGTAGCTACTAATATGGGTCTAAATTTAGATAAGTCATCTGATCCTAATACTCAAATGAACCCCAATGATAATTTGTTTAAAGTACACAAGTCTGATTTGGACTTTGTTCCATGCCCAGATCTATTTTCACAAGTTATTAAAAAATCTTGGGATCATCCCAGTTCAACTTCTGGCCCTAATAGCTTTGATAAAAAATTATATTGCTCTCCACCAGACTTGGATGAATTGTTGCAATTGCCATTAGTAGATGAACCGGTGGCAACACTTACGTCATCTTCTGTGTTAGTCAGTGAAGTTGGAGAAGGTCTTAAAGTTGAAGACAAAAGAGCTGAAATGACATGTCGCAAAACTCATCAAGCCGCGGCATGGGCAATTAGAGCTGCAGTTTCTGCATCATTTTTTAACCGGGCCTCTCTTATTTGGCTAAGACAATTAAGAGATAGATTACCACCTGAACAATCTAGGATTCAACAAGATGTATCAAAAATTATTGCAGCTGCAGAGTACTCTGCAGATGCTTCATTAGATGCTGCCAAATTTGCTTCCAGGGCATTAGCATCTTCTGTAACATCAAGAAGAATTCTTTGGCTACGTCACTGGAAAGCTGACTCACGGTCAAAATGGAGGCTCACATCAGCCCCTTATAAAGGCCAGTCTCTATTCGGAGAGTCCTTGCAACAGGTTCTGGTAGAAGGCAGGGATAAAAAGAAAATTTTACCCTCCTTGTATAGAAGACCAGAACGCAGATATTCTCTCTTTCAACGACAGTTTTTTCGATATGATCAAGGGAATTCAAATACCTACACACAACGTGGTAATTTTCAACCCTACTATTCCTCATACTCGAGTAATAGAAATTCCTTTCGAGGAAGAGGCAGCCGCCAATCATCATTCAGAAGACCTTTTCGAGGAGCGATGTCACGTCAATCTCGTAGAGGCAAGTGACTCGAATTCTTCCCTTCCCATTGGGGGCAAACTTCAACTATTTTATCACCAATGGGAGGAATCAACAACGGATGCATGGATCTTACGTACTGTAACCAGTGGCCTCACTTTGGAATTCACCTCAAACCCGCCTATCAGATTCATCCAATGTCCTTGGTCAACTCAACCATTGCAACAAAATCTGATGAATCTCGAGATCAAGCACCTGAAACAAATCAAGGCGATCGAGGAAGTTCCAAAAGACCAAATTCAAACCGGTTTTTATTCGATCTTTTTTCTGGTGCCAAAAAACTCAGGGGGTTGGAGGGGAATTCTGAATTTGAGGCAGCTGAATGTGAATGTTCTATACAGAAGATTCAAGATGCATTCACTAAAGTCAATTCTACAATGTGTAAGACAACGAGATCTCATGCAATCCATAGACCTCAAAGAAGCATATTTACATGTGCCCATCCACCCAAGGTACAGACAATACCTCAGGTTTGCATATGCGGACAAATACTTTCAGTACAGGGCAATGCCCTTTGGCCTTTCTTCTGCACCAAGAACATTTACGAAATTGTTAGCGGCAGTAGCGGCCAATATCAGGTCTATCCCAATACGTCTAGTATGTTATCTGGACGACATTTTAATTTTGTCAACGTCAAAGGATCAGGCATGTCGGGACAGAGAATTAGTCATCCAATCTCTACAAAACCACGGTTTTACAATCAATGTGGACAAAAGCCACTTATCACCGACAACTCGACTATTGCACCTAGGTGCAATCATAGATTCAGAACTGGGATTAGTTTACCTGTCTCCAGACAGACAAAACAGCATCAAGAGTTTAGTTCTGCAAGTAATATCTCAGAAGAAAACTGCACTATTAACACTGTCTCAACTTCTAGGCAAGTTAATATCTGCAATTACAATAGTGCCATGGGCTCGTTACCACACGCGCCATCTTCAGTGGTTTCTGTTACCCTTTCAAAGGCAAAGACGAGCGGATTCTCTTCACAAAGTGGTGGTACCAACACGAGTAAAAATATCCCTACGTTGGTGGATAACAGAGGCAATTCAGAAGGGTTCTCTGTTTCTACAGTCAGAACGAGTAACGTTAACAACGGATGCAAGCCTTTATGGATGGGGTGCACATATCAATTCATTGATAGCGCAAGGGATTTGGTCTACGTGGGAAAAAAACCAACCAATCAACTGGTTGGAATTACGAGCAGTGCGCCTGGCGTTAATTCAGTTTCAACATCAAGTGACCAACAAACATGTCCTGATTTTAACGGACAATATGACAACAAAGGCACATTTGAATCGTCAGGGAGGCACAAAATCAAAAATTCTAATGGAAGAAACGGATCGCCTCATGTCTTGGGCGGAGAAGCATGTCTTATCGATAAAAGCAGAACATATATCAGGAGAAATAAATGTACAAGCAGACTGGTTAAGCAGAGGCAAAATAGACCAATCAGAGTGGATGTTAGATCCCAAGCTGTTCAAACAGATATCTCTCAGATTCGGTCAACCAATAGTGGACCTATTTGCTACAAATCAAAACGCCCAGTTAGCAAGATTTTATTCGCGTTTTCCAACTCAAGGAGCAGAAGGCCAAGATGCTCTAAGGTCTCCTTGGCCGCAAGGACTTCTGTATGCATTTCCTCCAGTCCCAATAATTCAGAGTGTAATTCACAAATTGAGGGAGGAAAGAGCAGACATGATATTGATAGCACCTTATTGGCCTCGCAGACCATGGTTTGCAGACCTCTTAGACCTTTCAATAGAAAACCCTTGGAGAATTCCTCCAAATCAGATAGTTCTACTTCAAGGAGAAATAAGACATCCAAAGCCAGACTGGTTACAATTGACCGTCTGGCGCTTGAAAGGTCCAGATTAACAAAAGATCATATTCCTTCAGAAGTAATCGCAACTATTCAAGCAGCCAGAAGACCATCTACTACGCGTATTTACAATGCGTCTTGGAAGGCATTTGTAGAATGGTGTAGTACAAATCACGTAGATCCTACATCAGCAACAGTACTTGAGGTACTATTATTTCTTCAATCTGGTTTAGACAAAGGTCTGGCTCCTTCAACATTGAAGAGACAAGTAGCAGCATTGGCTACAGTCATAGATGGACCAAGTAAGAAGTCTCTTTCACAAGATATGAGAATTAAATCCTTCCTAAGGGGAGCTATGAATTTAAGACCTCCTATTGTTCACAGATATCCTTCATGGGATATGAATTTAGTATTACAAGCATTAACAAAAAAACCATTTGAACCACTGGCATCTATAAGTATGAGATATCTAACTTTAAAATTAGCCTTTTTAATAGCAGTAACATCTGCACGCAGAATATCAGAAATAGCTGCTCTTTCAATTAGAAAAGATTTATGTATTTTTTACTCAGACAGAGTAGTACTTAGATTAGATCCATCATTTATACCAAAAATTAACTCATATTTCCATAGAGCTCAAGAAGTAATTTTACCAAACTTTTGTCCAGATCCTAAACATCCTAAGGAAAAAATGTGGCACACACTAGATGTACGTAGATCATTAAGGCGTTATATAAAAAGAACTGAATCATTTAGACAAACTGAAGCACTATTTGTATCATACTTACCTTCTACAATGGGTAAGAAAGTGTCTTCTAATACAGTGGGGCGCTGGATTAAAGCATGTATATCAGTGGCATATAGTTCACAAGGGGAAAGTTTACCTGGAAGAGTGTTACCACATTCAACACGCAGTGCTGCAACTTCTGTTGCATGGGCTACACAGGCATCTGTAGACGAAATATGTAAGGCAGCTACATGGTCATCTATTTCATCATTTGTTAAACATTACAGATTAGATTCTTTTGCATCAGCTGATGCAGCGTTCGGGAGAAGAGTTTTACAATCAATAATCTCCCCACGAAGCCAGGACAATGACAAGGAGTAATTCCCACCCTAAATTATTAAGCTTGGGTATATCCCATAACTGAGGAATGTCGGCACAACGATGCATGAAAATGGAACATTGGATTACCTGAATGTCCATTTTATGATCGTTGTGACGACATTCCGTCCCACCCTTGGCGTATTGCCTGGTGGTCGTGGGGGGTGTCTTTCTTTTTTCACCTCTGCAGTTAAAGTTCCGTTGAGTATATTCTTCAGATCTGATGGAGTTAGACTTCGTGAAAAGACTGAGCATGCGCAGAAGGAAGGGGCGGAACCATACTGCAGAGGGAGATAAATATTTGACAAGCACTCAGTAAAACAAATCAAAGGAGTGAAGGTTCCCATAACTGAGGAATGTCGTCACAACGATCATAAAATGGACATTCAGGTAATCCAATGTTCCATTTTTGCCATTCACATTTCGTTCCGTCCCTCTTCCTTTTGCATCTTTTCTTCGATGATTCTATTCCACCATTTCTTCGATATTAGAAATATCGAGAGGGCCTCCTCAGGGTGCCATCAGCCAAACAATGTAGGCTGGTGACCCCCAGGGGGAGAGCCTTCTCTGTGGGGGCACCTACCCTATGGAACCAGCTACCCCCAGAGATAAGGAGAATCCAAAACCTCGGTGCCTTCCGCCGTGCCCTTAAAACTTCCTTTTTTCAGCAAGCCGGGCTGGCTTAACATATTTTTAAATATTTTTAATTGGTTTGTCATTTTAAATTGGGGCCAGATTAATATATATTCTTTTAATTGTTTTTAATGTTTGTATTGTATGTTTTTATCTGGCTGTACACTGCCCTGAGTCCCTCGGGAGAAGGCGCGGTATATAAATTTGAAATAAAATAAAATAAAAATAAATTAGTGTAACTCTTGTCCGGCGGCGAAGTGCACGTGGCACATTGGTTGTGGCAAGTTGGCCGTGGCGAGTTGATCGCAGCAAATTGTTGTAGACCCTTCAGGGTAGGCTGTGGCCATCGTTGGGAATTTTGAGTTTTACAACTTTTGAAATGAAATTTGGGGGAAATCCTTTAAGCCCATGGTTCCCAAACTCTGCACTGCCGCACTTCAGGGCCTCACAACAAAGTCACAGATGTCCCGCAAGAGATGGAGAGGACCGTGGGTTTGAAAGAGGACTAAAACAGAAACTCGCCGTTTCCATGGCCCAGTTCCGAACGGCTCATGGCCCAGTAGTGGGCCCAGGGGTTGGGGATACCTCTACTGACCCCCAGATCCTGTTTGCATTGAGCTTCAGTATTGTATAAATCCCACCAGTGGTGGCTTGATGGTTCGCATTTTTATTAAGTTATAAAGTATTATAAAATACGAAATTCAAAAGTAAATAAGGCAGTGAGGGGGGGAGGGAAAAGGGGGGAAAAAGTGAGGCAAGATAGGGAAAGAAAAAGAAAAAGAAGCATTGACTTCCAACTCTGTCATGCCCTCGTCGGAGTCTGAATCTGAGGGGGAAGATGAACAGCTGACAGACAGCGGGAGAGTGGCTCTGTTGGCTGTGGAGGAAACTGGGGAAGGGCAAAGTCACGCTGGGTAGAGCAGGGGAGAGGTAGAACAAGGGAGGGGGGTTCTGATGAAGACCAAGGCCGACCCCCTAGGGCAGGCAGAGAAGAACGCAGAAGAGAGAACGTGGGTTGTGTGGCTTACGAGGGAGGAAAGGGCCCCGATTCCCTTCACAAGGCACACCTGGGGATGGAGTTTAAAGGAGAGGCAAATGGGAGGGGCGGTTGTCAGGGTCGTGTTAACTGCTTTATCTGAGTTCCTGGCATCCTCCCAACCGGTTTGATTTACTGCCATGCTCTTTCACTTCTGGAACTCCTTATCTTGCTTGCCTTGCCGGATTAATTACTTTATCTTGGATTTATATTTGGAAGTTTTCTGCTTCTAAAGCTTGGACTGGAGTATTTTCAGCCAAAGGCTGTTACAGATTTGTGGGTGAGTTTTTTTTCAAACCGGAGAGTGAAAGGGACGTTGGGGGCCAAGTTGGAGCTAATAAAGAGACTCATACTTATTCTCTGGCTGTGTTGCCTTTGTGCCACGCCCTGGGTCCTCACAGACTCTCTGTTACAGTAGAATAAGGCATTAACAACAAATCACAGCTTTTTGCTTTCCCATAACAGTATGAACCAGTCATTTCTATAAAGATCTGTCAATCTAATCTGCAAAACGCAAAGCCAACGTTTCATTCTTTTCCACCTCAAGCACAAAGTTCAGAAGCGGTTTCCAGTGGTGGCTTATTCAGCATAATGCAACTTTTTTTACGAGAGCTCGGACCAAACAGCCATTTAGCTAGATGGGCATTTTCGGCGAATGCTTCTTCCTGTGTTTGTCCAGCCTCCAAAGTCTGACATTTTTACCTTCTAGGGACCACGCTGGTGGCAACGACAAACTTGTAAAGATGGAGCCTGGGTTACGAGTCTACGGGGGAGATAGCAGGGTTGGAGGCCTCACCCAGAAAGTCTCTCATCTTACAACATTTCAGGTAAAAACAACAACAACAACGGGGGAGGTGGGGGGGAAGGATAGATGGGCCTGGCAGTTTCTGAAACATGCATCCTATTCAGGCTTGAAAACATGTGCCTCTCCTGGGGCTGATGGTTACACTGACCCATTCACAGGTTGTCCTTGAGTTACGACCATAATGGAGCCCAAAATTTATGTTGACTTGGTGGGCCAGAGGAATTCATACAAATAAAACAAGAAGATGGGGTTTTGCTTTGCAGCAAGCAAACACTGTGTTTGTTTTTCACAAAAAGAATTTTAAAATAGCCAAGTTGGGTGGTCCCAAGAAGCCTGGTAGGCATGCAAGCTGGTCATGGGTGCCCTTGGTTGCCTCCACCCAAGTCCTGGGGAGGAATGTGGTTGCCAAGGTTCCAACTGACGAACCCAAGCAAGCAAGCACTATTGAGACGATCCGATCTCTGAATGCAAAACTTTATTGAGTGCATCATATTGGCACAGATTGAAAGCAAAACCAACTCTAATTCCCGCAGTTTTCACATAATTAAAAAAAATAGAATCTCCCTCCCCCTTATTAGTGCAGGTCACATTGTCCAACTAGATGGCCAGGTATATTGTTATGGGAACTGTCCAACTGTCTTGGTTGAACATCTGGTTAGATGACCTTGGTTCCCAGGGGCCGATTTCCTGCGGCCTTCCTCCTTGCTATTATTTTGGCAAGCTGAAAAGCGGCAATGGCTGCGACAGCAAAATTGTGCTTTGAAGTTTGCAGTTGTAAACTTTTCAAATCTAGGCGCAAATAGGTACTCCTCGACTTACCACAGTTCATTTAGTGACAGTTCAAAGTTACAACGGCAAGTTTTTACACTTATGACCTTTGCAGCCTCCCCATGGTCACGTGATCAAAATTCAGACGCTGGGCAACTGACTCATATTTATGACGGTCGCAATGTCCCGGGATCACGAGATCCCCTTTTTGCGACCTTCTGACAAGCAAAATCAATGGGGAAGCCAGATTCACTTAACAACTGTGTCACTAACTTAACAATTGGAGTGATTCACTCAACTGTGGCCAGAAAGGTCGTAAAACGAGGCAAAACTCACTTAACCAATGTCTCACAACATAAATTTTGGGCACAGTTGTGATTGCAAATTGGTAAAAACTTGCCCGGAGTTACCAAGGCCTCTGGCCAAATTGATTCTTCAGATAAAATTGAAGAACGGGGCCTTCTTTATCCCTCTGCCTAGAGCAGGGGTGTCAAACTCGATTTCATTGAGGGCCGCATCAGAGTTGTGTTTGACCTCAGAGGGCCATGGGGGCCGTGGTGGGGGGGCTGAGGTGGCCCAAGCGCTCTGCCAGCAAAAACGGGCTTCCGAGGTCCATTTTTGGCCACGACAGCCTCCTGCAGCCCTCTGCCAGTGAAAACGGAGCTCCCCCGAGCTCCATTTTGGCTGGCAGAGGGTTGCAAGAGGCCATCACGGCCGAAAACGGAGCTTGTGAGAGCCGTACGTGGTCCTCCCGAGCTCCATTTTTGCTAGCAGAGACAGGGCTGGACTTTTGCTGTTTCCAGGGCAGCCCTGTGGGCCAGATCCAGCCTCCGGGCCTTGAGTTTGACACCCCTGGCCTAGAGAAAAGTTTTCTGCAACGGAAAATCTTCAACACAGGCTGGCAAATGTGCATCTAGCTCAAGAAATGGGACTGATCTGAGCAACCTGATTCGTAGCACCTCCTGTTCATTGCTCTGCTTCCTTCTACTTCTGCTTTGTCAGCTGAGTGATATCAGAGTCAGAAATGGTGTCAAAGCATCCCTGTCAGTAACCAGGAGATTTCTTCTTCCCCTCAGGTGGGCTCCCTCAACGTGAAATGCCTCTCAACTCCCTGCCACACCTCTGGACACATCTGCTATTTTGTGACCAAGCCAAACAGCTCGGAACCACCTGCGGTGTTCACAGGTACGCTCCAGAACCAGAGCCTTCCAAACAGATTATTATTGTTGTTACAAGCAATATTTCCATAATAGCTTCCTTTCTTCCTGAAAGAAATCAGTGCACAGAACAAGCCCATGTTCAAAAATGCATCAATAATACAACCAGTAAAGGAATCAAACTTTAAAATAAGCTTACTGTGTTTCCCCCAAAATAAAACCCTGTCTTATATTTTTTTGAACCCCGAAATAAGCGCTTGGCCTTTTTTGAGGGGATGTCTTATTATTTTGGGACAGGTGGAGCAAGACGGGGCTCCTCTTGCCGTCTTACCTGATTTCCAGCTCTGTCCCCCTAACCCTAACCAGAGGAAATGGCAGGGACCAGCTGTGCATGCTGTTAAATATTTTTAGGGAGGGCTTATTTTCAGGGGGTGGCACATGCGCTCAAAAGCCTGATTGGGCTTGTTATCAGGGGATGTCTTTATTTGCAGGGAAACGGTACTTAAAACAGAAAATCAAGTTGAAGGCAATCTAAAGACTGTCTTCTCTCAAAGAAATTAGGACTAGTTCAGGGGTCAGCAACCATAAACATCCAAAGAGCCATTTGGACCTGTTTGCCACAGAAAAGAAAACACCAGGAGCCACAAAACCCTTTTGACATCTAAAATGAAGATAATGATGCATATATTGTTTTTTACCTTTATCCTATGTATAAAAAAACTATAGTGTGTTGCATTTATGTAATCAATGAACTGCTACAGAGAAAACAAATTTTTATTTCTGCATGCAACAAAAACTTTTTGAACTCATTTTGGTGGTTGTGACGCATGTTTTGAGCGACAGGGAGCCGAAGCAGAGGGATGAAAGAGCCACATGCGGCTCCAGAGCCACGGGTTACAAACCCCTGGACTAGTTCTTGCCTAGCATCGTAGTCGGTTTCTATTTTTTGAACCTTGTCTCTCTTCTAGGCGACACCTTGTTTGTGGCTGGCTGTGGAAAGTTCTTTGAAGGAACGCCAGAAGAAATGTACAGAGCTTTGATTGAGGTCTTGGGGCGCCTCCCTCCTGAAACGGTATTTTTGTATAAATACAAATGTGGGTGGCCCCCCCCCACAAAGACAGTGAGCTAGATGTATCTTCTTCTTCTAGTGCCCTATCCATCATCGGACATTGGTGATCATGTTGGCGATCCTATTTTTATCAACAGCCACGAAAAAATGCTGCTGAGTTTTATCCAAACCGGTCCCTTAGATTTAAATGATGTTCTTCTTCTGCCTGGACCTCGTTTGCCTTCAGTCTTTCCTTGGAGAATTAAGTGAAGGATGCTGTATTTTTCTGGGTGTCTCATCACATGTCCAAAATATTCTAACTTTTGCTTTTTAATGGCTTTGATGATTTCCCTTGGCTTTCCCAGGCAGCTTATCACCACCTCATTTCTGATTTTGTCAACATACGTAACAGCTGGATTTATACAGCATTCTAAAACCTGGACTAGCAAAACAGAGTTTTCTACCAGTCCCAATCGTACAAGGCCAAATGTATCCCTCCCTGGCCTCCTAAGACCTCCCACCCTGTTTTAAGCAATTGAGGCAAATAACATTGTCAAATCTATAAAGATCTGTCATTAATTTGCAATTGTTAAAATAATATTTTGGAAAGCATCTGGTGAAGCATCAGACCTGCAGTTTGGTGCCTTCTAATGTTCTCTTTTTCTGCTTCTTTTGCTTGCTAGAAAGTCTACTGTGGCCACGAATATACCATCAACAACTTAAAGTTTGCCCGGCATGTGGAACCAAATAATGCTGCCATCCAACGAAAGCTATCATGGGCAAAGGTAAGATAGTTTGCACTTTCCTTCCTTGGGGGAAAAAAAAGGACTGGTTCCTAAGAGGTTTTGGCTTGCTCTCTTTGGCTGTAGGAAAGTCCCATTTGAATTTCCCCAATGCATTAATGTAGCAGTTGAGAGTAGAAATGGAGCTCTCGCCTCACAATCAGGAGGCTGTGAGTTCAATCCTAGGTAGAGGCAGATAATTCTCTCTCTGGGCACGATGAGAATAGGTCTGCTGAATATAACTCCGCGTTGGCAACAGGGAGGGCCAGTAAACACTCAGTTCCCTTCAGTTGCCCAGACTCCACCCTGCAAGGGATTATGGCAGTGGTGAAATGTAAAATTTGTTACTACCGGTTCTGTGGGCGTGGCTTGGGGGGGGGGAATATGACTGAGTGGGCTTGGCAAGCTTTTTTTTTTTCTTTCTTTTAAAACCATTTCTTCTACAACCTCTTCCAGCTGACTTGCCTGATCGGCAAAGGCTTTTTTTTTTACTTTTAAAGTAAAAAGTAAAGTTTTTACTTTTTTTCGGCCAAAGAGGTTGTAGAAAAAATGCTTTTAAAAATAAAAGAAAAAGCCTCTGATGATTGCGCGGCTCAGCTGGGCATGGGGGCGGGCAGGGATTTTTGCTACCGGTTCTCCGAACCACCCGCCGCCATCACTACCGGATCGAGTGATCTGGTCCGAACCGGGAGCATTTCACCCCTGGATTATGGGGTCATTAAAAGGAGATGGTGATGATGGTGATGATGATGATTAATGTAGCAGTTGACCATCGCAGCCCTCTGACTGGCCTTCTTGTCATGGTTTTTCCGGATTTGTTTAGGGCCCTGGCAGAAATGTCTGGTCCTTCTGCTGGGAAGGGAAAAAATGTTAATGCCCACAACCGGTGCAGCAGGTTATCTCTGATGCAGTTGCACAGTAGGTGTGTCCTTCAAGGATCCGTCTGTCTGTTGGGAGTTTTCTCCAGCTCTTCCCTTCTTTTTTTGTAGGCCAAATATGATGGAGGGGAGGCAACCATCCCATCCACCATCGGCGAAGAATTCACATACAACCCGTTCATGAGAGTGAGGTAATTTCCCTGTGGTGGGATGGTGGTGGAGAGACCGCTGTTTCACCAACTGGTTTGAAAAAAAGGAAGCTGCCCCCTGACACTCAACATCGGGTCATAAACCAATGATCCCTACTATAAAGTTTCCGAAAGATGCCCAAACTAATTCATGAGCCACGAGCCAAACTTCAAAAGAAATACAGTCATTTATTAGGAGCACCATTTCAGCAATATTCCGATGCAGTTAGAACTGCACGTCCCACGTAGATTTACGTTCCCCTATAAACCTGTCTCTCCCCTCCTCCCTGGCCGTGTCATAAATCACATTCTCCAATTAACCACTTTGGCTGGCTGTGAAACCCAGCACTCCTACTGATTGCTGTGGAATGTAGTTTCAGTTAGGGAAATCAGCTCCATCAGTTCTCCCTCCCTCCTGGTCATGGCAACTTGAAAGCTTTGCAAGTTGACATTCGGCTCCCCTCACTTCCCGAGAGCGACCTGCGCAAAGCAAAACAATTTGAGTACAGATGTAGAGTTTAGGGACGCGACCCCCGCCCCCCCAGCTAGCAGATAGAGCATAGTTCTTTTATTTCAGCCTCAAATATAGGAAAACTGTTTTGAAAAATGTTAATAACCAATACAAACAATAAATCCAGTGGATATAAAAAGCCTACACACACACATACACACATACACATACGTTAAAAGTGTCAGGTTTTTGAGATGTAAAATAATCAGAGATAAACCATTCCAGAATTCCATCCACCTTTAACATAATGTATAATTATATTATACATTATATTATATAATGTATAATATGTACCATTCAAATGAAAAACAAACTCAACTCTTCTAGGGGGTTAAAAAAATAACAATAATAATCTTTCAATGATATGGTGGCCTAAAGCTCCACATCTCGTAATAAATAGGGATGCAGCTGTGTTCAGAATTAACCAAACACGTTCAAACTCGTGGAGTCCTCGACGTACGACCACAATGGAGGCCAAAATTTCAATTGCTAAGTGAGACATGTATCGAGTTGTGCCTCATTTTACAACCTTTCCGGCCACAGTTGTTAAGTTGATAAGTTAGTAACCCCGGCTGTTAAATGAATCTGTCTTCCCCCATCAACTTTGCTTGTCAGAAGATCAACAAAGGGTGATCCCATGACCTTGGGATACAGCAACTGTCATATATGTGAGTCAGCTGTCACGCATCCGAATGTAAATCACGTGACCATGGAGATTCTACAACGGTCATTAAGTGTGAAAAGTGATCATAAATCACTTGTTACAGTGCCGTTGTAACTTCAAACAGACTGTTGTAAGTCGAGAACTACTGTTCCATCAAGACGTTTTATCTCTTAAAGCAGTGTTTCTCAACCAGTGTTTCTCAGCGCTGGCTGGGGGATTCTGGGAGTTGAAGTCCACCCATCTTCAAGCTTCCAAGGTTGAGAAACACTGTCTTAAAGAGACCACATAGATCAGTGATGGCGAGCCTTTTCGGCACCGAGTGCTCAAACCGGAACATGCGTGCATGCGTGCACCAGCCAGCTGGTCTTCGGGTTTCTGGCACGCGCATACACGCCAGCCAGCTGGTCTTTATGGGCACTGGAGTGCCGGAAAATAGCTCAAAAAACAGTCCAGAAACAGGCCATTTTCAGGCTGTTTTCCAGGCCGTTTTCAGGCCGTTTTCTGGGCTGTTTTTTGGGCCATTTTGGACGGCCTCAAAACAGCCCAAAAAACAGCCTGAAAATGGCCTGAAAAACAGCCCAAAAATGGCCTGAACATAGTCCATAAGACAGCCGGATAAATGGCCTGTTTTTTTGGCCATTTTTTTGGCCGTTTTCAGGCTGTTTTCTGGTGCTCCGGTGCCCGCGAAGATCAGTTGGGGCGCAGAAACCAGAAGAGCAGCTGGCAATGGCACGTGTGCCCACAGAGAGGACTCTTGTATGCCACCTTTGGCACGCGTGCCATAGGTTCGCCATCACGGACAGAGAGGGATCTCCTACAGAGAAATGCCCACAATTTAGTCCTTCTGGTCTCGTAGTGGTGCACCCATCACCCCTGGAACCGAGTCAACCCCTTCCTTCCTTTTTTTAAATATATGTTTTATTTGTAGTTTCCCCCCTTCTTCCTGATCATCCATCCCCCTCTTCTCTTCCCACCTTTCCCAGCATTTCCCAGTAAGGAAGTTACTCTTCTGTGTTTTATTACAGTGTTTCTCAACCTCAGCAACGTTTAAGATGAGTTGTTCTGATCCAGCTCCCCAAACACGACAAACCTCCTGTAGTTGAAGCAATGATTCCTTTATTAGGAGCAAAAGTTTCTCTCTCAACGCAGGCCAACAAGTCCAACCGGCCAGAAGGCCCCCTGCCTTTATCCCCAGAGCTAGGGTGGGACTTTTCTAGCAGCGGTGGCTCTTCCGTCTCGAGGACCGGCCCATAGATTTCCACTGCTCTCCTCTCCTCTGCCTTCTGCACATCTGCGCGTCAGGCACCGGGCCCATCTGTTCCTCCTCTTCCTCATCAGCCGCCTCCAGAGCTGGGGGCTGTTGATTCTCCATCTGAGGGCTGACAGACGGCCCTCCGCCTCTGTCTCTCTCTCTCTGCCAGCTCCATTCCCTCTTCCCCCTCGGAGCTCCCAGGTTGCCTTGATGCTGACCCTGACTCCCATGCCTCCTCCTCCTTCTCTGATTCGGCTGCTGGAGGGGCCGGTGGCCAACAGTCCACAACACATGTGGACTTAAATTCCCAGAATTCCCCAGCCAGCTACCGGTACACAGCTGGGGAATTCTGGGAGTTGAAGTCCACACATCTTAAAAACTGCTGATGTTGAGAAAAGCTGTTCTATTACATCAATAAAGATAAGTTAAGTGTTTGCTGAATCAAGTACCTCACAGCATTTTGCTGTCCTGTGGGGCTAGGGACCCAACCCAGAAAGGAATAAGAAGCATCCCCTGGCTTATGAATTGCTGTAGCCTCCCCTGCCCACTGGACCTGGGGGGATTCTGGTAATTAATCAGTCCAACCCATGGAGGCTGCCAAGTTAGGGAAGAGTTCTTGAATATGCTGAAAAACCTCTTTTAACTCCCAGGTTCCCCTAATGGAGAGGTCAGCAACCTGCGGCTCTGGAGCCGCATGTGGCTCTTTCATCCCTCTGCTGTGGCTCCTTGCCGCTGGTCGGCTCCACAATTGATAGGGCTTTCAGTTAGGACAGGGAGAGGAAAAAGGACGCTGCGCTAGGAGGAGACTCTATGGTGGGGGAACAAGACTTCCGGTCGGCTCCAGAATTGAAGAGGGGGGCTTCCGGTTAGGACCTTTGTGGCTCTTTGAGTATTTAAGGTTGCCGACCCCTGCCCTAATGAGTCTTTTTTTCTTTCTGGACAGAGAAGCAACAGTGCAGCATCATGTCCGGGAAACGGATCCTGTTCGGACCATGGGAGCTATCCGCAAAGAGAAGGACAGCTTTAAAGTGCCGAAAGATTAAACGAACCAGATCCCCTGCTGCTTTTCTTTTCTCCTTTTCTTTTTTTTTCTGTTATTCAGTTCAGGAAATTGGTGTTTTCATTGTTGCGTTTTAAATTGAGTTCATTCGCATTATGGAATTCAGTAGGGGGAGGTGGAAAAAAAAAGAAAAGTCACCAAAGCACTTTGCCGTTTAAAGAAAAAAAAATTAATTATTCTTGTGCCCTTGGGACTCAGCTGATTATTATTATTATTTGTATTATTATTATTATTATTTTTAGCGTGATGCACGGAAGTGGTATGGATGTCTCTGCGGGGAGCAGAGGATTCTGTGGGTTTTTGTCACGGACACATCTTGTTTGCCCCATTGGCTTTCTGGGAAGGCGACTTGGGACCTTCTCTGCCTCTTGAGTCAAAATGCACATTTGAAAGGCTCTGCGATTTCCCTTAAAACTTCAAAACGAACCTTTCCAACCTGCCAAAGAGAGTTTTCTGCTGTTCTTAAACGCTCCTTTCATCTAAACCAGAGGTCTTCAAACTTGGCAGCTTTAAGACTTGTGGACTTCAACTCCCAGAATTCTCCAGCCAGCTGTGCTGGCTGGAGAATTCTGAGAGTTGAAGTCCACAAGTCTTAAAGCTGCCAAGTTTGGGGACCCCTGATCTAAACATTTGCAATCCGCATATGCTCTTTCGCACGTGAGCAACGCCCGTTCCCCTGAGCGCATGTGCCCGTCTCTCAGGAAACTAAAGCAGCGGGCTGGGAAAGCCAAGGAGGAGAGGCGGCGTTACAGGAGAAAGTAAATAGAGGCATTTGTATATCTTTAAATAGGAAAATGGTTATTGTTTTAACAGCACAGCACTTTAAAAAGGAAAAAACAAAACAAAAAAAAACAAATCTTAAAATCTATTTTAACCGGTCGTGGCTTCAACTAGAAGTGATTAGCAACTTCGTTAAATATCCTCGGCGCTCTGGAAAAACTCTGAATTTTCAGAGAGATTCCTTTGCATGCCGGGGAAGTAGTGACAGTAGAAAAATGGGCATGTTCTTTCTTTCTTTTTGCTTTATTTAAGCCGCCACGGCAGAGCTGCACTTGCAAAGCCTTCGTTGTAGACCGCCTCCTTCTTAAGCTTGAATTGTCATTTCCCGTTGATTCAGCTAATGTACATGTAAATAAATATTCTATCTAATAAATATTACTTTAAGAGATTAAGACCGTCATTGAAAACCGTCATTACCAAAGGAAAGATAAGTCTGTCCAATGTCAAATTCTCAGGATGCCTTGTTAAAAATGTCATTTCCTCTGCACTGAACGTTACAATGCGACTTCCCTTGAGTTTGCATTGGCTGTGAACAAAAAGGTGATTTGGGTTTTTTTCCTCCAACCTCCTCCAAAACTTCAAGATGTTTTACAGATGGAACAGATCTTTTTTTCCTGAACTTTTTCTAACCCTTCGTGAAATTACCGGAGTGACTTGTACTAAATAACAACAAAGGAGCACCTCTTTTAACTTTGGAAAATGAAAACAATCTTAGGGCATCGCTAGGAGTTTTCACAATAGTGTTGGTTTTGAAAGCTAAGTTGGGTTGAGAAGGTGTACGATCCTATTCTATAATACATGGACAGAAGATATACATGCATCCAGTTTTGGTCACCACAATGTAAAAAAGATGTTGAGACTAGAAAGAGTGCAGAGAAAAGCAACAAAGATGATTAGGGGACTGGAGGCTAAAATAGATGAAGAACGGTTGCAGGAACTGGATATGTCTATTTTGATGAAAAGAAGGACTAGGGGAGACGTAATAGCAGTCTTCCAATATCTCAGGGGCTGCCCCAAAGAAGAGAGAGTCAAGCTATTCTCCAAAGCACCTGAGGGCAGGACAAGAAGCAATGGGTGGAAACTAATCAAGGAGAGAAGCACCTTAGGAGAAATTTCCTGACAGTCAGAACAATTAACCTCCAGAAGTTGTAAATGCTGGAAGTTTTAAAGAAGAGATTGGATAACCATTTTTCTGAAGTGATGTAGGGTTTCCTGCCTAAGCAGGGGGTTGGACTAGAAGACCTCCAAGGTCCCTTCCAAATCTGTTATTCTATTCTATTCTATTCTATTCTATTCTTATTCTATTCTATTCTATTCATCACCAGAAAACCAAGCTTGAGAAGTAAAAAAAATATATATCTCAGAAGAAAGCAGCGGTCAGCTATCTCCACGTGATTGCCAAAACTACCTGAAACAAGGACGTGAACTGAGACTCTACAAAGAGTGCAGAGAAAAGCAACAAAGAAAGGATTTGCAGGATAAATCATACGAGGAACAGTTAAGCAAAGGATGTCTAGCCTGAAGAGGCTATATGAAGAGGATTAGGGATGACATATGATAGCTGTCTTCCAGTACTTGAGGGGCAATCACAGAGAAGGTTAACCAGCACTTGAGGCCAAAGAAGAGAGATCCAACTTAGAACTAAGGAGAAATTTCCTGACAGATTGAATAATTTGATCGAATAATGTTGAGACTCTAGAAAGAATGCAGAGAAGAGCAACCAGGATGATTAGGGGACTGGAGGCTAAAATATACGATGAACGGTTGCAGGAACTGGGCATGGCTAATCTAGCGAAGAGAAGGACCAGGGGAGACATGATAGCAGTGTTTCAATATTTGAGGGGCTGCCAAAGAGAGGAGGAGGGTCAACCTGTCTTCCAAGGCACCCAAAGGCCAGACAAGGAATCATGGATGGAAACTGAACAAGGAGAGATTCAACCTGGAAATAAGGAGGAATTTCTTGACAGTGAGAACAATCAACCAATGGAACAGTTGTTGCCTTCAGAAGTTGTGGGAGCTTCATCCCTCAAGGCTTTGAAGAAGAGATTAGACTGCCATCTGTCAGAAATGGTGTAGGGTCTCCTGCTTGGGAGGGGGGTTGGACTAGATGACCTACAAGGTCCCTTCCAACTCTGTTAATCTGTTAATCTATTCATTCATCAGTGGAACAGCCTGCCTCAAGAATTTGTGGATGCTCTGACATGGAAAGTTTTTAAGAAGAGAGTGGACAAGCATTTGGCCAGGATGGAATAAGGTTTCCTGCTTTGGTTGGGCAGGAGATTGGATTAGAAGACCACCAAGGTCCCTTCCAGCCCTCAGGTTTTATGAAACCGCCAAATCTTGTGTTTTTTTTGTTTTTTTTTAGAGGGCAAATTTTGGCTGGTCTCCAAAAGCTCAGCAGGATGCCTACTAGTTTACTTTGGGGTGGAAAACCACCAGGGAATATCAGAGTGGTTACCCCTAGGATAACAAAGAGTCGGAAGGGACCTTGGAGGTCTTCTAGTCCAACCCCCTGCTCAAGCAGGAGACCCTATACAACTCCATAATAAAGTTTGGACCCCTAGAAACCAAGAGGGTGGATGAGCGTTGTCAATTGTTTCTTTTATAGTTGGAAAATCAAAGACGTTTTCAGGAAGAGTCGAGCACTCTGGGCAGGCAGGGATGCTGTCTTGAAAATAGGGATGTGATGCAGTGACCCAGATATGAAGGCCAGAGGGCAGCCCAGTCACTTCCCACAGAGACAGCAGCTTCTTTTAACAGAAAGCATTCTAAATGACTGAAACTAGAATAGCAAGAGTTGGAAGGGATCTTGGAGGTTAAAATAGAATAAAATTAGAATTATTAGAATAGAATAGAAATAGAATTAATAGAAATAGGAATAATGGGAATAGAATAGAAATAGAATAGAAAGAATAGAAATAGAAAGAATAGGAATAGGAATAATAGAAATAGAATAGAATAGAAATAGAAATAATAGGAATAGGAATAATGGGAATAGAATAGAATAGAATATTGGAAGGGACCTTGGACGCCTGAATAGAATAGAATGCAGAACAAGAATAGAAGAGTTGGAAGGGACCCTAGAGGTCCTCTAGTCCAACCCGCCCTGCTCAAGCAGGAAACCCCATAGCAGCGTTCCCCATTCTTTTCCAGTTTGCCGTTCCCGCCCGCGGCTCTTCCGATCCGGCATCCCTCCTCTTCTGCGTAGAAGCGGCGCTCTGCGCATGCCCGGAGGCAAGAAGGAGGGAGGGAAGGAGGGAGGGAGGGGGCGGCGGCGGCGGTTCCACCCAGCCTCCCGGAAGGCGGGGCTTTTCGTTGGCTGCGGCGGCTCGCCAGGTAAGGGGAGGGTTGAGGGGAAGGGCTGCGGGTCGGGGTGCGTGTGTGTCAAACAAAGCTTCTTGGGGAGTGGGGGGGGGGGGGGGGGGGGGCAGCCTTGCCTCCAAAGGTGGCTATGGTTAGGTTTTAAACTCGCACCCAGCTTCTTCTAGACCAGGGATCTCCAACCTTGGCCACTTTAAGACCTGTGGACTTCAACTCCCAGAATTCCTCAGCCAGCTTTGTTGGCTGAGGAATTCTGGGAGTTGAAGTCCACAAGTCTTAAAGTGGCCAAGGTTGGAGACCCCTGCTATAGAGTGTAGGGCTTCCTACTTGAGCAGGGGGTTGGACTAGAATAGAAGACCTCCAAGATCACTTCCAGCCCTATGAGTCTATGATGGCTATAGAGTGTAGGGCTTCCTACTTGAGCAGGGGGTTGGACTAGAAGACCTCCAAGATCACTTCCAGCCCTATGAGTCTATGATGTTATGAAATGGCTATAGAGTGTAGGGCTTCCTGCTTGAGCAGGGGGTTGGACTAGAAGACCTCCAAGATCCCTTCCAGTCCTATGACTCTATGATGTTATGAAATGGCTATGTGTAGGGCTTCCTGCTTGAGCAGGGGGTTGGACTAGAAGACCTCCAAGGTCCCTTCCAGCCTATGAGTCTATGATGTTATGAAATGGCTATAGAGTGTAGGGCTTCCTACTTGAGCAGGGGGGCTGGACTAGAAGTCCTGCAAGCTCCCTTCCAACCCTGTTTGTCTATGTTCTACTATTCTATGTCATCAGGAGCTTTGCTGGATGAGGAACTCTGGGAGTTGAAGTCCACAAGTCATAAAGTTGCCAAGGTTGAAGACCCCCGCTCTAGACTAGAGCGGTGCTTGGCCACTTTAAGATGGGCGGACTTCAACTCCCAGGATGGCCCCAGCCCCGTGCCTCAGCTGAGGAATTCTGGGAGTTGAAGTCTGCCCATCTCAAAAGTGGCCGAGATAGAGAAACACTGGACTGGATGAAGCTTGGTCCGGTATCGAGAGGGTGGCTGGCTGGCAGAGCCCCGATTTCAGCTTCTTGGGGGGAAATCATCCCCCTTGCTGGTTTCCTCCTGCCAAAGGTCCTTGGGAGGGGCCCTTGGGCAGCCTTCCCCAGCTGGAATCAATTCAATTCAGCTGGAAGGGATCTTGGAGGTCATCTAGTCCAACCCCCTGCTGGAGCAGGAGGTGACCCTATACAATCTTAGACAGGTGATTGTCCAGCTTTTTCTTAAAAATACCCAGTGCCCATGATTTCTGGAGACAAGCTGTCCTGCTGGTTAATTGTCCTCACTGTTAGGAAGCTTCTCCTTAATTCCAGGTTGTTTCTATCCTTGATTAATTTCCATCCATTGTTTCTTGTCTTGCTCTCTGGTGCTTTGGAGAATAAGTTGCCCCCCCCCTCTTCTTTGTGGCAGCCCTCCAAATATAAGAAGACTGCTATCATGTCACCCTTAGTCCAGTGGTGAAATGCATTTTTTTTTACTACCGGTTCTGTGGGTGTGGCTTGGTGGGGGTGGCTTGGTGGGCATGGCAGCGGAAGGATACTGCAAAATCTCCATTCCCTCCCCACTCCAGGGGAAGGATATTGCAAAATCCCCATTCCCACCCCACTTGGGGGCCAGCCAGAGGTGGTATTTGCCGGTTCTCCAAACTACTCAAAATTTCTGCTATTGGTTCTCCAGAACCTGTCAGAACCTGCTGAATAGCACCCCTGCCCTAGTCCTTCTTTTCTCTAGATTAGACAAACCAATTACTGCAAATGTTCTTCATATGTTTTAGCCTCCAGCCCTCTATTCATCTGTGTTGCTATTTGCTGCACTCTCTCCAAAATCCCAACATTGTTTTATAATAGGGTGACCAAAACTGGATGAAGCATTCCAAGTGTAGTTTTACTAAGGTCTCATCTGAAATCCTTCCTAGTTCAAGACTGAATCCTTCCACTAATTAATTGTCCTCACTGTCAGGAAGTTTTTCCTTAATTCCAGGTTGCTTCTCCCTTTGGTTAGTTTCCATCCATTATTTCTTGTCCTGCCTTCTGATGCTTTGGGAAATAAGTTGACCCCCTCTTCTTTGTGGCAGCCCCTCCAATACTGAGGTACTGCTATCATGTCTCCCCTAGTCCTTCTTTTCATTAAATTAGACATAACCAATTCCTGCAACCGTTTTTCATATGTTTTAGCCTCCAGGCCCCTAATCAACTTTGTTGCTCTTTATAAATTATCTTCTTATAAAAGCTTTACTTGTGTTTCGTTTTGTTCCTTCGTGTGCACTTTTATTTAGATTATTCTTTAAAAATTTCAGTTTTTTTTATAGTCTTTGATTACTGATTCTTTTTGTAATAGAGTCCCATTTAACCTCCATCCGTAAATTCTGCTTTCTCAAATGTCAAAGACACTGGATTAAAGTGTGAGATCATGTTTGGTAGTATCTTAGTTTTTACTAATACACATGGCTAATTTCTTAGAAATCCAAAATGTATCTATTCTTGAAAAGGATCTGTGTCTTTCAGATAAGTATGTATGTTCTTTAGTATTTCCATTTACATGTCTCCATATATCTTTGAGCTCAGAGTTCTCCATCATTTCAAAACATACTTTTTTATATAAAAGTTTTTTTATTTTTTAAGACAAACAAACATACATCAATCATCCCTCCCCTGTGACATCTCGGTGTTGACTTCTTCAGTTCTTTTTATTTTTCTTGTTCCAACAGTTTCTTCTATCTTAATCGTCATCCAAACCGCTATAAAAGTTCATTGCATCTTCTTGCCATCAAATTTTTACACATAGTTATAAAATTAATCATTTATATCTCTTTTCCAACCAACAATAGAAATAATTCCATCTTCTAAAGTATTCTGATTCTTCCCTATCTTTAATCAACAAAGTTAATTGGTTCATTTCTGCACAATCTAAAATCTTTTTTATTACTTCATCTTCCAAAGGTATTTTCTCTTAATTTCCAATTTTGAGCATAAACAATTCTTGCAGCTGTTATTATGTGTATAATCAAATAAATATATCCCTTTTTAATTTTGTCGGGTAGGATACCCAGTATTAACAACTCTGAATTCAATACGTAATTGTGTCATTTCTTCCAGCCAGGTTTTAATTTTATTCCAATAGTTTTTTGCTTCAGGGCATGTCCACCACATATGATAATAGGATCCTGGTAGTTGGTGACAAATTTCCAACATTTCGCTGATTTATCTTTAAACATTTTTGCTAACTTCTCCGGTAGCATATGCCATCTATAAAACGTTTTATATTGGTTTTCCTTATATGCAGTGGACATCGTTAATTTATTAACGATGTTAATTTAACAACTTTCCCATAGTTGTTGCCATTTTTCAAGATCAATTGAATGTCCAAAATTTCTTCCCCAAGCTATCATTGTTTCTTTTACCTGTTCCTCCTCCAATTCGATATATAGCAAAAAATTATAAAAACTTTTTATTAAATTTTATTTATTTATTTATTTATTTATTTATTTATTTATTTATTTATTTATTTATTGGTTCAATTTATATGCCGCCCTTCTCCGGAGACTCAGGGCGGTTTACAATGTATTAAGCAATAGCCTTCATATTTTTCTATATACCTGCTTAGTAGGGCTTTTCGGGCCCCCCAAGCGGTGTTCTTTTTTATACAAAGTCAGTTTATTGCCCCCACAATCCGGGTCCTCATTTTTCTTCGTTCCTGTGAGTATCCTATCCAATTCAATCTTTTCCAAATAAAAACCATGTAACTTGGCGTCTTTTTCATATCTTCATATTTCAAAACATACTTTTGATGGTTTATTTTGCAGCTTACCCCTAGTCCTTTTCTCTAGACTGGCCATACCCAAATCCTGCAACCGTTCTTCCTATGTTTTAGTCTCCAGGCCCTTAAGCGTCTTAGCTGCTCTTCTTTGCACTTTTCCCAACGCCTCAACATCTTTGATGACTGACACTGAATGCAGTATTCCAAGTGGAGCCTTACTAAAGTTTTATATCCATTGGGCCTGGTTCCTCAGAAGCCCTGGTCAGTAGTGGGTCTAACGTGTTTCTGCTGGTTCCTTCCTGTGTTGAGAAGATGAGGTGCTGCTTCAGCTTTCATTTGTAATTCTTTCTTTCAACCGATAACGTTTCCTTCTTCCTCATCAGCTGAACCATAGCAGTGGTTTCCGGCTGGAATTCTTCTGCTGTAAAACTATTGAAAAAATATATATATATATATTTTCTTCAGGTAAGAAGAGAAACCTACCTTTGCCCAATGGCAGACACAAAACCCATTTTCACTTTTGCCGTGTAAAGCAAACACCTGAGGGGTTTTTTTCCCCCTTAATCTCCATCCCAGGGTCTTGCAATAGGATCTTGCCAAAATTGTTAGGGACATTGAACTCCTTTCACAAACTATTCCCCAATTGCTTGTTCAGTGAGTAAAACTGAAGGAAGGTCTTGTGCAGGGGTCAGCAACCTGCGGCTCTGGAGCCGCATGTGGCTCTTTCACCCTTCTGCTGCGGCTCCCTGTCACTCAAAATATGTGTCACAACCGCCAATGTGTGACACCCGCCAGCACACGATTTATTGAGCTTTTCAACCCCTGGTAGGCCAACCATGGATAAATCCAAGAAAAGAAAAAAGTTTCAGAAGAAAACAGAACGTTTAATTCAACTATATAGGCTAGTTTTGTGGCCGCTCAAGAAATAGTCAGGCACCGGAAGGGTTTTGTGGCTCCCGGTGTTTTCTTTTCTGTGGGAAGAAGAGGGTCCAAATGGCTCTTTGAGGGTTTAGGGTTGCACACCCCTGGTCTTGTGTAACCACTACACTGAATATTTATTTATTTATTTATTTATTACATGTATTTATATGCCGCCATTCTCCCGAAGGACTCAGGGTGGTGAACATAAGTTAAGAAACAAGTACAATAAAATCATAATTTAATCCAAATAATTAATTAATAGTAAATAATAAAACCCGGAATCAGAGTCAGCCTATTTGTTTGAAAAGCCAAGTCTTCAAGTCCAGTGGATCTAAAAGTATTCTATGTTTGAGTGGTGTGGTGGCCTAGAGGTGTAGCTCTCGCCTCACAATCAGGAGGCTGTGAGTTCAATCCTAGGTAGAGGCAGATATTTCTCTCTCTGGGCAGAATGAGAATACATCTGCTGCGAACTCCGCATTGGTGACAGGAAGGGCATCCGGCCAGTAAACATTCAGTTCCATTAAGTTGCCCCAACACAAGGGATTATGGGGTCATTAAAAGACAAACAAACAAACAAACAAATAAATCTAAAAGTATTCTATGTTTCTAGCCCTTGTGGCTGCATAATACAAGAATTTGAAAGGGATTTCCAGATATTAAGAACAACAAAGGAAAAGCTTTAGGGAAGAAAAACCTGGAATAAATTAGAACATGTTGCTGAAACTACAACGTGTATGGAAGATAATTAAAATAGACAAGGGGGTTTGGGATTGCTTTTAATGAATGTGGTTTTCCTTTGGGCAGTTTTGCTTCCATGATCCTTGAATCCCTGGAGCATGAAGGTCAAAGTGATTTCAATTTTGGAAGACAATTACATGTACCTGATCATTGAAGAAACCACCAGAGAGGCCATTGCAGTGGATGCTGCTGTTTCCAAGCGGGTAAATGGGATCATAACGGGGGAAGCATGGGGAGGGGGGTCGTGCGTGTACATGCCCACACCCATAATTCTATGCACCCTGCCCCACGCATGCGTGTGCGACCCCCCCCCAACGCTCCTGGCAAGTGATGGCACGGTGGGCCCAGTAGGCCTGTTTTCTGCTCTCCCCAGGCTCCAGAGCCTCTCTAGGAGCCTGGGGAGGGCAAAAACAGTCTTCCCCACTCCCCTGGAAGCCCTTCGGAGGCTGGAAATGGCCTGTTTGCCAACTTCCAGATGGCAAATGGGCTGTTTCCGGCCTCGGAGGGCCTCCGGGGGGTTGGGGTGGGGAAGGCCGTTTTCGCCTTCCTCAGGCTCCTAGAAAGGCTCTGGAGCCTGGGGAGAGAGAAAAATGGGCCTTCTCCACACACACACTCTCCCAAGGCCCTCCGGAGGCAGGAACCAGCCTATTTCCCTACTTCCGGTGGGCCCAGAAGGCCCAGAAATCAGCTGGCTGGCACGCACATGCGCACCGGAGCTGAGCTCACATGCCCATCGATATGGCTATGCATACCAAAGGTTCACCATCACGGCCTTAGGGCATTGGGTGGGTGGGGGGAGTGGGGGGGGTGGAGAGTGGAAAAGGTTGGCAGGCTGTTGTAACTTTGAACAGTTACTAAATGAACAGTTGTAAGTCAAAGATTTACCTGTACTGCATTCTAACTATCGTGTCACCATGGCTCATAAGTAATAAATTTAAGGACTTTAAAAAAAATTTGCACTATGCTCTTTGTGGGTGTTTTTTTTCTTCCTCCCTTAGCTCCTAGAGATCATCCGAAGGGAAGACATTCTTCTAAAAGCCATTCTGACCACCCACCACCATTGGTAAGTATCCGGCCGGGCTCTTGCACTGGTTCTTTGGGAGAAGAGAACAGCTTTTCTCCCTCTGCAGGTTCAAGATGGGCTGAATTGGTGAGGCACCAACAAAACAACTGCAGCCTCCCTTCAAGTCGAAGGGGAGATCGCCTTCCGTGCGGATTTTTTCCCCCAGTAGAATAGAATAGAACTGGAAGGGACCTTGGAGGTCTTCTAGTCCACCCCCATGCTCAAGCAGGAGAACATATACCAGTGATGGCTAACCTTTTTGCCGTCACATGCCAAAAGCGTGGGGAGCGTGGTGTGTGTGTGTCATGCATGCACGTGCCCACACACTCATAATTCAATGTGCTCCGCCCTGACACGCATGCATGCATGACCCCCCCGCGCCCCCGCTTTTGGCACATGATGGCACAGTGGGCCAGGTAGGCCCGTTCTTTGCCTTCCCCAGACTCCAGAAGCTTTCTTGGAGCCTGGGGAGGGCGAAAACAGCCTTCCCCGCCCCCCTGGAGGCCCTCCGGAGGCTAGAAATGGCCCATTCCTGACTTCTGGTGGGACCGGAAGGCCCAAAAATCAGCTGGCTGGCATGCACATGTGCACTGGAGCTGAGCTAGGGCAATGCTCGCGTGCCCACAGATATGGCTCCGCTTGCCACCTAATCACGGACCTATACTATTTCCGCTAAGTGACTGTCCAGTCTCTTCTTAAAATCCTCCCTTGATGGAGCGCCCACGATTTCTGAAGGCAACTTCTGTTCCACCGGTTAATTGTCCTCACTGTTAGAAAGTTTCTCTCTTTGGTTAATTTCCATCCATTGTTTCTTGTCTTGCCTACTGGTCCTTTGGAGAATAAGTTGACACGCCCCCCCCTTCTTTGTGGCAGCCCCTCAAATATTGAAATACTGCTATCACGTCACCCCTGGTCCTTCTTTTCTCTAGATTAGACAAACCCAATTCCTGCAAATGTTCTTCATATGTTTTAGCCTCCAGCCCTCTATTCATCTGTGTTGCTATTTGCTGCAGTCTCTCCAGAGTCCCAACATTGTTTTATAATAGGGTGACCAAAACTGGATGAAGCATTCCAAGTGTGGTCTTACTAAGGTCTCATCTGAAATCCTTCCTAGTTCAAGACTGAATCCTTCCACTAATTAATTGTCCTCACTGTCAGGAAGTTTTTCCTTAATTCCAGGTTGCTTCTCCCTTTGGTTAGTTTCCATCCATTATTTCTTGTCCTGCCTTCTGATGCTTTGGGAAATAAGTTGACCCCCTCTTCTTTGTGGCAGCCCCTCAAATATTGGAACACTGCTATCATGTCACCCCCAATTCTTCTTTCCTTTAGATCCTGCAGCCGTTCTTCATATATTTTAGTCTCCAGTCCCTTAACCATCTTAGTTGCTCTTCTCTGAACTTTTTCCAAAGTCTCAATATCCTTTTTGTAGTATGGTGACCAAAATTGGTTGCAGTTTTTTTTTTTTTTTAAATTTATTTTTATATGCCGCCCTTCTCCGGAGACTCAGGGCTGCTTACAATGCGTTAAGCAATAGCCTTCATACTTTTGTATATTTTTATACAAAGTCAGCTTATTGCCCCCACAAACCAGGTCCTCATTTTACCCACCTTAGAAAGGATGGAAGGTCGACCTTGAGCCTGATGAGAATTGAACTCGCAGTAATTGCAGGCAGCTGGATGTTAAATGCTGCCTTAGTAGGAGGCATTAGCCTCCTACGCCACTCAGGCTCCTTCCAGTATTCCAGGTGTGGCCTTACTAGGGCTTTATAAAGCGGTACTAATACTTCACGTGATTGTGATTCTATGCCTCTGTTTATGCAACCCAGGATTTTATTAGCTTCTTTGGCTGCTGCCACACACTGCTGGCTCATATTCAAATGATCATCCACTAAGACTCCAAGGTCCCTCTCACAGTTACTGTTTTTGATCCAGATCTCACCTAATCTGTAATTATACCTTTGATTTTGTTCCTGCCTAAATGTAAAATTTTGATGTCAGCACTCCAAGCTGCATTCACTCCAGTGCTGACATAAGAAGGAGAAGGTGGGGGCATCTGGCAAGAGGACGCTTGACTTTTCACCGACTTATTTTCCCTGGAGATACTATCCCCTAGGAGATGGGTTGGGAGGGGGGAAATTCCTTTGAGCTGAAGTAGTAGGTAACAGCAGAGTGACTTGGAAGATGGCCAATGAAAAGCAGAGCAGTGGGGAAAGGAAAGGGAGGGTTTGGACCAGGAAGTCAGTGTTGGCTGCAACTGAGTCGGAGTTTCGATTGTTGTGCTTAATAAATGAAAGATTTTGATCAAGGACTATTTGTTTGAAATGCAGTTTATTTGAGACGACACCAAATCCTGACATTTGCTTTTCTCCACATTAAAATTAATTTTGTTGGGTCGGGCCCATTTTGGAGAAATTATTGAAGGATAATTGTTTTAATTCTTTAAAATTGGGGGGGGGAGAGGGTGGGAATCAAAGAACCTCTCAGCCTGCAAATGGGGTGCAAAAATTTTGAAAAAGACTAGACAAGTTCTGTTTTTTTTTCCCCGACAAGTCTCTTCTCTCTCCTCCAAATTGGACACAGCTGAAGAGAAGGAAAAAAAACGTCCCTCTTCCTCCTCTTTTCCCCAAGGGATCATGCAAGAGACAATGAAGAACTGGCCAAACTTTATCCCGGCCTGGAGGTATACGGTGGGGACGAACGAGTGGGAGCTCTGACACACCAAGTGACTCATGAGGAGGAGTTAAAGGTAAGCACGGAACGGATCACACCCTTTTTCAATATGATTGTGGTATCCTCACAAGGAGGCTGTGAGTTTGATCCTAGATAAAGGCAGATATTTCTCTCTCTGGGAATGATGAGAATGTATCTGCTGAACAAAACTCCGCATTGGCGACAGGAAGGGCATCTGGCCAGTAAACACTCAACTCCATTCAGTTGCCTAGACTCTACCTCACAAGGGATTATGGGGTCATTAAAAGAAGATGATGATAGTATGGCTTAGTTACAGGGAAGTCAAAAACTATCCACAGATTTCATTTGTATGTAACATCATCACATACATGACACAAATTGATTTGTTCTCTCCCCCCACCCCTGCCCGCCAGCACGTGCCCAGATGTTATGATTCACGTTGTTTGCACTTTTCTTCATGCGTTAGGGTCAGAGTATCTCCTTTGGGTCACTCTCTGTTGACTCTTTTTAGCAACTGGCAGTAGTAGGCATTTAGGGTGTAGTTGAAATGTGCAACCTCCTGGCCTGCCCTTTGTGACAGCGGGTCCATGCTCAGCCTATTGTGCTGCTGGCGGCTGCTTGGCGTTCCTTGGGACTTGACTGCAGGGTGTTTTCCTCCACCTTGGAGGGGAATTGATGTTTGAGGGTAGAGATTCGTTCCCCAAGCTTGTGTGGGTTGTTGGTTTACAAACCTTTTGTTACCAGGCTAGGTAACATCTTCAGCAGAATTTAGGGGATGTCAGTATCGGGGAAAAACCAAAAGTACACATATAGACTGGATGAAACCAGGTTTAATAGCAGTGACTGTGAGAGGGATCTTGGAGTCTTAGTGGACAACCAGCTAAATAGGAGCCAGCCGTGTGCACTGGCAGCCAAAAAAGCCAATGGAATCCTAAATTGCATTAACAGAGGGATACAATCAAGATCAAGGGAGGTACTAATATCACTCTACAAACCCTTAGTAAGACCACACCTAGAGTACTGCATCCAATTTTGGTCACCACACTATAAAAAAGATATTGAGATTCTAGAAAAAGTGCAGAGAAGAGCAGCAAAGATGATGAGGGGACTGGAGGCTAAAACATACGATGAACGGTTACAGGAACTGGGCATGGCTAGTCTAGTGAAGAGAAAGACCAGGGGAGACATGAGAGCAGTCTTCCAATATTTGAGGGGCTGCCACAGAGAGGAGGGGGTCAAGCTATTTTCCAAAGCACCTGAAGGCCAGACAAGGAATCATGGATGGAAACTGAACAAGGAGAGATTCAACCTAGAAATAAGGAGAAATTTCCTGACAGTGAGAATCATCAACCGATGGAACAGATGTTGCCTTCAGAAGTTGTGGGAGCTTCATTACTGGAAGGTCCCTTCCAACTCTATTATTCTATTTGCCACTACTGAATTGATGCTTTCTCAGGATTGACATGGTCACACTGCACTTGCTAAGGCAAAGACTGCCTTCCCATCACACCCAGAACCCAGAATGAGCCCACCTTACTTCAGCCTCGTCTAGAATGTTGTGGGAACTCAGCAAGCGTGTGCGATTTGGGACCATTTCAAGCATGGGTGGATGGTTGGCAGCTGTCTTGGACTTTGACCCACAACCCATTCTTCTTTTTCTTTTGGACAGTTTGGCAGCATCAATATACGGTGCCTTCTCACTCCAGGCCACACCGTGGGACACGTCTGCTACTTCGTGTGGGAAAACGATTCTCTGAATGCTCCTGCAGCTTTCACAGGTTGGTCCTGAGAAGTGAACGGGAGTTGTGGTCCTGTGGTTGAGGACATCCAGGAGCCAGCCTTAGGGAATGGAGAAATTGCTCATTGCACACAAAGCTGTTGAAACAGTTTTAGGTTAACTTGTTTTCTAGGTTCACAAAACCTAGGGTGGCCGCGACATGGTAAGATGCCCAGATTTAATAAAGTCAACAAGATTAGGTTGCCAAGCTTAGCAGAATGCATCTGCTGGATGTACAAATGATTGAACCAGAGTGTTGTGTGAATAGTTCCAGCCCATTTGTGTTCTGACCCAGGCTTCCTTAGAAATTAAACAGCACAAACTTAGTCCAGGCAAACCTCTTTAATTCATACGGCTGTAAATTACTTTCATTTACAGTCCGCAAGGCTTGATAAACAGTCTTTCAGAGGAAGGTTATCAACACCCACTTATCTCACGTGGAACGCTGCCAGAGAGCTAATTTCCAGACGCAGGGCAAGGCCAAACGTGGCACAGAGTCACAAACAGAAGTTTCAAATCTTGAATTGGCCAGATGAACTAATTGCTTCCTGCAAAAGCTCATGTCCCGTTCGCTTCTCTTTTATGCCTTATGGGAGTGGCCAGTCATCTCCAAGCCTTACTCCCAAATCGACCTTCTTTCCTTAATTATTCCTGTCTCCTGGCAGCTCTGCGGATGCGCACACTGGGTGTTGAGGGTAAAACTGCCCTCTGCAAAGTAGTGCAACGGACCAGACAGCGAATAGATACGATGCTTAGCAAAACACACGGATAGTCACAGACTCTGAACGTTTAAAGAAAAATAAACAGTCTTTACTTGTAGTAAAAAAACAAACTTGGCTTCTCAAAACAACTTCTCCAAACAATCACGGTTTAACACAAAACATAGTTTGCTTACAATTCCAGTTCTCTTCAAACACAGACACAGTTCCTTCAAGCAGTTCAACTTTCAATAGCAGGAGCAGGAGCAGGAGCAGGAGCAGAAGTGAGAGCAGAAGGGAACGAACTTCCTGCCTTCCTTATATGTCTGCTTAGCACAGCCAATTAGTCATCTTTGCAGCAGTTAAAGTTACAGAACATAGTTTTCTATATATTATCTACCCAACCGTAGGATAAGCATCCAACATTCTCCCCTTTGGCTACCCAATACTAATATATTTACAATCTTAAACCATACTGTTCACATGTATCTATATGTTTCCTACTTCCCTGTGCTTTTGTGAAATGATCGGCTACATTGTTTTCTGATGCACAATATACAAGTTCTATCATTTTGTTCATTATACATTCTCTTACATTGAGATACCGAAAATCTGTATGTTTTGTTCTAGTCTTTACAGCTATATTTGTCGCCATATTTATTGCTGCCTGATTATCTTCGTATACTATTATAGGATCTTGTATATCTATTCCTAAATCTAGCATCAGCTGCTTAATACTGATCAAATCCGTACATAACAAAGATAAACAAGAAAACTTTGCTTCCATTGTAGACATACTTAAATGCTGTTGTCTTATTGAACGCCACCATATCAAAGATTTTCCCAGAAATACAGCGATTCCTGAGGTTGATTTTCTTGTATTCACATCTGTTGCAAAACTAGCATCTGCATAAGCGGTTACATGCAATTCTTCTGATGGTTGTAGATACAATGCATGATGCATGGTATATTTCAGATATCTAAGAATACATTTTGCTCCTTGCCAGTGTCTTTCTGTAGGTTCCGTGTTGAATCCAGCTAATTGGTTCACACTATAAGAAATATCGGGTCTAGACCAATTGCTTATGTATGATAAACTGCCAATCAACGATTGGTATATTCCTTTATCAAACAACGGACTTTGCACATCAGTGTTGCAATAATCTTGAACCATAGGTGTCTTTGATGGTTTACACAATTCCATTCTGAACTGTTGTAATAGATTATTAATTTTATCAGTTTGGGATAATTTAAATCCTCCCCTAGTCTTTTCGATCCTTACACCTAGGTATTGTTGTATCTCCCCTAGATTTTTAATCCTGACATGAGCTTTTAATTCATCAACAATCCTGTTGGCCTCTTGCTCATTCTTTGTAATCAGAGCTATATCGTCTGTAAAAAGAAGTAATAATGATACTATACCATCCCTTTCCATTTTAAATAAACATGGATCTGCTAATCCTGCTTTAAATCTAATAATCTTCAATGTTTTTACAATGCACTGGTTCCATTCATAACCTGACTGTTTTAACCCATACAGACTTTTCTTTAATAACCAACAGTCAGCTTTCCCATTTTCCTCAAATCCTGAGGGTTTATTTAAATAAATTTCATGCTGTAATGGTGCATGCAGATATGCGGTTTCTACGTCTAAATGGGTAACTGTATATTTATTTCTAGCTGCCCATACTAACGCTGCTCTTAATGTAATAGCTTTTAAGCTTGGAGCGAATACTTCATCGTAATCATTAGGAGACTGATTAAATCCTTGAGCTACTAGCCTAGCTTTATATATTGGTATCCCATCTATCCCAGTCTTTAATTTATATATCCACTTACTCCCGAGTATAGTTTTTCCTTTTGGAATTGTTACAATTCATATACTCATATACTTGCAAATTCTGCAAAGATTGTAGTTCTTTAGTCATTGCACCTCTCCACACTTTCTGGTCTTCAGGTGGAAACGTGGTCAACTCATTAAATGTAGTAGGGACTTTATTTACTTGATAGACTGTAGTTGCCTGATACCTATCAGGTGGTCTTGTTACTCTACTCGACCTTCTTGGGAGTTCAGGACTTACAGATTGCCTCTCCACCTTCACCTCTTCCTTTACTACATCTTTCTCTGCCTCTTCGCTCTGGCTCTCTGGTATTTCATTGGTAGCTTCAGTTTCGATGATAAACTCATTTTCAGTACCTAATTTATTCCACCCTACATGCTCCATAAACCTGGCATTTGCACTGCTAACTACCGTTGCTGTTCCTTTTATCCAAAATCTGTAGGACCTGTGGTTTGAATTATAACCAACAAATATTAATTGTTGTGCCCTACTCTGGCCTTTACGCCTTAACTGCGCTGGAGTATGTACCCATGCAGGTGATCCAAATTTGTGTATGTAGCTCAAATCTGGCTTCCTTCCATGCCATACGGTATATGGAATTTTGTTAGTGGTTGTATTTATGGTGCTGTTTAAGAGTGTATTTGAACACATAATGGCTTCTTCCCATAAATTAGCCGGTAAACCTGCATCAGCTAACATTGATCTCATCATTGCTTGTAGAGTTTGTCCTTTCCTTTCAACATACGAGTTATGCTGTGGCCGATATGGAGTCGAACATTTGTGCTTTATACCAGCATTAGCTAACATTGATTTAAACCTTGTGTTGACAAACTCAGTACCATTGTCAGTTACAATGGTAACTATTTTTTTATTTGTTTTTCTCTCCACAAACTTAATCCATTGAACAAAATACCGAAAAGTATCTACCTTAGACTTCAATAGGTAGCAAAAACCATACCTTGAATAATGGTCAACTATACTGAGAACATAGCAAGCACCCCCTAAACTAGCCTTCATTGGCCCTATTAAATCAGCATCCAACACTGGGAACCGGCTCCTGCTGTTATTCTGCCTCACTGCTGTCAGACTCTAGAGGCTGCACATAACTATCAAATGGCCTTGGCCCCCTCTCTGCCTCTGACGGAGAGCCCTCATCCGAGCCTTCCCCATACCCCAGGACTGGCCCACGTTCCTCCTTAACCTCCTCACTGTCCGAATCTGCTGCCAGCTCTGCTGGCTGCTGGCTGGGCACAACAATTTGTGTTTCTTTATAATGGTTAGAGTGCAATACTGCAGGCTATTTCTTCTGACTGCCAGCTGACTGCAGTTTGGCAATTTGATTCTCACCAGGCTCAAGGTTGACTCAGCCTTCCATCCTTCCGAGGTGGGTAAAATGAGGACCCAGATTGTTGGGGGACAATAGGCTGACTCTGTAAACTGCTCAGAGCGGGCTGTAGAGCACTGTGGAGCGGTATATAAGTCTAAGTGCTATTGCTATTTATCTCTCTATCATCTATCTATCAGTGCCATTGTCAGTTCGAATGGTCACTAAGAGAACCGTTGAAAGTCGAGGTCTACCTGTAAACAAACATCGTAATGCAATATGACACTCGGTTGCTAGGAAGGTGTTTTAATTGCCCTGCTTCTTGAGAAGTGTTAAAGTGATCAAGTGGTTGGAGTGGGGTGGGTGGGTGTGAAATTGTGGATTGATTGTGCATCTTTTTTTTCGTTCTTAGGTGACACCTTATTTGTCGGTGGTTGTGGGAGACTCCTGGAATGCACAGCTGAACAGCTGTACAAGAGCCTGATGGAGGTCCTGGGTGGGCTGCCAAAGGAGACGGTAGGTTTGAACGGCTTCTGCTGCCGCTGAGGTGCCAGGCTCCAAAGCTGAGGAAAGGGCCCTCCTGCCCTGTGGAGGTTCCCATTTGAGGGCCAGAGGTGGGGATAAAAGAGCATAGAAGGTTTAGGCAAAACTTGGTACCCAAAGGCAGGCCTGGGCCTCCAGTCAACCCCTCAGCCCTGGTTGCCTCAACTGTCAATTTCCCACCTTCTCGTTTTGGAAATGGCCCTCAGCTGACCACAGCAAAGCCACGGTGGCCACCTTGCTACCACCCAACCCAGAAGCCTTTCCCAATTTTTCGTGCTTTTTAAGTATTTATTTTAAGAGCCCTGGTGGCGCAGTGGTTAGAATGCAGGACTGCAGGCTAACTCACTGATCACTGCCAGCAGTTCGATCCGGACCGGCTCAAGGTTGAGGACCCTGATTGTTGGGGGCCTTCCTTCCTCCTTCCCTCCCTCCATCCCTCTCCTTCCTTCCTTCCTTCTCTCCATGTCTTTCCTTCCTTCCTTCTTTTGTTCCTTCCTAAATCCCTCCCTCCCTCTGGTTAGAATGCACTACTGGCCCATAGTCAGGAGTTCGATCCTGACCGGTTCAGGGTTGACTCAGCCTTCCATCCTTCCGAGGTGGGTAAAATGAGGACCCTGATGGTTGGGGGCAAGAGGCTGACTCTGTAAATCACTTAGAGAGCACTGTAAAAGCACTGTGAAGCGGTATATAAGTCTAAGTGCTATTGCTATTATTTCTTATTCTATTTTTTTCTATTCTATTTCTTTCTAATCCTATTCCTATTCTATTCCTATAATGGCCAGTGGTTAGAAGGCAGTATTGCAGGCTAACTCTACCGACTGCCAGCAGTTCGATCTTGATGGGCTCAAGGTTGATTCAGCCTTCCATCCTTCTGAAAGTCAGTAAAACGAGGACCCAGATTGTTGGGGGCCATAGGCTGACCCTGTAAACTGCTTAGAGAGGGCTGGAGAGCACTGTGGAGCGGTATGTACTAAGTCTAAGTGCTATTGCTATTTATCTCTCTATCATCCCTATCTCTCTATCATCTCTCTATCTAGCATCCCTCTATCTGCCTCTCTCTTTCACGCCATGGTGGTTAGAGTGCAGTATTGCAGGCTAATTCTGCTGACTGCCAGGAGTTTGATTCTGACCGGTTCAAGTTTATCTCAGCCTTCCATCCTTCCGAGGTCAGTAAAATGAGCACCCAGATTATTGGGGGCAAGAGGCTGCCTATTTAAACTGCTTAGAGAGGGTTGTAAAGCACTATGAAGCAGTATATAAGTCTGAAGTGCTATTGCCATTGCATGGTCTTTTAATATTCAAGCTCTGTTTAGTTCTTGATAGCCTGAATTTTAATCTGGGATTGTAGTGGGAAAGTGCTGTGATTCAATTTTATGCCATGAACTTGTTTCGATAGTGATTTTCATTTGATTGAAAACGTTTAAAGATGTACAGTGGAGGGGTGAAATGCTCCCGGTTTGGACCGGATCGCTTGATCTGGTAGCGATGGCGGTGGATGGTTTGGAGAACCGATGGCAAAAATCCCTCCCCCCCTCCCCCCCCCACCATGCCCAGCTGAGCTGCACGATCATCAGAGGCTTTTTTTTTTTACTTTTAAAAGCATTTTTTCTACAACCTCTTCCGACAAAAAAATGTTTTTAAAAGTAAAAAAAAAAAAGCCTCTGATGATCGCGCGGCTCAGCTGGGATCGTCAGAGGCTTTTCAAAGCATTTTTTTCTGCAACCTCTTGGCCGAAGAGGTGGTAAAAAAAATGCTTTGAAAAGTCTCTGATGATCCCAGCTGAGTTGCCTGATTGTCAGAGGCTTTTCAAAGCATTAGAAAAAATGCTTTGAAAAGTTAAAAAAAAAAAAGTTGGCCACGCCCACCCAGTCACATTACCTCCCACAGAACCGGTAGTAACAAATTTTACATTTCACCCCTGATACAGTGCCTAGGGAGCACTTTGGGAGAAGGCGAAGCTGATAGTTGGCAAACAGCCCTAGAGGACAAGAATATAAATTAAAATATCCCTGACAAAGAGTGGATAATATCACATATGATTGAATTTTTTTTTTTAATGATTGCCCTCTCCCAGATTGAGGGAGAAGTTGGAAAAGGGTCCGTTCTTAATTTGAAAAAGCCACCTCTATTTTATGAACCACAGTGTCTTTTTTGTGACAATTCCTTGACACCGTTTTTGTGACAGAACCACAAAATTCGCTTTCTCAAAAATCTGAGAAACCACATTTCCGGTTTTTGACAACCGTCACTAAGGGCGTTTGAAGTTTGTGGACGGAAGGGATTCCAAGGAGAATCACTCTGGATGTGGTAGCCTGAAATAAAAATAAAAAATTTCCTTTTCAGAAAATCTTTTGTGGACACGAGTACACAACCCAGAATTTGAAGTTTGCCTCAAAGGTGGAACCAGAGAATGAATTTGTGAAAGAAAAGCTCATTTGGGCTAAAGTGAGTGGTTCTATACTCTTCTCCCAACTCTTTTATCTTTCCGAAATTGAAGCCTTTATAAAAGTCAGAATTATGACCAGTAACATCAGTCTCTAATTAGCTTAGTGATTGCTTCAAAGGTCCTGCTAGACTCTGGATTGTTTAAATCATTGTCAGGGTTCCAAGTAACACCCCCAACCAAATAAGACTCCCGAGGCAATCAATTCCTCAAAGTCCCATTTTATTAGAGATGTCATATTGGCACATCTGGGAAAACCCGAATCGGAAAGCTTCCAGGTTTTCCCCACTCAAAAGAAAATCCAAGTCCCTTTCTCTGCACCCACATGTCCATCACATGGTCCAATCAAAACACCGTCCCAACTGGAGATGCCTCCCAGTCACGCCACTCCAGGTGCAGGCTGAATGTCCTTGATCTCACAGAAAAGAATGTTGTTATGGCTAAATAACTCTACCAATTCCATACAACCCCCCTGCCACTTTCCCACAGCACTAAGTGTGGCAGCCCTGAAGATCCAAAGAAAAAGATGGCCTCCAGGGCTGACAATCATGGCTTCTGGTATAAGCCAACATTGGTGGCAGAACACATCGTTCTCAACTACTGAACAATGGAATACAAACCTTGATTGCTGGCAGTGGCATTTGGGATCGGGAACAACTCCGAATGGCCATGTGATTGAAAGACCCCTTCCTTTTGCTTGTTTTTTAAAAAATCAAAAGGATTTGAAAACACCCCAGTTTGCTGGATCAGAGGTAACAGCAGGACTGTCTTAAAGGATGGGCCTGATGGGCACTTGCCGCGTGGGCCCCACGAGCATAGGAGCATAGGATTAGTTAACATACTAATCTCTGTATGTTAACCCTTCAATGCACCTTGATTCATATAAATACAGCAACATATTTATTACATTTTACTGCATTTTTTAATTAACACTAACATGCAAATAGATGTTTAATTTTATCGACCATTTACATTTTTATTCCTGTGAGTAGTTGTCGTAGGGGCTTCAGTACACTGCTTTGGCCGGGGGTCCATAATGCTGTTAAGACGGCCCTAGGTTAGAGCACGGCTACTCATCCCCCTAAGTCTTTTGTAGTTTCTTGGGATCAACCACAAGGACATTTGGTACATTGTACAAGTATATTGGAAAAGGTCTGTCATCTGTCCCAATTAAGTTAGTTAATGTATTTTTCAGAGTATAAGACATACACCTTTCCCCACCCTAAAAGGGGGTGAAAATTTAGGTGCATTTTATACACCGAATGTAGCCCCGCCCACCCACTGGCCCCCACCCTTTGGCCTCTGCCTCGCAGCAGTTACCTCCTTGCAAGCAAACAGCAAGAAAAAACAGCTCCTTTCAGCTTCAGCACAGACTAATTAGCACAAGTTGATTGGATCGGCTTCCTGACTCAGCTGATTTGCTCTCAGCTGTTTTGCACAGGGCTCTGCTGCTTGCTGCAAGGAGGTAAATTGCTGGAGCAGATTTTTTTTTTCCTTGGACTAATCAAGCTATGCTGAAAACGAAAATGAAAATAAAGCAGGCTGTTTGCTGTTTGCTGCAATGAAGCAAAATTGCTCTGAGGCAGAGGCAGATTTCTTTTTCTCGTTTTCCTCACCAAAAAAGGTAGGTGTGTCTTATACTCCGAAAAATACGGTAGTTAGCAAAGAAACTTAAGTTAGTTAGTTAGCAAAGAAACATGTTAGTTACCCTGTTTCCCCCAAAATAAGACATCCCCTGAAAACAAGCCCAATCGGGCTTTTGAGGGCATGGCAATAAGGCCAAGCGCTTATTTCAGGGTTCAAAAAAATATAAAACGGGGTCTTATTTTCGGGGAAACACGGTAGTTAGCAAAGAAACTTAAGGTGCTTAGTTAGCAAAGAAAGATTCCCGGCTCATTGTTTCCAAGAATATACGTTACTGAAAGCAAAAGTAGTTACAGAAGTAGTGAAGCAGAATCTGCTGGTTTGGCACGCAAAGAGGATACAATTAACTTTCCCTTTCTTGCTGGCCACACACATCCCTTCACTCCTGGTTATCAGTCAATGTCCAATTAGGAGTTCTCTTGTTTAGGTGATGGACTCTCAATTTGTGCCTTCTCTGTCTCCGCATTCTTTTGGTTGACTTGGACTGCATTGGTGCCTCTCACTTTTCACGCCGGCATGGATTAGTTCCCAATCTTCCCCCGTCTTCCCACATTCCAACCTCTCTCCCACTCCATTCCACACACAAACACACACACACACACACACACGTTGCTAATGTCAGGCTGGCAAGATGTGATGCGATGCGAAGCTAGCAGAACGGCAGCCATGACCTGGTCTCACTGATTTATTCTTTCACAGCTCCGAGAAGATGAAGACCTTCCAACAGTGCCTTCTACTTTGGCCGAGGAGTTCCTCTACAACCCGTTCCTTCGCATCTTGTGAGCCCACGTTTCTTTAATGGAGGGGAGGGAGAGGGGTCAGGAGTTTTTTTGGTTTCTGTCCCACCTTTCTCCCAGGAACTCAAGGCAACGTGTTTAGCCACTCTACCCACTTGTACAGACACCCATGAGATTGGTGGGCTTGAGGGTGACTAGCCCATCTTTCAAGGGACACGGTGGCTCAGGGACTAAGATGCTGAGCTTGTCGATCGAAAGGTGGGCAGTTCGGTGGTTCGAAACCCTACTGCCGTGTAACGGAGTGAGCTCCTGTGACTTGTCCCAGCTTCTGCCAACCTAGTAGTTCGAAAGCAGGTAAAAAATGGAAGTAGAAAAATAGGGACCACCTTTGGTGGGAAGGTAACAGCGTTCCATGCACCTTTGGTGTTGAGTCATGCCGGCCACATGACCACGGAGACGTCTTCGGACAGCGCTGGCTCTTTGGCTTTGAAACAGAGATGAGCACCGCCCTCTAGAGTCGGGAATGACAAGCACATATGTGCAAGGGGAACCTTTACCTTTAACTTTAGTCCATCTTTTGTGGTTGAGAGTGGGCTTCTGGGTATTGCTGCACTTGAGATCGTAAGCAGAGCACACCCTGAGTGGATCTGAACGTGGGTCTCCCCAGACCATCCAACTTCTGAATCCTGTGCTTTAAGGGTCTGTTTGATCTGAGTTCACACAATACACTATATAACAAACACGGGTTTCCCCTATGGATTCCACTAGGGTGGAACATGTTCTAACAAGATGCGAAGAGTTGGGTTCTCGCTACAGTTTTACTGTTTTGCATAAACCCAGCCAACGCTTCCTTTCATCTTGAATTAAAATAGAGGCAGCATCTTGGATTTAGAAGCAGAAAGTGTGGCCACAGAGGTAGCATTTGTCAGTAACATTTTATGCATCTTCTCTGGAGTCACACACAAACACTCCACAACTGTAGCATAATTTTGAGAAAAGAGGCTGGGTACGTAAGACAGTCAAGAATAGGTAGGGGGTGAGATTCGCCAGAATAAGCCTTTGTGGGTTTTCTTCCCAGGGTATCTGCAAGGGCAACATCAAGGAGGTCACAGTTCTGGGCCTGATCATGGGATTGAAGCCCTGACCTTTTTATGTTTAACCATGAAATGTGAAAGGCTTCAATCACACAATAGCAATAGCGATTTATATACTGCTTTACAGTGCTTTACAGCCCTCTCTAAGCAGAGTCAGCCTATTGCCCCCAACAATCTGGGTCCTCCTTTGACCCACCTCGGAAGGATGGAAGGCTGAGTCAACCTTGAGCTGGTGAAGATTGAACCGGCAAATTGCAGGCAGCTGGCAGTCAGCAGAAGTAGCCTGCAGTACTGCATTCTAACCACTGCGCCACCACGGCTCATACTGCATTCTAACCACTGCGCCATCCAGCAGTAGCACTTACATACCGCTTTGTTAGAGTTTTTTGCAAAAATCAAATCCAGAAGCACACACAGATAAACTGATTCAGCAGGATTCATTAACTTCTTTATACACATAGTAACAGATGAAGTATTTACAATACCGATAGTTGATTCTTCTTCAACATAGTACCCCGTTTCCCATAAGACATCCCTTGATAGTAAGCCCAATCGGGCTTTTGAGCGCGTGCACTAAAATAAGCCCTCTCTGAAAATAAGCCCTCCCCAAAAATAAACCCTCCCTGAAAATATTTAAACGCATGCATGCACAGCCGGTCCCGGTCATTTCCTCTGGTTAGGGTTAGGGAGACAGAGTTGGAAATCACGTAAGACGGCAAGAGGAGCCCTGTCTTGCTCCATGTGCCCCAAAATAATAAGACTTCCCTGAAAATAAGGCCAAGCACTTATTTCAGGGTTCAAAGAAATGTAAGACAGGATCTTATTTTCGGGGAAACACGGTAGCAGTTACAACACAAGGCAGGAGAGAACAGTTAGTTCCATTTTCAGCAGAGCAGACATGTTCACACACATAAGAGTACAGCTCAGAGCTTAACACACTGCTTGGTTTCAGTTTCTTTTTCTCTGCACAGAATCAGAAGCTGCAGACTAAGACACGCCCTGGCTCCAGTCCTGTCTCAGCTCCCAATTGGCTGACCTTGTTACCATGTCTTTCCAGTCATGAATATTCTGACATGCTTCATTGTGCTGTATAGCATTCTCTGACCGGTTTAGAATCAGCCTACTGCTCCCAACAATCTGGGTCCTCATTTTACTAACCTTGGAAGGGTGGAAGGCCGAGTCAGGATTGAACTCCTGGCAGTGAGCAAAGTCAGCCTGCAATACTGCATTCTAACCCATGCCACCACGGCTACCACAAACACCCCTACTCTGCAGAACATACCGTGAAACCAGTTATAATTCAAGATACGGTGATGGTTGCATTCGGATTCTAAGGACATTCTGGCACCTCCTATCCCTGCTGACGATCTCTTGGGTTTGATAAGTGGGCTTTATTTGCTGTTCCAGGGAAGAACCGATCCAGAAGTTCACGGGCAAATCTGCTCCTCTTGAGGCCTTCGCCGCTCTCTGCAAGGCCAGAGAGAGCTTCCGGAAACCCAAAGAGCGGCTGAATCCTCAAGCCATGCTGGCGTTCGAGTGGGGGCTCTTTGATCCTCTCCTGCAGAAGTGAATCCTATGCATGCCTGCCATGATGGGGATACAGGTGCTGTCGTTGAAGGGCTTGCTACCTCCCCCCCCCCCCCCCCCCTGCTGTTAGAAAAACGTTGAGCACCCATTGCAGAGGCCATCAAAAGCAGGGGTCTCCAACCTTGGCAACTTTAAGCCTGCCGAACTTCAACTCCCAGAATTCCTCAGCTAGCTATCCAAGCTTGGCAACTTTAAGACTTGTGGACTTCAACTCCCAGAATTCCTCAGTTAGCTATCCAAGCTTGGCAACTTTAAGACTTGTGGACTTCAACTCCCAGAATTCTGGGAGTTGAAGTCCACAAGTCTTAAAGTTGCCAAGGTTGGAGACCTCTGTTCTAAACAAGAGCAGAGAGGGGGCCATTTAGATCTCGGGGAGGGGAAATCTTGTTCTAGAGGGCAGGTGGGGCATTTCCTGGATCCTGATCGAGGACATTGATTGCCGGCAGTGGCGTTTGAGATGAGTAGGTGGTCAAAAAAAACCCCTACCCAGCTTTGCGGGCTGGGAAATTCTGGGAGTTGGAAGTCCGCCAGGCTTAAAGTTGCCAAGGTTGGAGACCCCTCATCTAAAGCACTAGGAGGGCATCCATTTCAGAAGCTCTGAATCTTGCTATTATTGTCCCATTTTTTTTGACAGCTGCAGCAAATACATCTGGATTTCACAGCCCCCTTTCCAGCAGCGTCATGTGGGGCAGAAGCTTGCCGAGGAGAAATTGCCTTCCTCCGTTTCCCAAAGGAGGGAAACTGTCTTTTCCTATCTTGCTTTATCTTTACAACTATCTTGCTGCAAATATGGTGACGAGCATCGAAGTTAACTCCTTACTTCTGTGAAGGCAGGCGCTATAGAGCTATGCAAAATGGAGGAGGAAAATGTATTGTTGTCTGCCTCCCAATTTACTGTGAATTTAATGACAACTATTCATTCACCTTTTAATTTAATTTTTTTTTAAAAAATTGTTTTGTTGCAATTTAAATCCAACCTTTCCTTCAGGTGTTCAAAGTAAGCATACAGTACATACCATTCACTCCTCCATAGCTCTGTGTCTGGAGATTTGAGATTGAATCATTGAGACAGTTAGTCAGATTGACCCCAAAATCCCTCTCCCCTTTCCATGGCTGAGCTTAGCTTTGAGCAGGAGGCTCCCTGGGGCAAGCTGAAGCTACGCCATCCTGGCCAGAAGCCTTCTGAAAATGAGCCACCATTGGGCGTGGTGAAATTTTTTGAGTTAAGAAAGAAAAACGCTGGTGTTATTAAAGGCAGATTTGTCGTCTTCCGAACACTCTCCAACCCAAATCCCTCACTTGGCATCAAGGCAATGTTTTGTAGAAATGAGAAGAAAGTATTTTAATGTGCCTTACTTTTTTTTCCTTAAACAGATGAGAATGGGTTAATCAGATTTATCTCCAAAGGCAAAAATGCAAGCTATTTAAAATTGGGGAGGAAATTGGGAGCGTGCAAATGCTCATAAAAATAAATCACATGAATAAATAATAATGCAATGAATAAATGCATTGAAGGCTGCACAATGCATCTCCTAATCGGCAAACCTGAATTGCCTTCGCTTTCGGATTGAAGAACTTTTTAGGCCTAAACATAATTTATTCTTGTAGTGTCCAAAATTCCCTTAGTTGAGCATGTTTGCTCCCCAGATAATGTTGGGCAGCCTGAAATAGTGCAACAATTCCATTGCACTGCACCTTTCTCATTTGAGATATGTGGGGGTGGGGGAATGTATAGTGTGCTGCTATGGCACCCAGGCGGATGTAAAACTTTCGAGTTTCTTTCCCACAGTAGAGTTATCTACTTACCCACACGGTAGGCAAATTTTGGGCAGCCCTTATAGAAATGAGACAACGTGGAAAACTGATTCTATGTTCTGTGATCAATTTCTTATTTTATTGATGGTTGTTGAGTGTCCACATACACAGCCATTGTGATATACCTCAGCAAGGTGGGAATGGGCATTTTTGGTCCCCCTCCTTATGTTGCATGTGGACTAGGACAGGGTGAGTCTGCAAATGCTCCACTTCGTGCCACAGGACCGGAGAGAGATCTAGAATGGTGCTGCTAACTCAACTGCCCCACCCATCCAGATTCATCGTGAGGAGAGTTTCAGGATTTTATTTTTCTCCATAAACCCCAAAGACCTCCAAACCATTTACCGGTACATTTTTAAAATCTTATTTTGGTCCCTTCTCCCCAAATGCCAAATTCAGCCTGGTTCCATTTTGCTCTCGTGCAATTCTTCAGAAGACCTCCTTGCATAAATTCTAACTGTTTGGAAGTAGGAAAAAAGTGGTGGAGTTGTAGTTGTAAACTGACAACGGTCCAATTTTCTGCCTCAAAGATCCGATGAGATTAAGAAATCCAGTGGAGAGCACTGTTGTCTGCTGTGAAGCCAATGCTTCACCTTATAATTTTTAAAAAATTCAAATATAAATCTTTGATACGACTATTTGTTTAAAAATGAAACTTTCAGCTTCATCTACAACAATAAGCGATCTACTACATCAAGTGGTCCCCAACCTTTGCAACTTGGTGGGTGGGTAGGGGAAGTACTAGACTGCACAAACGGTGGGCCGGTGCAGGCACACAGCTTGACTGCAAGCTGTACATGCATGCGTGCTGGCCCGCTGCTTGTGTGAGTCGAGCTGCACGCGCAGGCCGACCGGCCTGCCCCTCACCCAGCCCCAGTTGCGAATAGGCCATGGCCCAGTTGTGGGCCGCGGTCTGGGGGTTGGGGCTCCGTGTATTCTGTATTACACGAGCTGAGCCAATTTACCACTTAATATTAAAGCTTGCGCTGCCTTTCTCCACAGCATGGTATTGTGTATGGAGGTGATCTTGAGCCTGTTGAGAAGTGGGGCCACCAAGCCACTTGTCATAGAGGTCGCTGATGGTTTTGTTCATCTCGGGGTCTTCCGGCTGGGCCATTTCATAGAGCGTCTCCACCCGATGGAGCAGGTCCTTGCTGGATTCTCCTTCCGCTCTGATCTGCCCCCCTCCATTTAAGCACCCTGGAAAATAAGGATTTGCAGCTGAAGGCAAGGAAAGTGAAGGAGCATTTAGCTTAAACTAGGAGCTGTTAACTTGAGGGGGTGGGCCGGAGGATGTTGGGACTTTTGGCAGTGTTGCTGTTAAGTTGGAAGCACAGGCAATCCTCGGCTTAGGATCATAATTGAGCCCAAAATTTATGTTGTTAAGTGAGACATTTGTTAAGTGAGTTTTGGCCCATTTTGCCTCAATTGTTAAGTGAATCACTTCAGTTGATAAGTTAGTAACAGGGTTGTTAAGTGAATCCGGCTTCCCCACTGACTTTGCTTGTCAGGTGACAATAGGGGATGGCATGATCTTGGGATACAGCAACCGTCATAAATGAGTTCGTTGCCAAGCATCTGAAATTTGATCACACAATCATGGGGATGCAAAGGTCGTAACTTTGAAAAACAGTCATATCACTTTTTTTCAGTGCTATTGTAACTTTGAAGACTCACAAAAGGACCTGTGGTAAGCCCAGAACTAACTGCATGGAGCTATTCTAGGTATACAATGGAAAAGGGAGGAGGGTGAACTACTCACAAAATGTGGGTATGTAGGACACTGCCTATGACCCCTACTTATCTGGGTTGATGGGGGTGGGGTCACCATCTAAACCAGTGGTTCCCAAAGTGGGCGGTACCGCCTCCTGGGGGGGCGGGCGGTGCGATGACTTAGGGGGGCACTAAGAGGCAAGGGGGATGGCAGAGGAGTGCTGGAGGTGGGCCCCTTGCAGGGCACACTTTTGCCTGGGGCTCTGTCAGCCACCGGTCAGCTGAGCACTTCCAGTTCCGGCCCAACTGGCCCCATCACCTCCTGCGCCTACACGTACCATACGTGTATGGTACGTTTGTTGCTTCGTACAGAAGTTCATTGGCTATCAAAAGGCAACTGTGTGAGACGCTTTTACAATCTTTTTGACACTATTGTGGAGTGGGGGTGGGGGGCACTGAGGATGAGTTTGTTGCACCAAGGGGGCGGGGGACTGAAAAAGTTTGGGAACTACTGATCTAAACCAAGCCCTAAAATACCAAAATGCCCATCAATTTCATTTTCCGTTTCCAAGACCTATTTGTAAACTAAAGGAATTCTTGGGAACAAAACATATAGGCTGACAGCCTGCCTTTTGCTCTGCCTCATTCAGTGTCCTATTGGCAAGGGAAATGTTAGCAGGCCACACTGCAGCTCTCACTAGGCCTACCCCTCTTGAAAGAATTCCTGAAATAGTTCCAGATCACCATGTGAGGTATTTATCTCTTCCCTTCCAGCCATTTGCCACATCAAACCTGTAGCATCCTCACCTGAGGGACAAGCCATCACCTCGATGTAATGGTACGGCAGCTTTCCGCGTTTCAGTTTCTGCACGAAGTTTTGGATGTTCCGAAATCCATACGCCAGGGCAAAGTGCAGGAGAGTCTGGCCATCCTTCTCCAGCGTCACCTCTTGAAAATCCTTGTTTCTGAGGGGATGAACATAGGGGATTGATAGCCAAATTGTTGCTTTTCCTCCAGGCTCGTGAGGAGAAAGCAAGTTGGGCTTCAGCAGCATCACGGATTGAGGGAAAATAAGAAATGTATCCTCCAAAAAAACCAAAGAGGTTTCCCGCCCCCCCCCCCCAAAAGGCAACTGGGCTTTCTTTGTTTTTCTTTGAAGACGTTTTGCTTCTCATCCAAGAAATTTCTTCAGTTCTCACTGAAGAAGAACTGAAGAAGCTTCTTGGATGAGAATAGAATAGAATAGAATTTTTTATTGGCCAAGTGTGACTGGACACACAAGGAATTTGTCTTGGTGCATGTTCTCAGCGTACATAAAATAAAAGATACGTTCATCAAGAATCATAAGGTACAACACTTAATGATAGTCATAGGGAAACAGTCAATGTAAATCTTAAGGATATCAGCAACAAGGTTACAGTCATACAGTCATAAGTGGGAGGAGATGGGCGATAGGAACGATGACAAGATTAATAGTAGTGCAGACTTAGTGAATAATTTGACAGTGTTGAGGGAATTATTTGTTTAGCAGAGCGATGGTGTTCGGGAAAAAACTGTTCTTGAAGTGAAACGTCTTCAAGGAAAAACAAACTCCACTTGCCTTTTGAAAAAAAGCACCTTTTGGGTATTCTCCAAAGGAAAATCTGGTTGGAGGAGAAAAGGCCTTTCTTGCTTGTAGAACTGAGCAATTCCTGGCATTTCTTTGGGACTGACTGCACTAGCAAGATTCAAGCACTTACAGGCAGCAGCTATTCAATCTTTTTATTGAATTTACCAAGAGGCTTGGTAGTACAGTGGTCTAAGGCACCCTGTTATTAAGCTGGTTATTAAGACCAGCTGCCTGCAATTACTGCAGGTTCGAATCTCACCAGGCTCAAGGTTGACTCAACCTTCCATCCTTTCTAAGGTAGGTAAATTGAGGACCCAGTTGTGGGGGCAATAAACTGACTTTGTATAAATATACAAAAGAATGGAGGCTATTGCTTAGCGCATTGTAAGCTGCCCTGAGTCTCCAGAGAAGGGCGGCATATAAATCAAATTTAAGGGCGGCGGCGGTGCCTTTTGAAGCTCCGCCAGCCCCGCCGCCTGTAGAGCCGCTTCGCGATTGAGAAGCGGCTCGAAAACTTCAAAATCCTGAGGATTGTTGGAGGAGAGATAGCAGGGCACAGGTCGAGCCCCTGTAACCCCCCAGGGAATCGTTTCTGGGGAGGAAACAGGCGCGGCTCCCTTCCAACCTGCTGAGACTCTGGGCGGTGTGGGACGATTCTGCTTCTGCAGAACAAGCCGGCTGCAGTAAACATTTAAAGCGAAAGGAACCAATTTTAACAAGCAGCGGATATACACTTGAACCCTGAAACTTGGAACTGCAAGTATTAGTGCTTTGTTGACTTTTCAATTTAAGAAAAAATGCGAATGAGTGAAAGTGACTTGAAAAAATATGGCGCCCAGCATTAGAGTTAACGAGCCAGCAAGTGTGGATTGGTGAAGTTATCTTGCTTTGTTACAAAGTTACTAAGTTGCTACAAAGTTGCTTCGCTTGTAACAAGAGAATAACAGAAATTTCTCCCTTTTTAATACTGGACTTTGCTTTACTTTGGTTTTTATTTGATTAAATCTGGGGGACTTTTTCAGAAGTCTTTGTGGAGGTGGGAGAGGAAGAACAACTTCCCTTTTTAGTAAAACCAGCCTACGTGGCAGGATGGCCTCAAAGAAGCAGGAAGCGAAGGCAACAGGAGGTGGATCTCCCACACATAAAGCACAGCCTCCCCCAGCACAACAGATACAGACTCAGAAAAAAGAGTTTGATGTGGGAGATTTAAAAGAATTTATTTCTAAAACTTTGGATGATAAATTTCAAAAATCTCAACAGGAGATAGATGATAAACTTCAAAAATCACATCAGGAATTATGCAGGAAATTAATGAAGTTAAAGATATGGTGAAACAGAACCAAAACAAGGTGACCAAAAAAATATCAGAAGTGGCATCTGGCCTGGCAGAATTTATTGGGAAAGTTGATTTTAAAGTTGAAGAACTTAAATCAGAAGTTAATGTTAAGATGAAAGACAATGATTATAAAATTGTTGATGTTGACAATAAAATGCAAAGAGTTGAAAATGAGATTGTCATGGTACAATTCAGGGCAATGGAGTTTGCCATACGGCTTCGAGGAATTCGAGAGGAGGAAAGACAGGATTTGAGGCAAGTTTGTTCTGAGGCCCTGGCCAAGATTCTACAAGTTAATCCTGATGTGGTTTTTCACAAAATAGACAAAATTTACAGAGTGAATTCCTGGGTGGCCAGACAAAGACAATTGCCTAGAGATGTGGTCATATATTTTACAGATAGAGAAATAAGAAACGATATCCTGCAAAAATCCTTTTACACTTCTGTGCAAGTAGGGGGCTCACGAATTGGAATTTATAAAGAATTACCTCCTAAAATGCTGAAAGCTAGAAAAGAATTTGGCTTTCTTGTTAAGGAATTGCAAAATTTACAGATACCATTTCGGTGGGACGCCCCAGTTGGTATAATTTTCAGATATAAGGGAGAAAGATATCGTTTGAATACCTTGGAGAAGGCACAGCACTTTTACACTACTATTCTTAAGGAAAGAACACCATCTCCACGTACATCTACAGTTTTGGAGATTAAGGAGAGTGAAGAGAAGCAACCTCAACGAGAACCGCAAGAACAGTCCAAGCAGGAATTAGAGGAAATGCAAGGCGCAGAAGGAGGTTTTCTGGATGAGCCTTTGCTGGAATCTTCTCCAATCTTGGACCCGGTTCGGATGATTGAAGTTAAGGATCAACGTATAACTCGAGCTCAATCTAAGTTACTTAAACAAAAGCAACAACAACAACAGGAAAGACAAGACAAGGAGGCAGATAAGAGTACTGCACAAGAGACTGGAGCCATGGGGGGAGTGAGATCGAAGCTTTCGGATGACCTTCGATTATTCTGCTCTTTGTTCCAGAAAGATGAAGATGATGTTTAAGTGTCTATCTTGGAATGTTAACGGGTTGAATTCAGCACAGAAAAGGAAGAAATTATTTACATATTTGAAACAATTTAATAATGATATAATTTGTTTACAAGAAACGCATATCACAACTCAAGATCAAAAATATTTGACAAACTCCAAACTAGGAACACATTTTATATCTTCAACTTCGCAAAAAAAGAATGGTGTGGTTATTTATGTAAATAAAAAGCTAACAGCTAAAGTTATAGAAGTAGATGAAGATGGTAGGTTTGTAGCAATTGAATTGCTTACAGTAAATGGCCAAATTCTTCTGATTGGAATTTATGCTCCCAATCAACAACAGGACCATTTCTATAAGATGTTACATACTAAAATACTGCAATGGGACTACAGATCTATTTTAATTATGGGAGACTGGAATGGAGTAATTGATTCTAAATTAGATAAAAAGAGTTTGGCAAAGTCTAGGATCAGATTACCACAGACCTTTTTTGACATGAAAGAAGATATGGAACTAAAAGATGTTTGGAGAATACATAATCCAAAAGAATTGGACTACACTTTTTTTTCTGACAGACACAGATCCTTCTCTAGGATTGATTTCATTTTGTTGTCAGATGACGTACTTGTCAAGACAAAAAGAACAAAGATTTTTCCAAGAACTTTGACTGACCATAGCCCAGTATGGATAGAAATTGAGATGGATAAGGTTGAGAGACGTTCTTGGAGATTAAATGAGAATTTGTTTAGATACGAAAAAAATATAACAGAACTTAAAAAGCATTTGAAAGAATTTTTTGAAATAAATTTGAATAAAGGTACCCCAATTGAAATTGTGTGGGATGCAAGTAAAGCTTATATGAGAGGGGTACTTATCTATATGAACTCTAAACATAGACTATTTCGACAAAAGAAAAGATCTGAATTGGAAATAGAAATAAAGAATAAAGAACAGTTACTTATTAAAAATCCAACAGATGAAAGAATATGTAGTGTTATAAAACTGTTGAAAGACCAATTTCAAATGCTTATGGCGGAACAAGTTGCAACAAACTTACAATATGCGAAGCATAATACATTTTGTAACGCCAATAAACCGGGCAGGTGGTTGGCTTACACATTGAGGAAAAAACAAAGTATACGGAGTATTGATAGTATTGATATTGGAGGGAAAGAAATCTTTCAACAAAAATTAATTAAAGAAGCTTTTGTGGACTATTATACCAAACTATATGCCAAAGAGGAGGTGCAGAATGGACTTATAGAAAAATATTTAAACGATAAAAGAGTTACAAAAATTACTGATCAACAAAAGGAAAGAATGAATTATCCTATAACAGAGGAGGAGATAATAGTAGCAATTAAACAGTTAAAAACAGCCAAAGCTCCTGGCACGGATGGTTTGACCGCAGTGTATTACAAAACTTTGCAAGCTGAAATGGTGGGACAACTCAAGAGATCTATTTTGCAATATTCAACAAGGGGGTAAAATACCCCCATCATGGACAACTGCTTATATATCTTTGATACCAAAAGAACAAGTCGGTCCTAAAAAACCAGAGAACTATAGACCAATATCTCTTTTGAATACAGATTATAAAATCTATGCGAAAGTATTAGCCAACAGGTTGATGCCAGTAATTCAAAAGGTGATTCATGATGATCAAGCGGGATTTATCGAGGGCAGACACATGAAGGATAATGTAAGGCAAGTAATAGATTTATTGGAATATCTCGAGAAGAATAAACAGATTCCTGCAGTGCTGGTCTTTTTGGATGCAGAGAAGGCCTTTGATAGAGTGGATTGGAATTTTCTACTAAAGACTTTAAAAAAGATGGATTTTGGGGATCAATTTATACAGGCGATTTCAGCAATTTACCAAGAGCAAAAGGCACAGATCATTATTAACGGAAGTTTGACAACAGAGTTTAAAATTGAAAAAGGAACAAGACAGGGATGTCCATTGTCCCCACTTTTATTTATTCTAACATTAGAAGTCTTGTTAAATACAATACGGGACTCTAATATCTTGAAAGGCATAATGATTAGGCAAGAGGATTATAGAATAAAGGCATTTGCAGATGATCTGGTTGTTACCCTATCACAACCAATGGAATCAATAATCTTGATGAAGGACATTATTCAAGACTATGGTAAAGTTTCAGGTTTTAGACTGAATCCAAAAGACTAAAATGATAGCTAAAAACATGACACAAGATCGTAAACATGAGCTAGAAAGGAGGGCAGGTTTTGAGACTGTACCTAAGGTAAAATATCTAGGAGTCCAGGTTGCAGAATCAAACATGAAATTGTTTCAAAATAATTATGAGGTGTTGTGGCGAGAGGTGCAGAAAGATATGGAGACTTGGAAAAAACTGCAGCTGTCTCTACTTGGAAGAATAGCAGCAGTTAAGATGAACATTTTGCCAAGATTTCTTTTTTTGTTTCAAATGATTCCGGTGCTTAAAAGTGATAAACAATTGAAAGTCTGGCAAACTGGAGTGAATAAGTTTGTCTGGAACGACAAAAAGCCGAGAGTGAAATTGAAAATTATGCAAGATGTTCCAGAAAGAGGAGGTCTTAAACTTCCAAACCTACAGTTATATTATGATGCAGCAGCTTTAACTTTAACAAGTGATTGGTTTGGAAGGAAAAAGACTGGAATATTGAATGCAGAGAGTTTTGATCTCGAATTTGGATGGCATGCTTACTTATTTTATGATGACAAAGTTGATAAAGTATTTAAAAGTCATATACTTAGAGACTCTTTGATGAGAGTTTGGAAGAAGCACCGATTCAAATGGGATTATAAAATACCGCTATGGCTGGATCTTGGTCATATTTTGTGGAATACAAATATAATGTCACTCGGGGGGGTTTTATACAAAGAGGTTCTTTTTATAGATGCGGGCAGATGGCAGCTGAAGACATTGCAGACACTGTTGGACGAAGGGATTAATCTAACGTGGTTACAATATAATCAATTACAACTGAGATGGAAAGAGGACCAAAAAACTGGTATTATGTTGCACGAAGAAGAATTGGTTAGACATATAAAAGAGAAAGGTCCAATGCATATCAAAAGGCTTTATAATGTTTTGTTAGAAAGGGATTCAGAAACCGAATTAGTTAAAGATTGTATGATTAAGTGGGCACAAAATTTTGAAGAACCAGTGATGTTGGAAACATGGGAAAAAATTTGGGTTCAGAATGTTAAATTTACACAGTCGCAGAATCTGAGGGAAAATTTCTATAAAATGTTTTATAGATGGCATTTAGATCCCAAAAAGTTGTCATGTATGTACCCTAATGTTCAGCCAAAATGTTGGAGATGCGAATGTTTGGATGCTACGTATTATCATGTTTGGTGGACCTGTAGGACAGTTAAAGCTTTTTGGATAAAAATTTGGTGGGTCATGCAGAATGTTTTGAAGAAAAAAATTCAATTCTCTCCACAATTGTTTTTATTGGGTATAGTTAAGGGTTTTACATCGGGTGAAACAAAATTGATATTGTATATGATAACAGCAGCAAGATTGTTGATAGGTAAATATTGGAAAAATGAAGCTTTGCCCACTATTGAAGAATGGACTTTGAAGATGGCCAGTTTCGCAGAGATGGCGAAGATTTCAGCATACTTAAAAGATTGCTCACAAGAGACTTATGAATGGGAATGGAAAAGGTGGATAGAATATGTTCAGAACAAATATCAAACTAGAAAGTATCAAACAGCTTTTATTTGAAAATAATATATTAGAAATATTTTAATGAAATGAGGTAAAAAGAAAAATTATACAGGGGAGGGAGGGGTTCAAGTTTACACATAAGTGTCATTCTAAGGGGTTTTTTTGTGTGTGTGTGTTTTTTTTTTACCAGTTATGAGTATATTATAGGGAAGTCTGGGGGGAGGGGAGGGTTAGGGAGGGTTAGGGAGGTTGGGAAGTTTGGGGGGGGAGGTGGGGGGGGAAAGGGGTGAAAATGTAATTGTAAAACTTTTGCAATAAAAAAAAAGAAAACAAAAAAAAACAAAACAAAAAAAAAATTAAAAAAAAAAATTAAGGGTTTAACAGCCTTTATATAGAAGGGGTGGAAGCCCCAGTGGGCCAGGCAGTGATGGAAAGAGCACTGGTAATAGAGGCAAGGCCAAACTTTTTCCTCCTAGGGGGAAGTAGTTCCTCTTTTTAAAAAAACTATGCAGAATCCTTAGGCGATTCCCTGTTGCAAGGTAGAAAAAGCCTGATCTTGACAAACTGCCCCTCACAAGTTATTTCATGAAGCTTCAAAAGAGTAGAAAAGTTAATGTGCTAGGACAGTTTTATACCCCTGAATTTTAGAACATGGCCACAAGATATGAAGGCCGGGTGTTTCCTATGACTGATCTGAGTGAACGTCACTATTCGGTTCCCTTCTGGGAATGGAGAGACAGGAAAAGAGTGAAGGCAAGAGGAGGGTGGGGCAGAAGGGCTAGGAAGGAAGTCAAATTCCTTACTTCAGGGTCTTGTAGTGAAGCTCCTTCACTGGAATGCCAAAGAGCTCCTTTGCTGCATATTTGAAGATGTGCTCCAAGTATCCCCCAGAGCCACCTCCAGAATGGCCAAAGAGCTGTTCTTCCAAAAGGTTGTCAAACCTACAGCAGGGGAAAAAATGCCACAAAGTCAAGCTCTCAATTCCTGGTGACTCTATTGATACTACATCCATGTAGTTTCCTTTTCTAATGATTTCCCTATGTAGCCAACTGTCAGGTTTCCTACCGATGCCCTAATTAAATCATGAGCCTCTGAGCCAAGCTTCAAAAGAAATCCAGTTATTTATTAGGAGCTTCATGTCGGCAAGTTCCAAGTGAAGCCAACTTTTGGACACAATATGGGAATTCATTTCTGCTGCCTTTTTTCAGGATATTTTTTTTCACTTCTCGGTTTAGTCTCCAGCCCTTGGCTTTCCTTGCTAGTCTCCCATGTAAGTGCTAACCAGGTCCAATCCTTCTCAAACTTTCCAACAGCATCCCAAACTAGGTGTTGCTATTAAATATACTACCAAATGCCCAGCAGTGTTGTAGTAAAACCAAAGTCCAATGTAAGGGATAGAGGACAGGAGATCAGCACAGCTTCCATATTCAACCACTGGAAGCCACCCTTGGCCTCATCTGCAATGGCAGAAGACATGTTGAGGTGCTTATTGCTAGGCAGATGGCAAACATGGTCACTTTTGAGATGTGGCTGATCTCTCACTCTGGCATGTCTCATTAATGAGATACTCCGAATTGTAATTGGACTTTGGCCACACTCTTGAATTGAGTGTGAACAACTTTTCTTAAGCCTAACTTGGCCTTTAAACAAAGTGCAATTCTAAATCAAAGTGGATCCAGCCAGGACAAAACTAAAACCAGCTCACTTGGGTTAGGTCATCTAGATATATTTGTGAGTAAGCTGTAATGGCAAGGAGAAGGGGGGAGCATCATGCCTTCTCCTGGCCACGGAGACCCTCCTTTAGCTGAATATGTTGCAAAAGAAACTAGGGAAAACAGACCACAGCTTGGCAAGTAGACTTCCAGGAAGAGTCTTACATGCTATCCAAAGGCATAGGATTCACTTCAAGAAGGGAGACTCCTTCCTGGTCCAGCAGCTTTAAGACTTCTCCTGAAATAAAGAGATGTGACAATTAACTCAAGCAGATCCAAGAGACCAAGCCCTGGCCCAGAACAAAGACGAGAAGCTTCACAGGATTCCAAGGCAATCTCAGGTGAGTCTCACGGGCATACATGGGGAAACGTCCAGCAAGGAAGTTAAATGAAAGTACAAGGATCTGATATTTGATTTATGCTATTTTTCCTACTGGGGATGAGTCCATTTTTGAAAAAGTATTACATTTATGCTACATGACCTCAATTGATAGGAATTAGAATTTGAGAAGGGGTCCTATGGATGGAAAAAATAGTGTCAGGCATTTAACCAGTTGACTCCCTTGCCTTAAGTTTGATGTAGCTACTGAGAGAATATACTCCTCTCCTTCAGTCACCAGCCTCTTTCTATCTTGGAATTATATTCAACCCATTAAGATTGCAAGCTTGCCCAAGGCAGAAATAATCATGTTTCTTGGATCTGCCTCAGGTCACTGGGATCAGATGGTGTATTAAAAAAAACAACCCAGAACCAATTCCTTCTTATGGTAAATACTAGGATTATATAAAATGTCTCAAATCTGTCAGGCTTGGAGTAATAAAACCCCATCTCACTTTGAGTTCAAGAAAAATTGGTTCTAATTCAAAACGAAGTGTTTCACACGTTTTAAGTTATTTGTACAACCTACTAAACTATCAAGAGTAGTCTGAATTGTCTCTTTGTCCCCAATTGCATGGCTTGAAGTGCTTATTTGGAGCGTCCCTCTCTCCACTTGTGACAAATGAGACCCTGGCCTCTATCAAGATTCCTATAAGAGCAGGATTAATTTACAGAAGGGACTGACGAAGGAGAAGCAGGGTCCTTCCCTCTCAAAGATCGTTTAGACCTGCACTTTACCTGTTGTAATCACACAGTCAACCTCACGGGTCTGGTGGTTTTGAATGAAGAAATCTGGCCTGGAAGCTTCTAGCTTTTTGTCATAGCAAGGCATCACAGTGACATGGTAGATTTGGTCTGGTGTCAGGTACTGCAACAAAAAGAGTTTCGAAATTGTATTGAAACTGGCAAAAAGAATACTTAGCCCTAAATTTCCAACAGCCAATGCAACTGAACAGTGGAGCACAATCACATCCCAGTTTGGGGCCTTAGTTGTTGGGCAATCAGAAACTGATGATTTAGCTCATCCTTCTCCTTTATATATCACTTCCCCCTCTTGCTCTCCAAATGCTGGCTACTCACTATATGTTGTGACCCCGACTCCCGAGCCTGTCCTAACAGAGGAAGAGGACTCAGAAGGTGATGGGGAGGAACTGACAAGGCCTCCCTCTCCAGGACTCTCCTCTCTGGCAATGCCTCAGGTTCCATCCGAAGGCCAAGAGGAACAGCCTGGGATATGCCAGGAGGAAAGCATATCGGAACAACAACAGATAGGGAGCGAGGATGATGAATCCTGGCTCGATCTCAGGTAGCGTTGGAGGGAGAAGCGTGCGCAGCAACGAAAGAGGCGTGGGAGGGCCAGAGATTGAGCTGAGTCACGGAGCCACACCCCACAAGGAATAAAAGTGCGCGTGATTGCTCTTCAGGCTTTGTGACGGTCAAAGTTAAAAACCTGAGTCACATTGCGTTACCTGAAATCTGGCTTGTGCATATTTGGATTGGACCTTGGCTAACTCTTGCTTCGTGGATTACTTTTTGCTACTGAACCGGACTGAGGAGAAACTCTCTCTTGCTTACTGTGAGTGAAAACTGACTTGGCAGGCATTTCGCAGTTTACTGCCAAAACTCTTATCTGCAAGGGTTTCTAGTCTGATTGTTTAATAAAATCTTGGCAGGTGTGCCTGGTTGTGTGTTTGCCTGTGTGGGGACGGGGGACAGAACACTATACATCTGAAGAGTAACATATACAGAATAGCTGGTCTAAGTGACCCAGAAAGGGGGGGGGGACAATCACATCATGGTAGATTGCATCGCACTTATGGCAGAAGCACCAAGGCCCATCCCGGTTGAAGGGATTAGCTGGTGACATCACCATTGCTGAGGGGATGCCCAGATGGGAGCTCCTTTTATGTTCCTGGCAGGTGTTGGAGCGAAGGGAGGTCAGCTCACCCCACGGCAGCACTTGGGTCTCAAATGCAGACTTGCTAACCTCCAACCCAGCATCCTAACCACGCAAGCAACCATGTTCCTTAGCAACAGCAATAGCACTTCGACTTCTTCGACTTATAGCTTCACAGTGCTTTACAGCCCTCTCTAAACGGTTGACAGATTGCCCCCAACAATCTCGGAAGGATGGAAGTTTGAGTCAACCTTGAGCCTGGTGAGATTTGAATTGCCAAACTGCAGACAGCCGGCAGTCAGCAGAGGCAGAAGTAGCCTGCAGTACTGCATTCTAACCACTGTGCCACCACTGCTCTATGGGTAGATCATTGAATAGGAAAGAAACAGCTGGCTGCCCCTTTGGGAAAACACACGCACACACATACATCCTGTTTTTACAGAGGGAGCAAAGGCTCTGAGCTACAACTACAGCAGATATTTGTAGCACATTTGTCAGTCTGTCCTTTGCCTCCAGTGGCTTCCAAACTTCCTATTACATCTGCTGTCTTGTGAGAAAAGTTTGAGCAACACCTGTTGTTTGGCAAAGTGGTCCTTAATCAGGGAGCCCATGATCTGCTGGGGTGATCTGGTAGTGCTGATGTATGGGATGATAAAACTCCCGTGGGTTTTTTCAGCATAACAGATCCAACCTGTAAGAGAAGCATTTTTAAGAATTAAATCAATCCGGCTGCCCATCTCTGGGTCAATGAAAGCTACGTAGCAAAGATGGACCATGACCCAATTTAAGAAAGGTTGCACAAGGAGTTATTTTTCCCATCCATTAAACTGGATATAACCAGACACATAAATATGTATCAAGCCCCAAACATTTGGGCAAGACGACAAAAGCAATTACTGTACTCAGATTATGGTAAGGTATATTTAATGCTATTTTTGAGATAAAGAAAGAAATGTGGTAATTGCAAAAGGAATTTCTGAATCTCCTTCACAGTGAGTTCACAAAGGCACAATCTGTTTGCATGATTTGAAATAATTGTTGGTTATTTTCCCCCCAGGCTGAATTGCTGTTTGTGACAAAAGCTGCCAACAGATTGTACTGTCTCTTGATCTATTATGCCGCCAATGTTTTCCATGCATTTCCCAGCTTCCATACCATCACTCACAGTATGGAAATCAGGCAGGACATATGTAAATTGCAAAACTGCCTGCTTGGTTCTGAAAATGCAAATACAGCTAGTCCTTTAAAGGCTTAATTCTAATTCCCCATTCATCCTGTTTGCCCTTCTGTACAGGTTGAAAAACAGAATAACACAGCTGGAAGGGACCTTGGAAGTCTTCTAGTCCAACCCCTTGCTCAAGCAGGAAACTCTATACCATTTCAAACAAAAGGTTGTCCAATCTCTTCTTAAAAGCCTCCAGTGATGGAGCACTCAGAACTTCTGAATGTAAGCCATTCCACTGGTTAATTGTCCTCACTGTTAGAAAATTCCTCCTTAATTCCAAATTGCTTCTCTCCTTGATTAGTTTCCAACCATTGCTTCTTGTCCTGCCTTCAGGGGCTTTGGAGAATAGGTTGACTCCCTTACAATCCCAATTGGGACTAGAATTTCAGGAGTAAGGTCATTGTGGTCATAGCACTCAGGTGACTGGACCTGATTTTTTTTTTTACTATTTTTAAAGTGTTCGTTAGTGAATCACATGGTTGTAAGTCCAAATCATGCAGTTAAGCAAATCCATTCTCCCAAATGGTTTTTTTTTTTTTTTTTGCAAAGTGGCAAAATACACCAGAAACAATTAGAAAACTATGCAAATCAATCGAGTGACCATAGGATGCTGCAATCAGTTGTAAATGATGGGCATAAACTGTTTCAATTCCTACCCTCAAAATGACGCTATAGAGCACTGCACACCAGAACAACTAGACACAAGAACAGTTTTTTCCCAAACGCCATCACTCTGCTAAATAATAATTCCCTCAACACTGTCAAACTACAGTATTTACTAAGTCTGCACTATTAATCTTCTCATCGTTCCCACCACCCGTCTCCTTCCACTTATGACTGTATGACTGTAACTTTGTTTCTTGTATCCTTACGATTTATATTGATATTGTTTCCTGATTGCTTATTTGTACCCTATGACTATCATTAAGTGTTGTACCTTATGATTCTTGACAAATGTATCTTTTCCTTTATGTACATGCGTATGCATCAAAGACAAATTCCTTGTGTGTCCAATCACACTTGGCCAATAAAAAATTCAATTCAATTCAATTCAATTCAATTCAATTCAATTCAATTCTATTCGATTCTATTCTATTCTATTCTATTCTATTCTAAATGGGAGTCAAGTGCCTGAAATCCAGTCATGGGGGAGGGGGGGCATGTTTTACAACAGCCATAAATGCTGTATTGGGCCACAAAGAATTTCTCCAAGGCTGTCATACTGTCATACCTTCAAACTTACTAGTTATAAGTTGAGGACTACCTGTAATTTACCTTTTGAATTTTTTTTAAATTTTTGCTGAAATTTTGTATAACATGGTGGCCAGATTTGGAGCCAGTTATGGTGGTCAGATTTAGGGCACATTACATCAAGGACAGTCTTTTCAGTCTTCACTCCCCTCTGGTGCCATGTGACACTTACTTACCAGGGCAAGCAGCAGCTAACATGGGCAAAGCCTTCTTATCTTCTACTCGTCTCTGGAAACGCTGCACAAATTCCCGCTGGCTCTCCAGCAAACTGAAGTTCCTGCTGAAAGTTGTATCGAAGACAAAATGCACCCCTGATAAAGGAGAAAGAAGAAGTGTTGAATAGATACTACAAGGAAGTGCAATTCAGGATGGCATTTGGTCAACTCAGCTGCAGCAAAGAAGAGGCTGCAACCATCAATGATCAGCAGCAACATTTCACAGGACGTATGATTGGCATTTCATTAGTTCATGCACCTGGCCAAGTTTACAGAAAGGACTGTACAGGTTTCTGTAAGACATCTTGAATGCTAAGGTGGTCCCTATTTTTCTACTTGCGTTTTTTACGTGCTTTCAAACTGCTAGGTTGGCAGAAGCTGGGACAAGTCACGGGAGCTCACCCCGTTACGCGGCACTAGATTCGAACCGCTGAACTGCCGACCTTCTGATTGACAAGCTCAGTGTCTTAGCCACTGAGCCACCACGTCTTTAATACTAGCCTGGAACAAATGCATAATCTTTGATATTATAATAATTTCCTGCCTTATTTACAGTGAGTTCTTTACATACTTTGAATGCTGCTTTTTTCCTTCTACGTAGGCTCAGTTGCTATTTATAAGCTGCCATCAGATTTACCTTGTATTGCTTGAATTTTCATCTCTCTTCCATTTTTTCCCAGCCTTCCCACAATTTTGAATGCAAATTAAAGTATTACATTTGCAAAGCATTTGGAACTCACAATAACTGAATACAGGAATAGAAATTGGATAAGATTACTTTCTCATTTACATCACATGCTTGATGATTTCCACATAAGCACGGGAAGGAGTTTATTCTTATAGCCGCCATGTTCAATTTCTCTGCAAGTGTTTTAGAACAGCATAATCCAGAATTCTTCACAACTTCCCAAAAATATGATTGAATTATTTTACACCCATTTTTGTAGGCTAGTTTCCATGGTTGTGGGTAATAATAATGATTGAATTATTATAATTGGTATAAGATTAGGAAAAATATTTTACCACCTTTTAAGTATGTCAGCTTATATAAATGACAACGCATATATTTCAAATTTGTTTTATTTTCTCACATTTCCCATATTTCTGTCTTTAATACTGCTTGGGTGTGACACACAAATGACTTTGATTTGGATTAATTTCCCCGGATTAGCGCAGCATCTCTTTTGAGAATTTTAAGGAGCATCTTTCTGGCTGAGAAATGCCACTGCAGACTTTACATGCAAATCTTTTAGCACTGTTTTCAAATCAAATTCTACTCACCTAAATTCTTCAAGAAGGCTGTCAGCTTCTTAGCTGTGTCTAAAGGAGTCATTCCGAACCTTGCAGCTAAAGAAGCTCTGGACTGGGGAGATACAGACACCACCACCAATTTCTTGGGAGAATTGGATGCCTTTTAGTTAAAAAAAAAAAGAAGAAAAAAACCTGTAACTCTCCACTTGACCTAGCAAACTGATATTTGTATAAAGGCAGGTGAACTATTTCCGTGTGCTTATTATCTAATACATTAAACATACCTCTTCACCGGAGGAGCTAAAATTAATATTAAAGGTTGACTCCTGGTGAACACATCCCTTCTCTCTTTCTCCCTTCCCCCCAATATTCAAGGTAGATAACGATTAAAAATGGTAATGGAAAAAGAGAAAGTTGGAGGCCATTAAAGTACAACTCCGTTTAGTGCAAGAATCAAAATTAAACACGAACATATCATCGCTAGGTTTGTTCCCTTTGTCCTATTTACACATTATTAAAATGCTAAATCACTTTACCTTATTGGCATTTAATACTTTGCAGAGCTCGTCGTGGCTCTGCTGAGTGATTAGGATGCTCTCCGCTGATGTAATGCAACCACTGCAGGCCAAGCAGTCATTGAGTGTAATCTTGGCCTTTTCCAGTTTTTTGTGACCCTCCGTCCTAGGAAGGAAGCCATCGAATGTACTGCTGTCAGCATCCTGAAAAAAGTAATGGTGATGGGCATCCACAGGGAAGGCCAAAAAGCCAGGATGATAGATGTAGCCACACAAGCGAAGCCCCACCATTTTCTTACGTGCAGCATGGTTGTGTGGCTACCATCTTGATCTTTTTGACACATATACACACCCCAGGTACAGGTAGTCCTCGACTTAGAACAGCTTATTTAGTGACCGTCCAAAGTTACAATGGCACTGAAAAAAGTGACTGATGATCGTTTTTCACACAACTGTTGCAACATCCCCATGATCAAAAATTCAGACGCTTGGCAACTGATTTATATTTATGACGGTTGCAGTGTCTCAGGATCATGTGATCCTTTTTGTGACCTTCTGATAAGTAAAGTCAATGGGGAAGTCATTCGTGTTACTAACTTTAAAAAAAGCAATGATTCACTTAACAACTGTGGCAAGAAAAGTTGTAAAATGGGGCAAAACTCACTTAATAAAGTCTCACTTTGGGTTCAATTGTGGTCGTAGGCTGAGGACTACCTGTATTCCTGTTCACTTCCCACTTTTGTTACAGGGTTCCCACCATCAAAGACAATACCGTAGAGGAGTTACAGATTTCTTTTGCTCTGCTCCACAGAGAGATTTGTGCTAGATTATATCCTCGAGAACACTAATCTGTTGTCAAAAGTTTAGAGTTTCACAGCAAAAACTAAGATAAGTTTCTGATTATGACAAAAATGAATCACATCAATTTCTGGTCCTCAAATCTAGAGCTGCTCCCTTCCATTCCAACAAAAAGTTCTGCTAAAGATGATCTGTGTAGCAGAGTTACCAACCACTTTAAAACATGTTGAAAAAAAGCTTGTTCTATAGTCCGTAAAACGCACTCAGACAGGGGAAAGAAAAACTTTACCTGGCCAACTTGGAAATAAGTTCCATCATCTTCAATACGGATCTTAGCTGCTACTCTCCCAGACTTTTCAACTTTGATTGGTTTTATGCATTCCTGAAAGGGAAATCAAACAATCAAATTAGCCAACAAGCCAACAAACATCTGTAACAAAAACAAAACAAATACAAAAATATGTGGAATTAAATATTTAAAGATTAATTTAAACCAAGCTTCCTAGGTGAATCCCAAATTTTGCTAACTATGATCTGGCTGGCATTATATTCAGTCCTTCTGCCTCTGAAGCTTTCTGTGATTTTACTAAACTGGGTTCCACAGGCATCATCTTTTCCAAACCTAAAACATAGATACGAATCTTAGATGTCTAACATGGAAAACAAATGAAGCCAATGCTCTGCAAAAGAGAAATTTTTTTTGAAAAAATGAAACAAGATGTAATTTGCTTATGATAAACCTGTATAAGAAAAAAAGTTGAAAAATATTTGAATTACAAATATTTTGGGCAAGAATTTATATGCTCAAGATCAATGAAGAAAAAGTGAATTGTTTTGTATATAAACCCACAAGTACAATTATAGTTAAAAATGATGATAGATATGTAGGAGTAGAAATCAAATGAGACTAAAACTATAATAATCAGAATATACGTATCTAATAAAAGAAAATTATATTCTTTAAAGGACATGGAAAAATTAATAGATTTACCATGACAATTGGTGTCTCTTGGGAAATTGGAATGATTTTTCCAAAACTAGTTAAATAATTGTTTCTGTATCAAATTAATGCAAGGTAAGCTGCAAAATAAACCATCAAAATATGTTTTGAAATGACGGAGAAATTTGAGCTCATAGCTATATGGAGAAATGTAAATGGAAATGCTACAGAACATACATACTTATCTGAAAGACACAGATCCTTTTCAAGAATAGATACATTTTGGATTTCTAAGAAATTAGCCGTGTGTATTAGTAAAAACAAAGATACTACCAAACATGATGTCACACTTTAATCCGGTGCCTTTGACATATGAGAGCACAGAATTTACAGATGGAGGTTAAATGGGACTCTATTACAAAAAAAATCAGTAATCAAGGACCATAAAAAACTGAAAGTTTTAAAGAATAATCTAAATAAAAGTACACATGTAAGAACAAAATGAAACACAACTAAAGCTTTTATAAGAGGATAATTTATAAAGAGCAACAAAGATGATTAGGGGGCTGGAGGTTAAAACATAAGAAGAATGGTTGCAGGAATTGGTTATGTCTAATTTAATGAAAAGAAGGACTAGGGGAGACATGATAGTAGTCTTCCAATATGTTAGGGGCTGCCCCAAAGAAAAGAGAGTCAAGCTATTCTCCAAAGCACCTGAGGGCAGGACAAGAAGCAACAGATGGAAACTAATCAGGGAGAGAAGCAACTTAGAACTAAGGAGAAATTTCCTAACAGTGAGAACAATTAATCAGTGGAATGATTTTGTCTTGATCTAGGAGAGATTTCAGATGAAACCTTAGTAAGACCACACTTGGAATGCTTCATCCAGTTTTGGTCACGTTATAAAAAGGAGGTTGAGACTTGGGAAAAAGGTCAGAGAAGAGCAACTAAAATGATCAAAGGCCTGGAGACTAAAACATACGAAGAATGGTTGCTAGAATTGGGAATGTCTAATTTAATGAAGAGAAGGACTAGGGGAGACATGATAGTGTTCCAATATCTCAGGGGCTGCCAAAAAGAAGAGATGGTCAACTTATTTTCCAAAGCACCTGAGGGCAGGACAAGAAGCAATGGGTGGAAACTAATCAAGGAGAGAAGCAGTTTAGAACTAAGGAGAAACTTCCTAACAGTGAGGACAATTAACCAGTGGGACAGCTGGCCTCCAGAAGTTGTGAATGTTGCAACACTGGAGGCTTTTAAGAAGGTAGGTTTTTAAGTATAGGGTCTCCTGCTTAACAGAGGGGGGGGAGTTTTGGACTAGTCCAGGGGTCTCCAACCTTGGCAACTTGAAGCCTGGCGGACTTCAACTCCCAGAATTCCCCAGCCAGCAAAGCCAGCAAGGTTGGAGGCCCCTGGACTAAGGTCCCTTCCAACTCTGTTCTTCTATGTTCTATGTGAGAGCGCTGCCCGTTCCCTGCTGCTTGCTGGGCGGGGAGCGCCCAAGGCCGGACGGGAGGGCGAGAGCAGCCTTCCGGGCCCGATGCCAAGCGGCCCAGAGAGCAGTCCACAGCCCTTGTCACGCCGCCCAGGTCAACTGGCTATACCGCTTTCCCAACAGGCAGAGAATGGAGCCCTTTTAAGCGAGGCCGCTTCCTCCCTTACTAGAGAGGGAAACCCCAACAACCCCAACCGCAGTGAGGCTGTGAGGAAGCACCACGACGACGCTTAGCCTTAGGCCCACGGAGAAGGCAGCTCCAGACAGGCTAGTCCCACTTCGGCCTCTTGCCAGCCCACCTGACAGGGCTACCCATAAGGCCTGCGAGCGTCGCTCCGGCCTGACGCCCACCTGCGAGGGCCCGATGAAATCGTCCAGGTCGGACAGCTGCAGAGCGCCGCTGAAGGGCGACGCCACCGCCATCTTGCTCCCGCCGTAAAGCGCGCAAAAGACGGCGATGACGCCACAGGCCTTTCTGTCGTAAAAGCCACTGCGAGGCTCCGCCCATTCTCCTCGGGGGTTGTTTTTTTTGAGAGACCGTGAGGCTCCGCCCATTCTCCTCCTCGAGGTTGGCGGCGGTTTGAGGGACCCCGAGGCAGACACGAGGCTCCACCCTTTCTCCTCCGGACGATTGGTGGTTTGAGGGACCGCTAGACAGACAAAAGCTCCGCCCATTCTCCTCGGGGGGAGGGTTTGAGAGACCGTGAGGCTCTGCCGATTCTCCTGAGGGGGTGGCGCTTTGTGAGACCGCGAGGCAGGCGTACGAGGCTCCGCCCATTCTCCTTGGGGTTGGCGGCGGTTTGAGAGACCGTGAGGCTCCGCCCATCCTTCTGGGAGGGGGCGGTTTGAGGGACCGCTAGACAGTCAAAGGCTCCACCCATTGTCCTCGGGGAGGGTTGTTTGAGGGACCGCGAGGCAGACATGAGGTTCCGCCCATTCTCCTTGGGGGTTGGTGGTTTGAGGGACCGTTAGACAAAGGCTCCGCCCATTCTCCTTGGAGTTGGCGGCAGTTTGAGGGATCGCGAGGCAAAGATATGAGGCTCCGCCCATTCTCCTTGGGGTTGGCGGTTTGCGAGACCGGCATACGAGGCTCCGCTCATTCTCGGGGTTGGCGGTTTGAGGGACCGCTAGACAGACAAAGGCTCCGCCCATTTTCCTCCTTGGGGTTGGCGGCGGTTTGAGGGACTGCGAGGCGAGGCGAGGCTCCGCCCATTCTCCTTGGGATTGGCGGTTGCGAGACTGCGAGGCAGGCAGACGTGGCTCCGCCCATTCTCTGGGGGGCGGGGGAAAGAAAGGTGGCGGTTGGGGAAGAAGAGCGCCTCTCGAGCCTTTGGCCGTGAGGGAGAAACTGATCGGGGCTTTCAGAGGCTGCCCACCGGGACTGGGATCTGAGAGCTCAGCCGGGGGAATCGCCCAAGGCCATCTCAGCCATCGCTGAGTAAACGGAGACCCCCCAATTTACAATGCGGTCCTTTGGGCTGCTCCAAAAAAAGCACCAGGGGGATTAAACTAACCGAATTTACTAGTCTCCTACCAGCCTTGCGAGGTAGTCCAGCCAAGAAGCACACCCAGGAGGACTAGCTCTAATTTTAATTGGAAAGTTATATTCACTTCTGAAGACAGCAAAGTCCACCTTTTGGATAAAGAGGACCCTTGCTTTGAAAGAAGAGTGAAAGAGGCCATTTATGTTAATATTGAGCAGCCCCCCCCTTCTCAATGGGGATGGGGGTATAAGACACCACCTGTCCCCAAATTTATAATTCAGTCCTTTTGGCTGCTCCAAAAAAGCATCAGGGACTAGACTAACCAAACTATTAGTCTGCCATCAGCCTTGCAAGGTAGTCCAGGCAAGAAGCACACCCAGAAGGACTAGCTCTTAACTTTATTATAAGGTTATATATTCACTTTTTGAAGACCGCAAAAGCCCACTTTTTGGATCAAGAGGACCATTGGTTTGAAAGTAGGTGTAGGAAGACAGATCCATCTTTGTTCAGTTCCAAGATGGTGAGAAAGACGCTGGAAATGAAATGGAGGCCGATTGGAAAGAAAGTTTATTGATGAGAAGAACCAGCAACAAACAGCATGTGGTTCTGGGGCAGCTGACCAATTAGCTTGAGTGCAATTCATCAAGTTTACACTGTATTTTGTAATTTTGAGATTTGCTTTGTGTGCTTTTATTATTTGATTGGCTTTAGTTGTTTTGCAAAGGTTCATGATGGGATCCTTGGTCCTAATCCTGTCAAGCATGTGTAACTGATTTTATCTTGTTATGGCCTCTAGTCTGCCTTTCCTAATGGACTTAATGGTATTGTTTTCATTTTTCTCAATGGAGGGGGTTAAGGTCATCTCCTGTCCTTAATCCCATCACCTGGAGGTGAAGGTGTTTTGTTTGTGAATAGGCTTGGCCCAGGATTTCTTAATGGGCACCTGCTGTAGGCTATTAAGAAAGAGGGGAGGGGCTGCTGTCTGCCTCTATGAACATGTTTCTGCCATTTCTCCTTTGTTCCTGGGGAAATATAATATTCTACCCTCTTAATATTCCTCAAAATATTTCATTCTTTAGGAGGGGGGAGGTGTCTTCTCACAAAGGGTAAATGTTTATGTTAACATTGAGAAACCCCCTCTCGAGGGATAAGACACCACTTATCCTCAATTTACAATGCAGTCCTTTTGGCTGCTCCAAGAAGATTCCACACTTCCAGGTAAAACCATAAGGAACCACAACGGCTCTCCAGAGAGTGTTAAGATCAGTTGGACTGCATTGAAAACACAATCTTTCCACCCCACTCCCCCCAATCCTGTCAGAACCCATCATTGCCTCCTCCCACCAACTAATCTCAACTGTCAATAACTGTCTTTCCATCTCCCACAGCATCCAATACAATTGATGAAGCTTCCTGGATAGGAATCAGTCCAGTTGCCTTTTCAAACTAAATACCACTTTTGATACTCCTCGAATCATGGAATATCATCAGAATTGCCATCACTGAATCAAGAAGGCATGTCAGATATCCTTCATTGCCCAACAGTTTGCTTGTTTTTTCTTCCTTGATGTGTCATAAATTATTGTTGTTATTTAAATATTAGATGGATTCCAAAATTGGTGCAGAAGAACCCAGATGGAGGAAGGCAGTGTTTGGATTCTTGGCCTTGGAGGCTGCAATAAACCAGCAGATCAAGGACTTGTGCAAAGGAAAATAGGACCTGGATGAAGGGAGAGAACTATTGGGTGCTCATTAGATAACCTGGATACTGTTTCTACTGCTGGTCCCCTTTTCCTGTTATGGATTTTTGGGTGAGGCCATAGAGGCTATAAACTTGAATAGATCAACTCTTTGTTGAGGGGAGGAGAGATTTATTAATAGAAGAAGAGAGTGAGAAGGACTTTTTTGTAGATTAGCAGGACTTGGTTTTCTTCTTTTGGGTTTGACCTTGGGATGGTTGGTTGGCCTTGGAAGGGAACCACTAACCACTAAAACCAGAAATCGTCTCTTCTTTCCCTGCCCCTTTTCTCAGAAATGGAATACTGTCCCAAAAATTTGTACTGCCAATCAGTGCCAATTTAAAAAGAATTTCTTGGGCACCCAGGGATTACCACCTTGGTAATCTTTGGGCTCTATGTGCTGGTTGGCCTTTGCGTTTTTCTCCACCAATGCAAGTAAGTTGTTCCTGCTCATTCCGGGAGAGTGGCATCACTACGACCTGGGAAACCCCAGGGCACTGAAAGCACTATTGGAGCAAAAGGGATAACCTCAGGGATTACCAGTGTGATCTCTAGGTGTAATCTGCAATCTTTAATGTTGGTGTTAAAACTGTAGACTCTCCGGTAATGTTGGGAATACAGGTAGATAAATTTTGTATTCTTTCACACCCAACTGAGACTTCTAGGCACATCACTTGATGTTCATAACCGCTCACAGGAGAAGCTCAAGAGATCCGACACAGCTAAATTAGTTATTTTATTGTAGACAAGAAAGAAGCCATATATATATGTAGAAGATTTGCCTACTGCAGAAGACAAAAAAGTCAACTATTTCTCTGTATCCCTTACATGGTTTAAATTCTAGGCCCTTTCTGAGACTCTCTGGAAATTTGGTTATTTTCTTTTCGACCTCGAGAATGGGACATACCTGTTCTAGGTTTGCAAAATGGTTCTATATTCCGATTAACAGAGTTGGAAGGGACCTCTTGTAGGTCATTTAGTCCAATCCCGCATCCAAGCAGGAGACCCTATGCCATTTCTGACAGATGGCAATTCTGTCCAGCCTGAGAATCACTGGTTTCTGCCTCACTAGATCCAGCTCTTGCAAAAATGAAACCCAAATGGCCTCTTGCCATTTTTTTAATGCTCTTTTTGGCACTCCAACTACTATCGCTACAAACTGGCGACAGCCCCCTGGCCTTCCAAGTTGGTGGGATGGGAGAAAATGAGGGATTGGAGAGATTTAATATTGTTAGCTTCTGGTCTTTTGTCCTCTTCTCATCATCTGTAATCCCAAAGGTCTTCAGATTTTCCTTCCTGTTTCTGAGCTGCTCCAGGGATGAGAGAAGCAGGGTAGGGGGAGATATTCTGCCCCAGTGACATTTGCAGGGGGTTACATACAGGAAGTCCCTGACTTACAACAGCTGATTTAATGACTGTTCAAACAGTCCCTGAAAAAAGTGACTTATGGCCATTTTTCACACAACTATTACAGCATCCCCATGGTCACGTGATCAAAATCCAGACACTTGGCAACTGGTTCCTATTTATGACACTTGCAGTGTCCCAGGGTCAAGTGATCCGTTTTGACCTGATGAGCAAAGTCAATGGGGAAGCCATATTCACTTAAACAACCGTATTTCTGATTTAACAACAGCAATAGTTCATTTAACAACGGGGGCAAGAAAAGTTGTAAAATGGAGCAAAACTCACTCAGCAATTGTCTTACTTAGCAACAGAAATTGGGCCATAAGTTGTGGTTGTAAGTCAAGGACTAGCTGTAACCAGGTCACTTGAAGTGTATAACAATACCTTTTTTTTTTCTTCTATCTATACACACATCTTCATAAACTAGCTTGCAGGTTGGGATTCTGGTTAAAAAGCACAGGAGAAAGTTTCAAATGGTATATTCCTGTTTTCATGAGGGCCTCATTCCGAACAGGAAGAAAAGATAGCAATAGCACTTAGACTTATATACTGCTTCACAGGGCTTTTACAGCCCTCTCTAAGCAGTTTACAGAGTCAGCCTCTTGCCTCCAACAATCTGGGTCCTCATTTGACCCACTTTGGAAGGATGAAAGGCTGAGTCAACCTTGAGCCTGGTGGGATTTGAACTGCCAAATTGCAGGCAGGCAGCAGTAATAGCCTGCAGTACTGCACTCTAACCACTGTGCCACTGTGGCTCTTACATACAATCTGCTTCATTTCCAATCCCTTCAAGAGGCAGTTTTCCTGTTGGAAAGGCTTCAGATGCCCCTCTCATAAACTTCTTCCTCATAAACCGAGATGGACAAAATTTACCTCAATGCATGAATGGGAGGCCTGCAGAAATACCAAACATTGGGGCCAAATCACAGGTTGCCAAGACTATAAATGCTCTCATTTTGCAATCTGATTGGGATTATTCCTCCAAAAGCTCCACAAAGGATAGGAAGGAGGCATCACTGGTCACAAAAGACCACGCGTGAGCTTTGGATTCCACTTCAAACAAAAGGACAAAGGTAGAACAGAAGCGAAGCCAAATTGAATTAAAATTACATTAGAATTCATACAATCATTCCCCAAATGCACATTTCCCTCCTGCTGTATTAAAAAAAAATGCAGTAAGACAATATTTTGGAGGGTTCTGGAGGCTGCAATCATGAGTTGGGAGGGCTGGGTGCCATTACAAAGCCTTGGACAGTGCACCACAGCTGTAGAAGGTGATGGATTTACTCATTTTGCTGGCTCCATTTGACCCCCACCCCCACTTCACAATTGCAAAAATTCTACCGTTTCTGCCAAAGAGTCCTTCCAAACACCTGATCCTTTTGAGTTTTAAAAAAACCCTGTTTTGTCACCAAAGGAAGTACCATCGGCATGTCCAAGTGAAGATGCCCAAAAAATGTAAAATAAAAGCAGTGACAGCAATCGGTTTGCAAGCAACGAAGCAGGGAAGGAAGTTGGCACCTGCAAAGCCCCAAATCCACATCAGCAACTCCTCTGTAAAAGAGATGAGGAGGATCAAGGCTTGGAAAAGATGCTGCGAGCCTTCCAAGATCCTTAACCTCCTTTTGGAGAGGCCTGTAGACCCTCGGAGGCGGTGCAAATAACAGTCTGATGTTAGCAGGCGCATGACATGGAGGGATTTTGCATTTTGAGTTTCCATGTGCGCTTCAGAAGAGACCACACTGTGCAAAGGGATTCCGGAGACAGACTTGGATGTATCCAACAGCTGCTTTCTCCTTAGAAGTCCACCATCATTCTTTATTTTCAGCAGTGCTCTGGATCCGTGGCAGTAGAAGTGCATTTTCCAGACTTGAGTACTAGAAATCTGTTGCAAGAAACATACCCAGGAATTCAAATTCCAGGCCAAGCTTTGAAACCCGAAACCAATCGCTTAGCCTTTGCTGGGTTAAAGGAGATGGCCGAGGACATCAAAAGCGTGTCCAGATATTTTTTTTAAATAGCCAGAAGCAGTTTGTGCTGGAGGTGAGCATGATCAAACCAATATTTTTAAAAAAGCACTTTATGAATTCCATCTTTCCTATTAGTGAAAATATATATTATATGTATATACATATATATTTATGATCTTAAATAAACTATTCTCCAATTCTGAGAAGATATTTGGCCTCTCTCGGTGCAAGGTGGGATCCTGGCTACTTAAAATCTGCCAGAATATCGCTGAAGATGTTCAGGAAAAGATGTGCGTGGTGGTCTCGGAAGACCAGAGTGGGTCGGAAACGGATCGATCGGTCCCCACTGCCGCCTAATACGACACCTGAGGGAAGAGGGGAAAAAAAAAAAGGAAGCTGCAGATTCAGTTCTCTTTAATCACACAAAAAGAGTTTTCCATCACAAAATCCCCTGGATACTGGCAGGGATATCATCATGTTTAAGTAACTAATCAAATAAGCTATCAATCAATCAGAATAGAGCTGGAAGTGACCTTGGAGGTCTTCTAGTCCAAATCCCTGCTCTAGCAGGAGACCCTATACCAGTCCAGACAAGTGGCTGTCCAGTCTCTTCTTGAAAACCTCCACTGATGAAGAACCCACAACCTCTGAAGGTCACTGGTTAATTGTTCTCACTGTTAGGAATATATAATATATAGCTGGATGCCCATGCTTTATTACAAAACTCTGTGATCAGGTGTGATAAATTGACACTTAAAGCCTGAAACTTAATGTAGAATGTGTAACTCTGTAGCATCACAGCGTGTTAATATAAGGCAACTGGCAGTTTGAACAGAGGGGGAGGAGGAGGAGTAGAATGTCCCACCCTGCAGGCCAGATGAGTCATGCCACACCCGGTTTAGCATGTGAATATAAGGCAACTGGCAGTTGGGACAGAGTTCCTTTCAGGTGGGGAGGGCGAGTAGAACGTCTAGCTCCTTAGCATCAAAGATAGTTTGGTAGAGATTATAAAATATAATCTCTACCAAATCTTTGGCAAAAGTGAGCGTAGGTGGCAGATACCGAGAGTCAAAACAGGACAACTAAGATGCTGGAGGTATCAGGCCTGGAGGAACAGGTGTGGTCTGCCAGCAGCCTGCAGAACTGGCAGCGGAATTGGACAGTGAGGAGGCTGGGGAGGACCATGGGCCAGTCCTGGAGTCTGGGGAAGGCCCGGACGAAGGCTCTGCATCAGAAGCAGAGATGGGGCCAGGGCCATTTGGGAGTGATGTGTGGACTCGGAGCCCCCAGAGTCAGACAGCAGAGAGGCAGAGGAACAGGAAGAGCCTGTCCCTAGTGCACACATGCGCAGAGCTGCCAGAAAGCAAGAGCAGCTAAAGCAAAAGGGATGACTCGGGAGTAAGGCCAGGAGATGATTGGCTCCTCCTATAAAGCTTAAAAGAGAAACAAAGGCACTTGGGCCTTTTTGCAGGAAAGCAAGGTTGCTAACTCTGTTTCCAGTCGGTGTCTCTTGTTTGTTTCTGAACTTCGTGGGGCTTTGCCAAGTAAGGCCTTTGGCAGGGTATCACAGAAGATAAAGACTGGTGATTCTCCCGAAGGACTTCTTCTGAAGGACTTGTTTTGCAACTAATTTGGACTCAGCTGGGAATGAACGTAATTCTCAGCTGTTACAATAAAATAGGTTTATTTGGGACTAATTGTGTCTTGTAATGACTCAGTAAGCCTAGGTCACAACAACAGGTTGCACCCATCACTCCCAAGAAGCTGGCGGCAAGCCCTACATAGATGGGGAAGATCATGGAAGCAAGATAATCAGATTTCAGGAATTTAAGGCTACAGTGGGGCAAATACAGAATCTTGGAACCAGCAAGAACAATTTCCCAGCCTCCTTCATACGGAGTTCATTTACACAATCTGAAACATTTCTCCCTGTTTTCTCCCCACCTGAGCTGGTTTACTATTTATGAGATGAGCTACTGATAGATTCATCTTCCGTCTCTTGATGCTCACATCTCCCCTTCCCCTTCCTTTGCTCTCCACAATTTCTCACGGGTGGAGGGACCGGGGGGAGGGGGATTTCTTGAAGAGCATCTAAGAGGGCAGCCTTAAGTACAGGTAAATCCTTGCCTAACGAACACAATTGAGCCCCCAAAATAACAGTTGTTAAGTGAGTTTCTTGCCACAGTTGTTTGGTAACACAGTTGTTTGAGGAATCTGGCTTCGCCCATTGACTTTGCTTGTTGCAAACTGCCTGGGAAGCGATCACATGATCCTGGGATATGCAACCGTCATAAGTACATGCCAGTTGCCAAGCATCCAAATTTTGGTCATGCGATTGCGAGGATACTGCAATGGTCGCAAGTGTGAAAAACGATCAGAAGTCACTTTTTTTCAGTGACCTAACTACCTAACTATGTGTGATTCATTGGATGGGGGATTTGGAGGCGTAATGGAGAAAGGGCTAGAGTTAGAAGGTCAAAGGTCAGCCTATGGCTTAAAAATGGCCGGCAACACTTAGCTTTTGAATATCCAACTGAATTGTGAGAATCTTAGATAAGCAGAACAAACGAGGAGAGAAAAAAACTAGAAGACTCCCCCACCCAGAATCTCAACTTTCACTAGATGCCCCTCATAAGATTTTTAATGAAAGCTGGAAATAGAATAGGCAGGTCTATTTCTTCAGCTAGGGGGATCAAAAGCTTGTTTCTTTGTCCTTACAATTTACACATTTCATTACCCACCTAGGGCTTGATGATATTATCAAGCTTGGCAGTGAAACATCTGCAAGAAAACAACCAAGCTCAAAGAGAACCAATGACTCTTCAGTTCAGCCTTGGGCTTCAGATCTCTTCTGTTTAAATCCATGAAAGGATGGATTTTTTTTTTCTTGTTTTCCTCCTTCCTTCATTCAAAATTGTATCTACTTATTGCCATTTTATTATTATTAAAATTATATATTTATCATTATTCTTATACCAGCAGTTGTACATTTATGCATAATTTAGTCTGATTAAAAAGCCTCAGTAGGTGGCACTGTGTGATTGATCTCATTTGGAAGCTAAGCAATCTTGTAATATTTGGAAGCCTGTTTAGTATGTGGAAGGGGATCGGAGATCACTAGGAGATTTTAGGATTGCAGACTAGACTGAAGTTAAAAAAAAAAAATCTCTAAAGATAGCACTAGCAAATTGTTGCCCTATTTTTTGCCCAATCCCAACTTGAGGTTAAACTTAACTTGGAGATAGTTTTATTTTTTAAAAGACATTAAATATGATTTATCAGGTACTTCCCAACCTTTGAGATCCAGGTGTAGGAAACAAAAACCCAAGCTCTGATTCAAAGCACCACATCTTACCTTTGTTTCTTGCTATTTCAATGAGCTTGTTCCGAATTGTGTCATTTGGAGTGTCAAAAGAGCAGAATGTCCCTCGTCCCCGGACTCGGCTGATCAGATGGGGATAGCGACTCTACAAAAAAAGGGAAAAGTAAATCACAGGTTGTCATCTTCGTGGAAAACCAGCCAAGGCATGCTGGGAAAAAAAAAAAACCAGGGAAAGGAAATATAAGAGCTGTGGGTGGCACAGTGGATAGAATGCAGTATCGCAGGCTAACTCTGTTGACTGCCAGCAGTTTGATTCTCACTGGCTCAAGGTTGACTCAACCTTCCATCCTTCCAAGGTTGGTAAAATGAGGACCCAGATTGTTGGAGGCCATAGGCTGACTCTGCAATCCATTTAGAGAGTGCTGTAAAGCACTGTGAAACGGTATATAGGTTTTATTGCTATTGCTATAATTCCCAGACACTGAGCTTTAAAAAAAAGCACCTAGTTTTCTCACTAGTAGAGAACATCAAGAAATCACAATCGTGACTGTGGCAGATTGTGGCAGTGCTGTAATGGCCACACATTTGCAAATACACTTGGTCTGAGGATCCTTGACATTTAAATTCCATGGGAATAATGGATTTTGTACACATTCTTTAAGTAATCAGATTATAAGATATCATGATTCAAAAATGTTTGCCCTATGATGCACTGTTTCAGTCAACCAAACAGGAATAGAACAGAATAACAGTTGGAAGGGATCTTGGAGGTCTTCTAGTCTAGCAGAAGACCCTATACCCGTGATGGGGAACCTATGACATGTGTGTCACAAGTGGCACACGTAGCCATATCTGGGTATGTGAAGTTGTCCCACCGGAAGTTGTCAAACAGGCTGTTTTCGGCTTCCAGAGGACCTCCAGGGGGTGGGGAAGGCCATTTTTGCCCTCCCCAGACTCCTAGAAAGGCTCTGGAGGCTGGGGACAGCAAAAAACGGGCCTTCGGTCCCACTGGAAGTTGTTAAAATGGGCCATTTTGGCCTCTGGAGGACCTCCTGGGGGGGTGGGGGGTGGGAAGGCCGTTTTCGCCCTCCCCAGACTCCTAGAGAGGCCCTGGAACCATGTGAGAAAGAAAAACGGGCCTACTGCGCCATCACATGCCAGGAGCAGGGGGGGTTCGCGCACTCATGCGTGGGGCACATAGAATTATGGGTGTGGGCATGCGCGCATGCAACCAGCCCCCCCCCCTCCTGGCACGCGATGGCAAAAAGGTTAGCCATCACTGCCCTATACCATTTCAGACAAATAATTGTTCAATCTCTTCTTAAAAGCCTCCAATGATGGAGCACCTACAATTTCTGAAGGCAAGCCATTCCACTGCTTAATTGTTTTAACTGTCAGGAAATGTCTCCTTATTTCTAGTTTAGTTCTGTCCTTGACTGGCTTTATAGAGTTTTAGTAGCTTCTTAATATTCTCAGCTTCCAGCCATTCCTGGATCCACTGACTCCGCTTATTGTGGGCTTCAACTGTAACAGTAGGTACGCGTGAAACAGAGAAAAGCTACGGAGTCTGGTTCTTCTAGCCAGAGATGCCCAGCAATAGTAACTCCATTGTTGGGCATCAGAGATCTTGCCCACATCTTTTAATATTTAAGTATAAAAACCCAGTTTGCTCCGCATCCAACAAACTGTCCAAATCTCTTACTTTGCAAGAAAAATAATGGAAGATAATAGCAGAGTTTGCACCCGTAATTAGCCTGCAATACATTGAATCACAGACTAAACAGACCGGGATACCCAATAAGGCAAATCATGAACAAAGTAATTGAAGTTGTTTAGCTAGCAGACTTAGGCTGTAAAACAGGGGACACATATTCGTTTTTTTTAACAAAAACTGTAACAGATTTAACAGATTAAGAGAGTTGGAAGGGACCTTGTAGGTCATCTAGTCCAACCCCTGGCCCATGCAGGAGACCCTACACCATTTCTGACATATGGCAGTCCAGTCTCTTCTTGAAAGCCTCCAGTGATGAAGCTCCCACAACTTCTGAAGGTAACTTCTGTTCCATTGGTCGATTGTTGTCACTGTCAGAAAATTTCTCCTTATTTCCAGGTTAAATCTCTCCTTGTTCAGTTTCCATCCATTATTCCTTGTCTGGCCTATATGTGCTTTGGAAAATAGCTTGACCCCTTCCTCTCTATGGCAGCCCCTCAAATATTGGAATACTGCTATCATGTCTTCCCTGAACCGATGAAGTAGCACGGCAGCCAAAAACAGAAGCACATTCCAGACATATCTCTCTCAAGGCTGTCTCCCAGGGTTACCCACAGCAGCCGGAGGGGAGTGATCTCTACAACCTACGAAATTACTCCATTGTGAATGCGACTCATGACACACCCTGGGGGGAGTGGGGAAACAGGGTCATGATTGGGGCATAAATTACGTGGGATTAGAGTTGGCTTCACTTGGAATGTCCGACATGAAGCTCCTAATAAATAACAGGATTTCATTTGAAGGTTGGTTCGAGGCTCATGATTTAATTAGGGCATTTACACTTACCTGTAATTCCAGCAGCCCCATCAACAGGACCTTCCCAGCATGGCTGACGTTGCTCAGAAGATCCTCCCTTTTTATGACATTAATGACCTCCGCGAGCAGAAGATTCTTGGAAGGGTCCCCAAGCCACGTGTTAAAAATCCTATATGGCTGCAGGGTAGACAATCCAAAAGAGATAAAAGAAGAAGAAGAAGAAAAAGGAACAATTAACCCCTTTCTTTTGCTTTGACATACAGGTAGTCCTGAGTTACAACCATTCATACTGTGACCGTTACAACGGCAGTGAAAAAGTGACTTATGACCAGTCCTCGCACTTATGACTTCACAGCATCCTCGCCGTCACAGGATCAAAATTTTGGGCACCTGGCAACCAGCATATATTTAGGATGGTTGTGGCATCCCAGGTCATGTGATTGCCATGTGCGACATTTGCAGGGAGTATAATAATAATAACAATAACAATAATAATAATAATAACAACAAGTTGGAAGGGACCTTGGAGGTCAACTAGTCCAACCCTCTGCTCACGCAGGAGACCTATACTAGGATTCGAACTGCCAAACTGCTGACCTTTCTGATCGACAAGCTCAGTGTCTTAGCCACTGAGCCACCTAGCCAGGTTTCTGACGTCCGAAGTCAATTGAGGAAGCTGGGTTTGTTAAATGGCTATGTGGTTTGTTTAATGACCACAGAAAAAAAAAAGTCTTAAAATTGGCCATGCCTCTCTTAGCAAGTTCTGGCTGCAATTGTGGTCCCAAGTCAAGGACTACCTATATGGCATCACGATAGCAATGCAGGAGTCTACGACAACTTGCCGTGGGACAATTCAATGCTGTATTAATCATTTCATTCAGGTGCTTTTATCATTGGTGTCCACGTTTTTGATGAAATTATTGTTAACTCTTGTATTTCTGGATTGACTTTCTTCATTTTATTATTATTGGCCATGGTTCCGTTGAAATTTAACAGATTAACTTTTACAGATTAACATCACATTCAAAACCGGAGGGTTTCAAAGGAATTTAACAGATTAACAGAGTTGGAAGGGACCTTGTAGATAATCTAGTCCAACCCCCCACCACCAGGAAGAGACCCTACATCATTTCTGACAGATGGCAGCCGAGGCTCTTCTTGAAAGCTTCCAATGATGAAGCTCCCACAACTTCCGAAGGCAACTTCTGTTCCATGGGTTGATTGCTCTCTGTGTCAGAAAATTTCTGCTTATTTCCAGGTTAAATCTCTCCTTGTTCAGTTTCCATCCATTATTCCTTGTCTGGCCTTCGGGTGCCTTGGAAAATAGCTTGACCCCCTCCTCTCTGTGGCAGCCCCTCAAATATTGGAAGACTGCTATCATGTCTCTCCTGGTCCTTCTCTTTACTAGACTACCAAGGCCCAGTTCCTGCAACTGTTCATCCTATGTTTAAGTCTCCAGTCCCCTCATCATCCTGGTTGCTCTTCTCTGCACTCTTTCTAGAGTCTCAACATCTTTTTTACAATATGATGACCAAAACTGGATGCAACATTCTAGGTATGATCTTAATTTAATCTTTGTATTTGTTGAATTGTCCTGCAATGAGTTGTTTTGCAGCAGGTGGGCCTGCAACCAGTTGGCTGATGATAGTTGTCCCATTTGGCTTACAACTCCCAGAATTCCTCAGCCAGCATTTGGGAGTTGGAAGTCCACAGGTCTTATAAAGTGACCAAGGCTGAGAAACAGTGTCTTAAAAAGCTCTTCAAAACAGAAACTTACTGCATTTGCCCGAAATTCCTCCTTGTGGAAAAACCCTCCGGTCATCATCTTCTTGCTGAAACTCAGGACGTCCGCTGGATCTTCGAGCCCCCAGTGTTCGTGGGCCCAGAATTTGCCAGTACAGCCACCTCCCGTTTGTACCTCGTCTATCAAGAAACCGCAGCCGTGCTGTTGAGAAAGCACATCTGAATTTTAGTCCCTTTAAGAAAGGAATAAGGAGCAATTTAAGAAGGAGGTGAAATTAGCTTTGCTTGCTTTCTTTTAAGGGGGGGGGGGCTCCAAATTTGGCAACTTTTAAGACTTGTGGACTTCAACTCCCAGAATTCCCTAACCAGCATGGCTGGCTGGCTGAAGAATCTTGGGAGCTGAAGTCTATCAGTTTGTTGAAAAAATCAAATCCAGAAAGCACACACAGATAACTGATTCAGCAGGATTCATTAACTTCTCTTTATATACATAATAACACGTACAATACCAACAGCAAATTCTTCCAACGTGGTAGAGAGAACAAGCAAAACACAAGAAGAGGAGAGAACAGTTTCAGTTCAGAGTTCAGGGCAGACTAGTTTCAGTTCTCAGCACAGCACAGAGCTACAGAGCCATGCCCAGGCTCCTTCCTGTCTCAGCTCCTATTGGCTGACCTTGTTAGTAAGCTCTATTCATTGGCTGACTTTGTTTAGCATGTCTCTATTCCAGTTCATGAATATTCTGATAAAGTCTACAAGTCTTAAAAATTGCCAAGTTTGGAGACCCCTGCTGTAAGGAATACATGAGCAGATAATTGTCAGAAGTAGAGATTCAAGGATCTGAAGGGACCAGTTGACCTACTGGTCTCAGTGTGCAACCTTAGGAAAGTCACCCCACATCTTTGCTAAACCTTGTTTTGTATTAATTTGTTTAGATCGGGCAGCAGGTTAATTCATTTAATTCAGTTTAATGGCCGCTCATCTTAAACCAAACCCTGGACAGCTCACAACTAAAAGTTAAGCCAGACTTCTGCAAATAGAGCTGCCTTCTAAATGTTTGGATTTACAGAATTCCCCTGGCCAGAAACCATGGTTGATGGTTGGAAAGCAGGAAATTGCTCTGGTTGTGTAAGGTTTCATTATGCCACAAACTCGTGACCATGTTTTCGGTGGTTCACTATGCAAGCTGTTCCCAACATATAAAATAAAACACATATTCTATCAGATCCAGATCCTAGGGTCTAAGACGGGTATCAGCAACCTGCAGCTCCAGAGCTGCATGTGGCTCTTTGGGCCCTCTGCTGCGGCTCCGTCGGGTGATCCCACCACAGGCTGGCCACGCCCCTTGCCCTCCCCTCCCAGTCACTCCTCACCTAGCCTGAGAAGGTAAGGGCGACGGAGGGGGATGGAGAAGCAGCCAAGGCAGAGAGATACAGAGAGGGAGAGAGGTGGGGAAGGAAGGGAGGGAGGGAGAAAGAGAGAGATGTCAAAAGGGTTTTGTGGTTCCCAATGTTTTTTAAAAACCGGTTCTCTGTCCTAATGCCCGGCTGGGTAGGCTGGAGGGTATGTGTGTGTGTGTGTCATGTGACTGGTGGAAGTAACGTCAAGTTGGCCACACCCACCCAGGTTTTGTGGCTCCTGGTGTTTTCTTTTCTGTGGGAAATGGGTCCAAATGGCTCTTTGAGTGTTTAAGGTTGCAGACTCCTGAGAGGCAACAATTGGAAATTAGTGGGGAAAAAGTTTTCACCTCCCAAATCTATTCACTTCTCATCTGAACTGTACAATCGTATAGGAAAAAAAAGACCAAGAAAAGCCTTAAATAGCAAGCCCAGCAGGATCCTGTGGAATCTGAAATTACCAAGACATCTGATTCTTGCTCCTGATGCCTAAATAGAGATATTATGTTTTGATACAGAATAGAATGGTGGAATGTAGTATGTCTATAGTTACGCAGACAGTTCCTTGAGCCTGGCAAGATTCTGTCTGAAGGCAAACTACAATAAAGGAACTATTCAGAAGTAACTACACACCGTATTTTCCCGTGTATAAAATGATACCTTTTCTTTAAAAATATTTACTTAAAAATGGAGTGGCGTCTTATACGCGGGGGCCCGAGAGGCTAATCACGGTTGCGAAACTGCCGATATCTTATCTCTGCAAACTAGCCTCACAAGTGAAACTTCAGATTGCTTAAAATACTGATTTCTGAATTTTGGGTAAGAAAAGTGGCGTGTGTGTGTGTCCAATACATGGGGGCCTCTTATAGACCGAAAAATATGGTATAAGCCTTGCCACTCAAACGACTATTGGCGTAACTATAGATCTATTATTCTGTGAACTGCTAGACAGGGGCTGTCTTAGCTCTTTTCCTGCCTACCGGACATGCCAAGCTCCTTTGCCCTCTGGGAGGCAGCCCCTCCCTCCTGGGAATCCAGAGTACATTCCATGACAATTGGGACTAAATGCAGATGTTCAATTTCGTAGGACTCCTATTGGGTTTTCCTAGATCATCTTGGAAGCTACTACTCGGAGATTAGATAAGCTTATTGCTCAGGAGACAAATCTTATGTCAGGGTTCCGATGGATGCCCTAATTAAATCATGAATCTAGAGCCAAGCTTCAAAAGAAATCCAGTTATTTATTAGGAGCTTCATGTCCGCACGTTCCCAAAGAAACCAGCTCTGACCCTACGTAATTTACGCTCCACTTGGGAGCAATTGTAGAGGCCACTCCCTTTCGGCTGCTGTAGGTAACCCTGGGATACAGCCTTGAGAGAGATAAGCGTGGAATGTGCATTTGTCTTTGGCTGCTGTGCCATTTTGCCGGTTTCCCATCCCCCCTGGCCTATGGCAACTCGAGAGCAGGCCAGGGATGCTTTGCGCGTTGATATCTTATGCTTAGAAAATGTTCTGTTTTATGTCAAATCTCACCTTTCTTGCGATGTTTCTCAATTTCCTAAAAAAGTCATCCGATGCATGATTGTCCCCCCCTTCGGACTGAATGGGCTCCACAATGATTCCGGCAACAACTTTATTCTTTTTCCTGTATTTAACAATCAAATCTTCCACCTGCATGATAGAACACAGTGAGATTTCGTTTTTAAAGAAACAAATCACTAATATGCGTTTTATCTTGTTCCGATTCATTGTGATAATTTATGAAATTCCAGGAAGCAATCAAGAAGGATTGGTGATGCTTCTGCACCATTGAATAACCTTCTCCAAAGAAGAAACCACCAGATGAATGCAATTTTTTTCTATCTGGGATGGCAATTATGGCAGTTGAGATCCCACACATCTGGATAGGATCCAAGGTTGGAGAAAGATGACCCATGAGCCAATTTGTTCGTAAAATCTGCTATAATCTAGTGTTAAATAAAAGAACCTCATTGAAGGCATAACCTGCTGGTTAAAGTTAATGATATAACATGAAATAAATTAAACAAATTTAATTTCTTTCAATTTATTTAACTGTTGAAACAGTCCTTTCAACAGTTCCAAGAAGGCCCTATACCTATTTCCACCACTCAGGTGACCCCGATGACACAGATAAACCTCCAGATGATCTTAAAAGACCTGCTAAAAGGATGCAAATGACCAGCTGTCTGCAAGGAATATAAACCCTTCCATTCCCCACAATCCCTGTCGGAGCTGAAGAAGCTTCTTGGATGAGAAGCGAAACGTCTTCAAAAGAAAAAACAAGGAAGTCCAGTTGCCTCCTGAAAAAGCAACTTCGGGACAACCAGGATCTAGAAAAGACATGAGGCTGATTAAAGTTAACTTGGTTTGTTCAGGCCTGAACTACCGTATTTTTCAGAGTATAAGACGCAGCTTAGTTTTGGGGGAGGAAAATAGGGGGAAAAAATCTGGCTAGCGTCCTTAGTCTGGTCAGCTTCAGCACATTAGTTTGCTGGTTTTTTATCCCTCTGCTTGGGGATAAAAAACAGCTTCTAAGGCACAGCTGAGAGGAAGCAGCATTAAGAAAAGCAGGCAAAGCAAAGGGGGAGGGGGAGATCGCTTCACTCGGCTAGCGCCTAGTTAGGGCTGACAAAAAGCTTCTAAAGAACAGCTGAGAGTTGGAGCAAAGCATGGAGATCGCTTTACTCGCTAGTGCCTCGTTAAAGCACAGCGGAGAGTGGAGGGAGTAGGCAAAGCTGGGAAGATCGCTTCACTCATTAGCGCCTCATTAGCGCCTCCTTAGGGCTGAAAAAAAAATTCAAAAAAGCTACATTCAGAGTATAAGACGCACCCAAATTTTCAGCCTCTTTTAGGGGGGAAAAAGATGCATCTTATACTCCGAAAAATACGGTAAATCGGGATGAAGATGCTTTGTCTCTTCCAGGAACGACAAAGGTTGGGTGTCCCTTGAGGTCCTTCTCCTCCATCTTATGCTTGATCTTTCTGTGCTGGGTTAATTGAGCAAAACAAATTCGCTTTCCGTTAGCCAACCACTGTTGCCCGAGGCGCCTTCTGCACTCGGAAGACGGGCTTGTCCTCACCTCTTCTAAGCAGCGCGCTTCCTCCTGCTCGTTTTCTCGCACAAAGTCTTCCAAAGGGTACTGCAGCCTTGGGAAGGGAGCGATGGGCCAGTCGAAGGACGGGATGTCCAGCTTATGAATGGCCTTGGAGTGCGTAGTGGCTAAGCAGCCTTAAACAAAGAGAAAACAAGACCATGACAACCAGAGGAAGCCTTCAAAGATAAGCACCTCGTCCTGGCCAGATAAACATCCTGCAGAAAAATGCTCACTTGACTGGATAGGAAGTTCCTTTCATTCAACTCAAACCTTGGTTCCTTTATTTATTTATAAAAAGTGTCTTATTTAATAAACATTAAAAACATTGGACACGGTGTGACCACCTTAGTCTTATCATATCCATACATATTTTTCCATAACAACAAATATAATTACTATTTAACATACATTGCTACTTTCTTCTTACATACATATCTCTTGTCCTCATTTACATATTTGTCCAGATATTATCCAATATTAATTCTATGAACCCTAAATCTTTTTTGTTCCAACTCCTTTCCAACCATTGGTACACTTTATTCCAGATTTTATAGTATTCTGTCTTGTCCTTGTTTTTGAGTTCTAGTGCCAGTCTGTCCATTTCTGCACATGTCAAAATCTTCTTTATTATTTCTTCTTCCGGAGGGATTTCTTCCTTTTTCCAGTATTGTGCATAAACCAACTTTGCTGCTGTTATCACATGCAGCATTAAGTATATCAATTCTTTGCTATATTTCTCTTTTGTAATTCCTAATAGGAATAATTCTGGTTTTAGGTCAACGTTTTGTTCTAGTATCTCCTCCAGCCATGCCTTAATCTGGCGCCAGAACTCCCTGGCTTTTTTTTTACATAATCACCACATGTGGTAGAAAGTTCCCGGCATTAAATTGCATTTCCAAAGTTGTGGTGAAAGTTCCTGTTCATTTTCGCTAATCTTGTGGAACTCAAACCTTACTTTCTGAAGCTGGATGATAGAAGCTGCAGATCTATCTCCTTTCTGTGGCAAAATTTCTCTGGCAGGCTTCCCTGTCATTATGTCAATTATCCCCAATGCCTGCACACAGCATCGTGGATCTGTCAAGTTCAAAGTGTGATTTTTGCTGTCGCAGCCGTTGCCGCTTTTCAGCTTGCCGCAAACTCCGGTGGGGGAAGGGGAATGCCAGTTCCAGGCAGCAACAAAGAAACTGTCCCGTAAGAACCAAGGTCATCTAATCCAGGGGTGTCAAACTCGATTTCATTGAGGGCCGCATCAGGACTGTGTTTGAGCTCGGGAGGCCGAGTGGCCATGGCCAGTTTGACATCCTGCAGCCCTCTGCCAGAGCACGGCCCTCCTGGGCTCCGTTTTCGGTTGGGACGGCCTCCTGGAGACCTCTGCCAGAGAAACCGGAGCCTCTGAGGCAGTGGTGAAATCCAAATTCTCTTACTACCGGTTCTGTGGGCGTGGCTTGGTGGGCATGGCAGGAGAAGAATACTGCAAAATCTCCATTCCCACTCCACTCCAAGGGAAGGATACTGCAAAATGCCCAATCCCTCCCCACTCTGGGGCCAGCCAGAGGTGGGATTTGCCGGTTCTCCGAACTGCTCAAAATTTCTGCTGAAACCTGATGGATTTCACCCATGCTCTGAGGGCTGCGCGTGGCCTTCCTGTTTTCGCTGGCAGAGACAGCACGGGCCAGTCTTTCGCTGTTTCCAGGGCTGCCCCATGTGGGCCAGATCCAGCCCATGGGCCTTGAGTTGGACACCCCTGATCTAACCATATGTTCAGTAAAGTCTCGGACAGTTTCCATAACAGTATTTATTTGGACAATGTTACCTGCCCAAATGGGGGGCGGGGGAAAAGGAGATTCAATTCTTTAATTCTGTGAATACCCATGGGAATTAAACAGAGTTGGTTTTGCTTTCAATCAGTGCCAAAATGATGTACTCAATAAAGTTTTGTATTAAAAGATCGGATTGTCTCATCAGTGCTGGCTCCGTTGGGATGAAAGCTCTTGAATTATTAGGCCTTATCTGACATCACCTTGATGGCCTGCAATCAATCAAGCCATCTCATTGATCATCTACGCTTGTATTTAATAGTACTTCCAACAACAAACAAACAAACAATAACTCTTTCTTACCCATGGTTCTCCCGTGAAATGCACCCATAAAGGAAAGCATGCTGTATTCCGGGCAACCTGGGGGCTGAAATGCAAAGAGAAAGTTAATGCTTATTCATTATTCATTCATTATTCATTAAAAAGCAATCAGTTTCCTGATTGCTTATTTTGTTCCCTATGACTATCGTTAAGTGTTGTACCTTATGATTCTTGATGAACATATCTTTTCTGTTATGTACACTGAGAGCGTATGCACCAAAGACAAATTCCTTGTGTGTCCAATCACACTTGGCCAATAAAAAAAATCTATTCTATTCTATTCTATTCTATTCTATTCTATTCTATTCTATTCTGATCTGTTCTGTTCTGTTCTGTTCTGTTCTGTTCATTAAAATTTCAAATTAGGCCACTAGGGGGCAGCCTCTTCCCCACAGCAACGCTAACTGGACTGAACAACTGAATGATACCCATTCAGGTGGAGGATAACTTATTTTTATATTTTTCCAATTCTGCTGTATTATGAGGAGAAAGCTTTCCTCTTTTATGAATATTAAAACAGAGGGCTGGCATTCAAACCCAAGCAAAGCAGATTTCAAAAACCAAGCAAAAAGTTATCCCTCAAGATGCAGTCTTATTTCACCCTTCTTCAAGTGTTATTTTCACAGAACCATCTTAGATTAGGTGAGGAGTGGTTGGTCCAAAGTCAACCAGAGGACTTTATGGCTGACCAAAAGATGAGAGGTAGACCTCCCTAGTCCTAGGTTGACCTTGATCATTAGCCCCTTTGATGCCACCAATCACTTAGGTAAGAAAAATCCAATGTACAGGTACAGATTTTGGCGGTAGCCAAAAAAGCCAATGCAATCCTAAATTGCATTAACGGAGGGATACGATCAAGATCAAGGGAGGTACGAATACCACTCTATAAAGCCTTAATAAGACCACGCCTAGAATACTGCATCCAATTTTGGTCACCACAATATAAAAAAAGATGTTGAGATCCGTGGTGGAATTCAATTTTTTTTTACTATCGGTTCTGTGAGCGTGGCAGGGGAAGGATACTGCAAAATCCCCATTCCCACCCCACTCCAGGGGAAGGATACTGCAAAATCTCCATTCTCATCCCACTCCTGGGAGAAGGATCTTGCAAAATTCCCATTCTCACCCCACTCCAGGGGAAGGATATTCCAAAATCCTCATTTCCTCTCCACTCCTGGGGGAAGGATATTGCAAAATCCCCATTCCCACCCCACTCTGGGGCCAGCCAGAGGTGGTATTTGCCAGTTCTCTGAACTACTCAAAATTTTCACTATCAGTTCTCCAGAACCTGTCAGAACCTGCTGAATAGCACCCCTGGTTGAGATTCTAGAAAAAGTGCAGAGAAGACCAATAAAAATGATTAGGGGATTGGAGGACAAAACACATGAAGAGTGAAGAACTTGGGTCTGGTCTGGTGAAAAAAAGGACTAGGGGGTGACACAATAGCAGTGTTCCAATATTTGAGGAGCTGCCACAAAGAAGAGGAGGACAACCTATTCTCCAGACACCAGAAGGGCAGGACAATAAGCAGTGGATGGGAATTAATCAAGGAGAGAAGCAACCAAGAAGTAAGGAGAAATTTCCTGACAGTAGAACAGCTTTTGCCTTCAGAAGTAGTGGGTGCTCCATCACTGGAGGTTTTTAAAAAGAAATTGGGCAGCCATTTGTCTGGAATGGTATTGGGTCTCTAATGCTTGAACAGGGGGTTGGACTAGAAGACCTCCAAGGTCCCTTCCAACCAGGGGTGGGTGCTAATTTTTTTTACTACTGATTCTGTGGGCGTGGGTTATTTTGTAGGCGTGGCTTGATGGTCATGTGACAATTCTTTAGGATTTAGCAGAGGTACTGGTCTACCAGGCTTTTAACTGCTTGTAGAGCTGTACCGGTCTACTCATGTATTTTTGCAGGCACTGGTCTACCCATTTATTTTTGCAGACACTAGTCTACTCATTTATTTTTGCAGGCACTGGTCTACTCATTTACTTTTGCAGGCATTGGTCTACTCATTTACTTTTGCAGGCACTGGTCTACTCATTTATTTTTGCAGGCATTGGTCTACTCATTTACTTTTGCAGGCACTGGTCTACCCATTTATTTTTGCAGGCATTGGTCTACTCATTTATTTCTGCAGGCACTGGTCTACCTATTTATTTTTGTAGGCACTGGTCTACTCGTGTATTTTTGCAGGCACTGGTCTACCCATTTATTTTTGCAGGCACTGGTCTACTCATTTGTTTTTGGAGGCACCGGTCTATCACCAAACTGCCTTTTACCACTGATCAGCTGTTGGGCAGCTCTTTGAAGCCCCATGGTAAGTTTTTTTCCTTATAGCCCATCAGCTGGGAGTCAGGAGGCAGCAACAGATTGGAGGTGGGGCCAAATAAAAGGTAAGAATAACGCGGGGGGCGGGGGGGCAGAACTGGTTCGGTGACGTCATATCATCACCGCTACTGGCTCGGCAGAACCGGGCCGATCCGGGAGGAACCCACCACTACTTCCAACTCTTGCTATTCTAGTTTCAGTCATTTAGAATGCTTTCTGTTAAAAGAAGCTGCTGTCTCTGTGGGAAGTGACTGGGCTGCCCTCTGGCCTTCATATCTGGGTCACTGCATCACATCCCTATTTTCGAGACAGCATCCCTGCCTGCCCAGAGTGCTCGACTCTTCCTGAAAACGTCTTTGATTTTCCAACTATAAAAGAAACAATTGACAACGCTCATCCACCCTCTTGTTTTCTAGCGGTCCAAACCTTATTGTGGACATTGTCTAGCTTTTAAGAACATAAAGTATGGAAATAAAACAAGAAAACCAAGAGAAGAAAATGAAACAGAGGGTCAATAGAATAGAATAGAATAGAATAGAATAGAATAGAATAGAATAGAAATAGAATAGAATAGAATAGAATAGAATCAGGAATAGAATAGAATAGAATAGAATAGAATAGAATAGAATAGATAGAATAGAATAGAATAGAATAGAATAGAATAGAATAGAATAGAATTCATATTACTTGCATAAAAACAAAAAAACGGAGCAGTGGTATTTACTATCAGTTTGCAGAACTGATTTAAAGGATTATGAAACGGACTACATCAGATGCTATGGGGAAACTGAGTTATGAAAGAGAGAACGGGCAAAGTCCCAAGAGAATGACGTAAGGAAAGGGTTTGTTGGGTTTAAAAAAAAGGGTTGGTTTTTTTTTAAAGGGATATCCAGTCCACAGGAAAGTAGGAGTGAGGGTTGGAATACAGAAATGTTTATAGTCAGGCAATTAGAATAAAAACAACAAAAGGTGGCAAGTGTTGTGCTGACTACTTGCTCAGTACACCTTGTCCTTTTAGTCGCCAGTCCTCTGATGTTGCAACGGGTGTGGTCTGTACTCATATTCTAATTTCAGCACAGATAGTTCTCAATTTACGACCACAATTGAGTTTCCAAAATTTATGTCGCTAAGCGAGAAATTTGTTTAAGTGAGTTTTGCCCCATTTTACAACTTTTCTTGGCACATTTGAATCACTACAGTTGTTCAAACAGGAACACAGTTGTTAAGTGAATCTGCATTGACGTAGCTTGTCAGGAGGTCACAATAGGAGATCACGTGACCCCGGGACACTGCAACCGTCATAAATGTGAGTCAGTTGCCTTTCCTCTTTTCCTTTCCCCTTCACTGTCCTCTGATTTGCTTCTGTATTTTGTATTTTATAATACTTTATAATTTAATAAAAATGTATTTATTAAGTTGTCAAGTATCCGACATGGTCATAAGTCACTTTTTCGGTGTCGTCATAACTTCATACATAACTTCTTTAAGTTGAGGACTAGCTCTAGGTCTTATGCTGTCTTACTGGGCAGATGAACACTGAAGCAAAGATCCAGAATGTAGATCTGTCATGGCTTTTGAATGAAGGAATGTACCTTACCTGGTTAATCATGCAGGTCTCCAACTCTTCTTTGGTAACTCTGTTGTCTCCTCTTTCTTTGTTCTGGAAAAGAAAGGTTTCCTATCATCTTCCCAGTCAAGAGTTGCCTTCCAACCAGGGGTGGATTCTAATTTTTTTTACTACCGGTTCTGTGGGCGTGGCTTATTTTGTGGACGTGGCTTGGTGGGGGGATTTGTGACTGGCTGAGCGAGGCCAACTTTTTTTTTTAACTTTTAAAAGCATTTTTTCTACAACTTTAAGAGGTTGCAGAAAAAAATGCTTTTAAAAGCCTCTGACGATCAGGCAACTCAGCTGGGATCATCAGAGGCTTTTAAAGGCATTTTTTTTCCGGCTGAAGAGGTTGTAGAAAAAATGCTTTTAAAAGTAAAAAAAAAAAAAGCCTCTGATGAGGTGGATGGAGTAAGCGAATCTTCTCTGGAACCTTCTTTGAAATGAGATCCTTTTAATTCTGGAATGGAGATATTTCTTTTCCTTTGGGGCCCTCATCCCACAGCATCTATCAAGGGTCCATGGCTGAGAATGGGCAAGATCTGATCTTAAAGTGATGGAACCCTAAATGAGGCTTAGCAGAGCTCCAATTCAGATATGGGGAGGGAGATAAGAATTCTTCCCATATTTCTGCACCTTCTTTTCCCTTGTCTGTTCAGCGGATCAGTCAAACCAGATCAAGTCAACAAACTGATCTCTGATGAAAGGTTTGATGTGCTGATTGACTGTCAGGCACAAAGGATCAGGAGCATATATTAAGTTGAAGCACAGAAGATTTAGTGAAGCCTATACATAAGAATCTAGTTAGTGGTGGAATTCAATTTTTTTTACTACCGGTTTGGTGGGCGTAGCTTGATGGGCATGGTGTGGATTGGTGGGCATGGCAGGGGAAGGATACTACAAAATCCCCATTCCCATCCCGCTCCTAGGGGAAGGATATTGCAAAATCTCCATTCCCACCTCACTCTAGGACCAGTTAGAGGTGATATTTGCCAGTTCTCTGAACTACTCAAAATTTCCACTACCGGTTCTCCAGAACCTGTCAGAACCTGCTGAATAGCACCCCTGTATCTAGTCAATTAATGGTCAGCACTAAATTGGTGCTACACACGTTTCTCGGAAAATAAGGCCCTGTCTTATATTTTTTTTGCCACCAAAAAAGGCACAAGGTCTTATTTTGGGGGTGGGGGGCGATGTCGTCCACTGACTCATCTCACTTGCGCATGTCGACCCCCAGCTTCCTTTTCGCTGTCAGAGGCCTTCAGGAACTTCTTCTGTGGCCGGCAAGGTTTTCCTAAAGGCCTCTGCAGCCGATAACAGAGTTCCTATAGATCTGGAGCTCTGTTATTGGCTATAGAGGCCTTCAGGAAAGCCTTGCTGGCTGCAGAAGAAATGGGCCACCAAGGCAGGTATCGGGGTATGCGAGGACTGGCTGCAACTGTCCAAAGGTAAGGAGTAGGGCAGCTCTACCCCCCCATCCCCACCCTAGCTTAGGTTTTACCTGTGCACCCTTAATTAGGGCTTATTTGGGGGGGAAGGGCTTATATTGGGAGCACGTATAAAAATGAAGCTAGGAGTTATTTCGAGGTACATTGTATTTTCAGGAAAACACGGTAGATATGGGTCAAAAAAATTCTAGAGGGGGCGGACTTGGATCATTTGTGGCAACTCAACGACTCTATGCTGATGACATGTTTAACTCCACCCTCCTGCTCTGCCTGTTGACACAAAGATTTTGAAATTAAACTGAGGCTCCCTCACTCCAGGGGTGAAATGCTCCCGGTTTGGACCGGATCGCCCGATCCAGTAGCGATGGCGGCAGGTGGTTCGGAGAACCAGTAGCAAAAATCCCTGCCCCCCCGCCCATGCCCAGCTGAGCTGCGCGATTATCAGAGGCTGGTTTTTTTACTTTTAAAAGCATTTTTTCTACAACCTCTTCGGCCAAAAATATGCTTTTAAAAGTAAAAAAAAAAAAAAAAGCCTCTGATGATCGCGCGGCTCAGCTGGCATCGTCAGAGGCTTCTTAAAGCATTTTTTTCTGCAACCTCTTCAGCCGAAGAGGTTGTAGAAAAAAAAATGCCTTTAAAAGCCTCTGACGATCCCAGCGGAGTTGCCTGATCGTCAGAGGCTTTTAAAAACATTTTTTTCTGCAACCTCTTCAGCCAAAGAGGTTGTAGAAAAAATGCTTTTAAAAGTAAAAAAAAAAAAAAAAGTTGGCCACACCCACCCAGTCACATTACCCCCCCACCAAGCCACGCCCACAGAACCAGTAGTAATAAATTTTAGATTTCACCCCTGCCTCACTCCCTTATCCCGCTTTGAGCAAAGACCACCCTCCCTCTTTTCCTCAGCATCTGGAGCTACAAGGAAAAGCATCCATACAGCTTTTACTCACCCTGTACCACATAAATATGGTTTTAAAGGCGTTTTCATTGGAGCAAGATCCACAGGACATGGTTACTACTTGAGAGAGGCCTTTAGGAGCCACCTGGCAGCGGAGAAGAGACACAAGTCTTTCAATTCAAAGAATCTGTTAAGGAACACTTTCATCATAACTGAGCATTGCAACAAAATGATGCTTCTTTTAAACCAACCCCCCCCCCAATTTTTTTAAAATTAGTCTCTATTGCCTAAGGATAAAAGTATGGAATCTTTAGGGTTGGAACTACCATTTATATACTATATACTATTCCAGTGGTCACCAACCAGTAGTCCATGGACCACTGGTGGTCCGTAGAAAAATTATTTGCATTTTTCAAAAAAAAATACAATATTTATTGAGTTTCCAAAAGTTAAAATACACAATACAAAAAAAAAAAGACACATTTTTTATATAGATAAATTTATAAATTTTATATAGATCTTTATTTATAAAGATAAATAAATACTATTTATCTTTTTAAAAAATTCATATTAGTGGTCCGCGGGATTTAAAATTATAAATTTAGTGGTCCCTGAGGTCTGAAAGGTTGGTGACCCCCTATTATTTTATATATACTCTATATATTGTATACTATATATAATATATATATATATATATATATTATATATAGTATACAATATATAGAGTATATATACTCTAGTATTATATACTGCACACCAGAACAAATAGACACAAGGACAGTTTTTTCCCAAATGCCATCACTCTGCTTAACAACTACTTCCCACAACACCATCAAACTATTTACTAAGTCTGCATTACTATTATTTTTCTCTTCCTTACTAGTATCTATCTCTTCTCACTTATTACTATAACCATGTTGCTTGTATCTTTCAATTTATATTGTTTTTACTTGTTTCCTAGTATGATTTGATAGCTTATTAGTAACCTTGACTATCACTAAGTGTTGTATCTTTTTATTCTTGATGAATGTATTTTATTCTCCTTATGTACACTGAGAGCATATGCACCAAAGACAAATTCCTTGTGTGTCCAATCACACTTGGCCAATACAAAATTCTATTCTATTCTGTTCTGTTCTGTTCTGTTCTGTTCTGTTCTGTTCTGTTCTACTCTACTCTAAACTACTCTACTCTACTCTACTCTACTCTACTCTACTCTACTCTACTCTACTCTACTCTACTCTACTCTAGTCCATGGACTCCATTCTACCCAAGGCAAGAATTCAAAAGAAAGACTCTTCAATTGATGTCAATCCAACTTCTCTTTGATCCTGAGAGTCCATCATCTCAAAGGTCATTGCTAAAATGCTCTCATTCTTAAAACACTTTTCTCAATGTAACCTTAGCCCTTATCCTGCAATCTGAGATGACAGAGAACTCATAATCGTCTTGTTCCGGGTGGCATCTTTTCAGATTTTTAAAAGAGGGCTATCATTCCCTTATCCTTGTTGTCCTTTTAAAATGCTAGACCTATCTAGTTGCCTCAGCCTCTCCTTGTATTTGCCAGCCCTGGAATTCTTATACTGGATACTAGATGTCAGTTTCATTGCTCCTTCTATGCTAGGAAAAAACTTACCGAGAGCAAAGATTCCCTTAGCTTTTCAGCAAAATTTTCTGGAGGCAAAATTCCTAGAGCAGGTCTGTTGACAAAAGCACTCTGAGTAAAGAAAAAAGAGAAGAAAAGAAAAGAAGAGGAAAGAGGAAAATGAAAGAAGAAAGAAGAAAATAGAACAGAAAAAAGAATGGACGAAAAAAACAGAAGAGAAGAGAAGAAAAAGGGAAGGAGAAAAGAGAAGACAAAAAGGGAAGAACAAAATAGAACAGAGAAAAGAAAAATGAGAGAAGAGAAGAAGAAAAGAGGAAAGAGAAAAATGAGAGAAGAAAATAGGACAGAGAAAAGAATGGAAGGAGAAAACAAAAGAGAAGAGAAGAAAAAGGGAAGGAGAAAAGAGAAGAGGAAAAGGAAAGAACAAAATAGAACAGAGAAAAGAAAAATGAGAGAAGAGAAGAAGAAAAGAGGAAGGAGAAAAATGAAAGATGAAAATAGGTCAGAGAAAAGAATGGAAGAAGAAAACAGAAGAGAAGAGAAGAAAAAGAGAAGGAGAAGGAGAAAAGAGAAGAGGAAAAGGGAAGAACAAAATAGAATAGAGAAAAGAAAAATGAGAGAAGAGAAGAGAAGTTTATCATGAATAGAACACAAACTTCTTATCTAAGGGTCAACCAAAAACACTTCATGGGTTGACCTTGATTGCCTTAAACAAAGAACACCCCCCCCCCCAATTTTGATGCTTGCAACCACCCTTCCCCCAAACCTGTAAGCCAACCAAGCTGTTTCTGGTATCAGAATTTAGCTGGAGTGGAAACTATTTGGGAGACTCTGCAGATGGGAAATGCTACTTATGACTGAGACCGCTTTGGTGTCCTCTAGATTTTGAACAGATTTTTTTTTTTTTTTTTTTTTTTTTTTGCCCTCCAGATCAGTGTTCCTCGACCCTGGCAGCTTTGAGGTGTGCGAACTTCAACTCCAAGAATTCCACAGCCAAGGTTGAGAAACACTGCTCTAAAACATTACTTGGGTTTAACTTATGTCTAAAAATCTAAAAGAAATATAACCAGGTTTTGCTGGGCCTTCAAAAAACTATTTCTTTTGTGACCCATCCTTGCCTCATCGAGAAAGATCCATCTTGCCATGGACATCCAGAGAAAAAGCTTCTAATCAGTCCAAAACCTTCTTCCAATACATGTATGAGGAGTTCACGTAACATGCTAACACCATTCATGTAAATAACACAGTTGTCTAGAGGGCATGTGGCTTGGTTCACATTACATGCCAATCCAGCACCTGGGGATCCCCAAATACTGAATTACAAGCTACCAAACCCATGTTAGCTTAGTCTAGCATGCTGCGAGCATCCTCCTTCCATTTCATACAATCTCTTTAACCATTCTTATCACACATATTATCTTTTGATTTCCATATTGGTTCATTCTTCAATGAAACTTTAAAATTTTAAAATATATTCGGAGTTGCTCTTCTACCATTCCATATCTCCCTTCTTCCACAACAACCATTCCTCTCCTTCTCCCCTCTTACCCTTCCCTCCCTTCTTCTATTCTCTTCAACTTCCTTCTTTCCTCCTCTCCTTCCCCTCCTCTCCTTCCCCTTCCTTTCCCTCATTCTTCCCCTCTTCCTAACCCTCTCTCCTACTCTTATTTCCCCTTCCTTTCTTCCTCTCCTTTTCCCTTTCTTTTCCTTCCATTTCTGATGCCTTGTTGGGAGGCTTTGTCCTACACACGCATTAGCTTGGCAGTGAAGAGCACTTGTGATGACACAAAGAATTTAAAACTATGATGGAGATTAGCAACCCCAGAAACCTTGGGGTAGCTCTTCAGATTTGCTCTTCTTTCTCTCCTCTTTGGCTGCCGACCACAAGATGGTTGATACGAGAACCAACCCAGAACCAATCAGGAAATGAGTTCATTTGGTCTCTCCTTGCTCAAGAGCAAGACAAAACCATTCATGCCAACTCCTGTAATTCTCAGCCATTCCCCTGGAAATGGCTTATTTTGGAGACTCACCCCCAAGCAGGTGGGGAGGCTCCTGGTTCCAGCCTCAGAGGCCCTGAGCAGTGGATAAACGGCCCTGGGAAAGGACAGGAAGACACTCTGGGATCTTGGGGAGAAGAAGGGAAGCTTCACAAACAGGCAATTTATGCACCGTTTTGGCAAATTTGGTACCTTCTGCAAAAGGTCACTTACCAGATTCTGGGGCTGCTGCAAAAGTTTGATCAGAGATGGGTGGCTGTAGCCTACAAGGAAACACAGGGGCCTTTATCATCTGCTTTCAAGAAATTTCAGCAACTTTCAGCCAAGAGAGGAATTTGGGAGGCAAGTTAAAAAAAGCATAGCAACTAGAGTGTTGAAGCGGGCAAGAGATGATGGATAGATGAGTCTCTTTTTTGTCATTGTTCTGATTTGCCTCTCCCTCTCTCTCTCTCTCTCTCTCTCTCTCTCTTTTAAAGGCATAGCAATTAGAGTATTTAAGTGGGCAAGATACGATGGATAGATGATTTCTCCTTTTTGTTCTGATTTATTTTTCTCTGTCGTTTTTTCTTTTTTTTTACTTTTAGGTGGGTGGCATGCTTAAAAATTAGATAAACTAGAAAGCAAAAGTCTTTTAATAAAGGGTGACAGGATTAAAAGTTAGAATAAGTGTTAGAAATAAGAGAAGGGGGAATATTAGTGTATACATTTTTATATAATAAAATAAAAGTAACAAGAAGATGGAACAACTGAATAACAATAAATTGCAACATAATATAAATGTGCATTATTAGAAAAATATAAGTTGGCTGAATGTAATAATTATGGTTAGTTTTATTAGTTTTACTTGTAATAGAATGTAAGACACCCAGGTGCCATGCTGTTCATGCATTGATTTGATATATTTGTAAAAAAATAAAAAACTTGGGGAAAAAAGGAAAGATATTTCAGCAACTTTCACATTCAATTGTCCCAAAGATGCTTCCCCCACCCCCCAAAAAAGCTGGGTTTTGTTTTTCCTTGAAGATGTTTGGCTTCTCATCCAACAAGCTTCTTCAGTTCTGACTGAATGGTGGAGGATGGAAGGATTTATATTCTTTGCAGTCATCTGGTCATTAGCACTCTCTCTGAGAATTGTTGAGGCCACTTGGAGGTTTATCTGTGTCCTCAGGGTCACCTGAATAGTGCAAATGGGTGTGGAACCTTCTTGGAACTGCTGAAAGGAATTGCATTGTAAACAAGAGATGGGTAACCCTAACCCTAACCCCCCCCACCGAGAAAGGGCTGTTCAATTTTAATGTAATAATAATAATAATAATAATAATAATAATAATAATAATAATAATATTTATTTCTATATCGCCCTTCTCCCGATGGACTCAGGGCGGTGTACAGCCAATTTAAAAACACAAGACACAACAATGATTAAAAATTAAAATAATTAAATAGATTTGGCTGGTTTAAAATCCCAAAAAATTAAAATACCCCAATTTAAAATCATTATGTTGATAGCCCAGCCTGGCGGAACAACAGGGTCTTCAATGCGCAACGAAACACCCGGAGGTCGGAGATCTTACGTATTTCCGGGGGCAGTTCATTCCACAGGGCTGGGGCTCCCACAGAGAAGGCCCTCCCCCTGGGTGTCGCCAGCCGACATATCTTGGCCGAAGGCACCCTGAGGAGACCCTCTCTGTGGGAGCGGACTGGCCGGTGGGAGGCTACTGGTGGCAGAAGACAGTCTCGAAGGTACCCGGGTCCTATGCCATGGAGCGCTTTAAAGGTGGTAACCAGCACCTTGAATCGCACCCGGAAGACCACTGGGAGCCAGTGCAGCTCGCGCAGGAGGGGTGTCACACAGGCACAACGAGTTGCACCCATAACCACCCGCGCGGCCGCATTCTGGACCAGTTGGAGCCTCCGAGTGCTCTTCAAGGGGAGCCCCATGTAGAGAGCATTACAATAGTCCAGCCGGGAGGTGACAAGGGCATGAGTGACCGTGCGCAAGGCGTCCCGGTCCAGAAAGGGCTGCAACTGGCGGATCAGGTGAACCTGATAAAAGGCCCCCCTGGCCACGGCCGTCATATGCTCTTCTAAAGACTGCCGTGCGTCCAGGAGGACACCCAGATTGCGAGCCCTCTCTGTGGGGGGCAAAGATTCACCCCCAATAGTCAGCGATGGCACCTGCTGACTATATCGGGACGCCGGCAGCCACAGCCACTCGGTCTTGGACGGGTTGAGTCTGAGCCTGTTCCTCCCCATCCAGACCCGCACGGCCTCCAGGCAGCGAGACATCACATCAAGGGCATCGTTGGGGTGGTCTGGGGTGGAGATGTACAGCTGAGTGTCGTCAGCGTACAGATGACACTTCACCCCAAAACCACGGATGATCTCACCCAGCGGCTTCACATAAATGTAGATGTCCTTTGACACCTTTCAAACCAATGATCTTCTCTCTATCTATCTACCATCTTCAAAGACATGACCTTTGTCTTTCAAATGCATATTTCAAATTAAATAGGGCAACCTTTTTACAACGCAGGACTGTACTTCCGATCGGTTCTGAAAAGTCAAAATTGCAGCAGGACTGAAAGTATGATAATATTTTTCTTGAGTGGCAGGTCAACAGTGGCTGAAAAAAAAGGACACCCAGCATCCTTCCAAAACTATCCTATCCTTAGAAGAGATTAAAAACTACAGCTGTTGTGGCCCGTCGGCTGCCAGCACAGCTAGCTGCAGAGTCAGACGAGGAGGAGGTGGCGGTTGAGGGAGAAACTGGGCCAGCTTCGGAGCCTTTGGAAAGCTTTGAAAAGGAAACAGCATCCGAGACAGAGTAAATCGGTGGGGAGGTAGCTGTCTTCAGGGGCTGAGCTGAGTGAGGGGGAGGAACACAAGGGGCCCCATCCCAGATGCACATATGCACAGAGAGGAGAGGAGAGCAAAGGAAATCAATAAGCCAGCTCTGAGGGAAAGGCAGACGTGGACGCTAGCCAGCCCCTTCCTGGCTGGGAAATAAATAGTAGAGGTTTGGGAGTGGCCGGTTGTTGCAGACAACAGTTCACTTTTAGGATACAGCAAGCAATTCAGATTTCTTGGCCAGGTCTGTTGGGACTAATTACGTTTGGTTTTTTGTTTATCCACGTGAAAAGACTGTTCCTACCCTGTTTGAAAAGGGGTTTGTTTGTATGCGCGAGCAAGCAGCTTATCATTATTTGGTAAGGCAGGGTCAGAACAAAAGCTACCTAAAATTGAAGACTTACTGATAAAAATTTGGTAGATTCAAAATCCCCCCATTTACCGTAATTTTTGGAGTATAAGATGCATCTTAGTTTTTGGGGAGGAAAATAAGAAAAAAGCTGATTGGCGGGTGGATCGGCCTCCCGGAATACCCCCAATCAGCTGTTCCCAGAGGTGAATTTTAGCAACAGGTTCCTTGGTTGTGAGCTGTGTGCCTTGCCTTTATTTTCTGCCTATGAAACTTCTGAAACTCTGTTTCAGAAAAAACTTTTTTTCCTGCCTCTGAAAGACTCCGAAACCGAGTTTCAGAAAAAAGGCCTCTGAAGCTCTGTTTGGAGGCTTTTTTTCTGAAGCTCTGTTTGGAGGCTTTTTTTCTGAAGCTCTGTTTGGGGGCTTCTTTTCTGAAGCTTCTTTTCTGAAGCTTTTTCAGCCTCTGAAACCTCCATTTGAGAAGCTGGGTAGGGCAACATTCGGAGTATAAAATCACCCAGATTTTCACCCTCTTTTTTGGGGGAAAAAGGTGCGTCTTATACTCCAAAAAATACAGTAGTTTCATCTGAATTGCCTTTTTTTTTTCAGGAGCTCACATGAAGCTTTTCCCCTGAGAACAAGGCTCTCCAAACCCAGTGACTCTTTCGGTGCCATTGTAATTTTGAACGGTCACTAAATGAATGTCAAGGACTACCTGTAGTACCTTGTTCCTGTCTATAACTCTCAATTTGTCAAACTAATCTTTGGTGTGGCTCTTGATCCCGAAAAGGAGAATTTGGGGCTTATGGCTGCCCGCCGTTGCTCCAGCTGAGTTCCGAAACCTTGCAAAGATTCCAAAAAAATTCTTACCAATCGGGATGGATGAAATCTGAGAGTAGAGATCCAACATCCGGTTTCCATCAACATCCACAAGATAATTTCCTCGGCTTTCTTCGTAGTTGCAGAAAAAGTGGACTGCCTCGGCGTTCTGAGAGAAACAGATGAAACAAGCTGAGATTTCCTGGCGCGACGCCAAAGTTGAGAATCAAGCAAAATAAGCCACGATTTAGGCTGGAAAATAGGAAACTCTGGATGGTTTCCCATTTCTGTAAATCGTTTTTCTGTAGACATGCTTGTCTTGGAAAGACAAGGGAATTCTGGTGGTTTGGCATTTGGGGATTAAAAAGGGGGTAAATAGTCTGGGGAAAACTTTAAGAGGACAACTACAGTTGTATGTTTCTGCTTTTCTTTTTTTCAAGTTCTCTCGGGTTTTTTTATTGCTTAGTTTCTATCTTAGTTTTTGTTTGTTTTGTACATTTTATTATAGTGAAAAATTATATAGTAAAGGTAAGGGGATTCTAGGATTGTCTTATTGCTATGCGAGCCCCATTTACAGAATTTTTAAATGGAAATGAATTTGAAAAGATCAGTAATGCAATAGCGTGCCCATTTTACAGAAGAGGCCAGCTGAAGCTAAATGCAATTAGCAGTTCGTGCAAGACCATCCATTGCATTTTTCATTGCACTCACTGAGCCAAGGAATGCATTGGGCATATGTGTTTCTGTTCCCCGTCCTTTTGTCTTGCATTTGTGTGTATTGGGGCGCACCAGGAAACAGGGCAGGCTGCATTCATTCATTTACTGGGCCATGTGACCAAGGAGGAGGGGCACTTGGAATTCCAAATCTATGTCCAAGTGCCCTTCCTATCAGGATGCATTGGGGAATTTTTGCAGGATTATTTATTAATTTGTTTATGTATTTATTTATTTAATTTCACCTACAGATCCCCTTATTTTTTTCCCTGCAGCACCCAGTTATATCCAGATATCCAGAGTATTTATTTGCCACCATCTGCCGTGGCCCTGCAGATACAAAACAGGCATACGTATGTCGCTTAGCAGCCTGCCATTCATACAATTTTGTGACAGCGGCCAGTATTTGAAGGGTAGAAGACTTGAGATGTTTTTCAAATGGAATCTGGAGAAATTACCTGAATTACATTCAACTCTTTCATTAGTTCCTGAAAGAAGAAGAAAGAATATTATTATACAGATTGACTAATCGAAAAATCAGGGAATGAAACTTTCCTGTACAACCTATTCAACTTTTTTGGTTTCTCTTTTTTATTTTACTTCATTCAACCCTGGGAAGTACAAAGGGCATTTAAATGTCATGATTTAACCAGAGCGCCAGTTTGGACCAATGGTTAAGGCATCAGGCTAGAAAGCAGGAGATGGTGAGTTCAAGTTCTACCTTTAGCCATGAAAGCTGGCCAGTCACTCTCTCTCTCAGCCCAACCCACTTCACAGGGTTGTTTTGGGGAGAATAGGAGGTGGGTTGGATACGTTTGCTGCCTTGAGTTATTTTTAAAAATAATAAAAGGATACAAGATAAATAATAAATAAATCTAAAGTATAAAAAAATAACAGAGCTGTAAAGGATCTTGGAGATCTTCTAGCAGGAGACCCTATACCATTTCAGACAAATGGCTGTCCAGTTTCTTCTTAAAAACTTCCAGTGATGGAGCACCTACAACTTCTAAAGGCAAAATCCATGTTATCCCAAATCCATAAATACTAGAAGTATTTTTTTAAATAGGAAGATGTATTAGGTATCTTCGCCACCTTGAGTTATTTATAAAATAATAAAGGCAGGATGTAAATAAAATCATATAAAACTAAACTAAACTAAACTAAACTAAACTAAACTAAACTAAACTAAACTAAACTAAACTAAACTAAACTAAACCTAAACCTACTAAACCTAAACCTAAACCTAAACCTAAACCTAAACCTAAACCTAAACCTAAACCTAAACCTAAACTATAAAATAAAATAAGGATTATAATGATAAAACAGTCTTCCAGAGTTTGCTTTCATCTCCATGCCATGGGAATTAAAGTCCCATGATTGGAAAATTGGACTCTTTTATTAAACAGAAAAAAATGAAATTATAACCATCAGATTTGATGATTAGAAAAACAATGTAGAGAATAGAAAAACAAGGAAAGCTACGATATAAATTTAGCGTTAAGAGTTTCGTGTAAATTTATACTTGTGTCTGCTGTAAACGAAAGTAGGAGATCGTTTATACTTGTTTTTCCTTCATTTTCTTTCTCCACTTCTGGCTTTGCTTTGCTTCTCTCTTTCTTTTACTTTAATCATTAGTTTGTGTTTGTTTTTATTTCTTTATTTGAAAATCTAATAAAGTTATTTAAAAAGAGGAATTAAAATCCAACCACAAAGTCAAGGAAGGACTTTTAAGGAGTGTTCAATCTCTTGTATTCTACCCCCACCACCGACCCCAAAAAAATTGGAGATAGTGATAGTGGGGTGGTAGGAGTATTAAGGATGGACATCCTCATCTTGACTTACCCTGGATCTTGGCCCAGGGACTTCCGTCTTCATCAGTGGCCCATCATAGTCAAATTCCATGTCAATTTTAGCTGCCACTTGGCTGATACCTCGGAGTCCTGCAAACAAACAAACAAAAAAATGAATTAAAAAAGTGACTCTAGGAAGGACATCCAAGAAGGGACCTCTGTATGTACCTGGAGAGTATAGCATTGCAAGATATATACTTGATGAATGGTGTATAAAAATAACTTGGAATATTAACAGATCCCCTCACACTAGCTGTTCTTAAATGCTTCTGATCTTTAAGACATGATTACAGATTGAAACCCAGTTTGTTCTCTTTTCCCCAAATAATTGTATTAAGAATTATACATGAAAATAAAAGCTAATACAGGCTACAAAAATGTAAACAGAAAAATACAAAATAAAAGAGAAAAATAAAAAAGAACTACTTTTTCCCTTCATCCCAAGAAGTATAAACCATTTTAATAGTTTATCACCCTTTCTAAATACACCATATACTCTCTTCTCCCCATAGCTCATCTCTTGACTAAAAAAAAACATCCAAATGTTTTATTAATCATTTTTGTTAGCAAAAGTCTGGTAAGGGCAACCAGAGATCATTATTTTCTTTGTTTAGTCCTGATCAAATAAACCAAGCTTGTATTCCTTCCTTGAGTTTTCAAAAAATATTCTTTAATCCTCTCAAATAAAATCCCAAAGCTAAATTTCTGTTCGTCTGTTTCAAAGTAAGGATCTTTCAAAGCTTTAAGAGATTTATTTAAATCCAGTAAGTTTGTGACCTGTGACTTCTAATAAAGTCCTCCAAAACGTTAAAAAGAGCTCTTTTGTATATTCAATAAACAACCGACAAATCAGTTTCTTGGTTCAGTATCTGTGCAACTTCTCAAATCATCCCTCAGTTCCATTTGTGTTACATTTCGGAGTGATTTCGTAAACATGCATTGACCCTTGTTCTTGCTTTATAACTTCACTGAAACCTGTTCTGTCCATCTTGTCAAGAGAAACTTGGTAAAAAACAAAATATTCAAAAACTTGTATTATAAATTTCTGCTCCACTTACTTCATCCTCTAGCCTCTTCTTCTTCATCCAAGGTCTCCTTATCGTAAAAGTATCAAAACAATGGCCATTTTCTCATGAGAAAATTTCTTCTAATTAAGTCAAAGATGTAGTTTTAAATCTTGCTGGTCCCTTAATCTATTAAATTTCCAAAGTCGATATATAGCCAGGATCTTTTTGTTGCAGTCCAAAAAAAAAAAAAAATCCTGCATTTTTAAAACTTGTAAGGTCAAATTTATACCATCATCCTATGGTATGTATAATACCATTATACTATGGTGGGGGGAACCAGATTTCCAGTTGGCTCCAGAATTGAACAGGGGGCTTCCAGTTAGGACCTTTGTGGCTCTTTGAGTGTTTAAAGTTGCTGATCTCTGACCTATAGGTAGTTTTTTTTTTAATATTACATACACAATTCTTTTTTGGTACATTTTATGGCTATCAAATCGAATGCCCTTAAAGTAAAAGAAGAAGACGACCAAATGCCCCCTTCGCCCCCAGGAAAATAAGGAAGAGGAGAAAATTTGTGGGATTTTTCCAGGAAATTGCATCATCAGCCAAATGTGCTCGGTCATTTGAACAGCTAGAAGAGCAACCATCGGTCAGGAACTTTCTCAGCAAGTAAACAGCTCTTAACATGCAGCCTGGGAACATGAACTTTATTTATAAAACGTTTCCAGGATAACGTCAGATGTGACTGAGGGCAAACAAGATGCAGGAGATTGGCGCCCACTCAGAGTAATGCTTTCCCTAGCACGGGGATACTCACACCAAAATAATCATAATGATTATCTAAAACTGTACAACGAACCGAAACCATCCCAGGGGAACCGAACCAGAGTTGCTTACACAATGCTGCACACATTCCCTGGGTGCAAGGCAGAACAGCTACAGGGAGCTGAAGAAAGATCGTGACCCCAACCCCGAGAGAAGCTACCCAATCATTCAGATGTGCAATGAAGGCTAGTTAGCCAAGGGGAAGAGTAAACTGGGTCTCTCCTTGAAGGATTTTGAAACACGAAGGATCTGGGGTAGGCAAGGCCATGCTTTGAGACGACCGTTTTGGGGAGTCACCTAAAAGTGTTGGAAACAATGCAATGGTTGTTATGTCTTCTGTAGCTTCTGTTTAAATGATCAGAACGGGGCTCAGAAAGGAGGTAGACAGAGGATGTATAGAAGGCATATTTCATAATCTACAATTTTTTAAAACTTTAAGCAGCCCAGAGTAATTGATTGAGATGGGTAGCTATAGAAACGATAGATAGATGATAGATAGATAGATAGATAGATAGATAGATAGATAGATAGATAGATAATAGACGATAGACAGATGGATTAGATAGATAGATAGATAGATAAATAGATAGATAATCATAGACAATAGATAGATTAGATAGACAGACAGACAGATTAGATAGATAGATATAGATGATAGATGGATGGATGGATGGATGGATGGATAGATTAGATAGAGAGAGAGAGAGAGAGAGAGAGAGAGATCATAGATAGATCATAGACAGATGATAGATAAATAAGATTAGAGAGATAGATTAGCTAGATAGATAGATGAATGCATGGATGAAAGACAGACAGATAGACAGACAGACAGACAGACAGACAGACAGCCAATAGACAGACAGACAGACTCCCAATGCGCCAGAAAGCAAGGATGGAAGCTAATGAAGGAGAGAAGCAACCTGGAATTAAGGAGAAACTTCCTAACAGTGAGGACAATTAACCAGTGGAATAGCTTGCCTTCAGAAAGTGTGGATGCTCCATCACTGGAGGCTTTTAAAAAGAGACTGGACAGCAGGGCTGAAATCCTACCGGTTCAGGCGAACCACTAGGGATTATGGGCATCAGTTCGCCGAACCGGTAGTAATTACCCTTTCTTGCCCCCACACATGCTCGGCCGGTCGCCGCTCACCTCTTCCGGCCGCTTGATATTCCACAGAATTCAATGTTAAATGCAGCAGAGAGAATGCTAACTTTTCTCCCTCCATTCAGAATGGAGCTGCTGCAGCCTGTCCTTTTAAGATAGTCCCCGGGAGGGAGGGGGCCAGGAGGGAACCATAAAGGGAGCAGCAACTCCGTTCTGAATGGAGGGAGAAAAGTTAGCCTTCTCTCTGCCACAGAATTCAATGTTAAATGCAGCAGAGAGAATGCTAACTTTTCTTCCTCCATTCACAAGGGAGCTGCTGCAGCCTGTCCCTTTTAAGATAGTCCCCAGGAGGGAAGGGAGGGGGGGGGGAGCAGCTGGAATGGAGCAGTTTTTGTGAAAGGCAGGAAAATGGGAAAGGGGATTTTCCTGCCTGTTATTCATTCCTCAATCTCAGCACAGATTGAAGGAAGGATGATAGGCAGGAATATTCCCCTCCCCATTTTCCTGCCATTCGCGACAAGGAGTGGCTGGGGGGGGGAGGGGCCAGTGATGAGCCCCTTGATGTGAGTGATGTCGAGTTGGCCACGCCCACCCAGTCACGCCCACAGAACCGGTAGGGGAAATTTTTTAATTTCACCCCTGCTGGACAGCCACTTGTCTGAAATGGTCTAGGCCTAGGGCCTCGGGCTTGAGCAGAGGGCTGGACTTGCTCCAAGGTCCCACCCAAGTCTGTTATTCTGTTTTTTTATTTATCTCACCTGGAATCTCCCAAAATGTTATTGGTGCATAATATACTTTATTTTATTCCCGTATTTGAATCATGTTGATGCCAGATGGTTTTATTGCTGATTGTGTCAGCTAACTGTTCTTATGGAAAGTTTTTGTCCAGGGCTCCTTTTGAGTGGTACAAAAATAAATTAAGCTGATTTATTTTCATTTTGTTCTGGGGATCTGAAGGCACTGTAGGTGTTCCATGGACTCCCATATTTATAGCTACTGCTATATGCTTTTTAGGACCACATATGACATTTTCTCTTGATGGCCCACAAATTGCAACATCCAAGGGTGTTTATTTCATGTTGGCCTCAACCCTCTGCCAAGATAGCTATTCATATATTCAGAGAACAGAAGTCTGGCTGAACGGGGCCAGGTGTCCCACTGTGATTTAGAGCCTAAGGCAGTGTTTCTCAAGCTTTAAAATGTGTGAACTTCAACTCCTAGAATTCCCTAGTCAGCATTTGTTGAAGTTCACACATTTCAAAGCTGCTAAGGTTGAGAAACACTAGTCTATAATAACGGAGTAAAGAACTCCGTTATTATAGAGGTCTAAATCAACCTCTGATGTTCTCTTCTTCAGAGCTGAAGAAGCTTCTTGGATGAGAAGCGAAACGTCTTCAAGTGAGAAAAAAAACAAAGTCCAGTTTCCTTTTGAAAAAAGCACCTTTGGGTCATTGAACAAAATAACATAATAATCATCCAATTCTTTCATTCGTGCAAGGTTTTTTCTAATAGTTTTCTTCTTAAAAAACCCCAAGGTCTTTCCCACAGTACAGTTTAGAAAATAAGTGTGCTAGGCTATGAAAACTTTAAAAAGCTTTCTTATGTATATATTATATATATATGTACCAAATTTATATTTGCTGATAAAGAAAATAAAGGGAGACTAGTATAGATCTATTTCAAGCTATTTAACTCCTCTCATCAGCTAGCTATACCCTTGCTCGGATTTGAACTTGGGTTACCTGCATATTAGGCAGCTGTATTAACCTCTGAACCACAAGTTCTCCTCCCTTTAACAGCTTGAGCCAGAGGAGAGATTAATATAATTAATATAATATATAAATTTGGTATAAAATGGTTTGTCGTGAATGCGACTGCTTGAGGCTCCTGGATTGGAGCTGAAAGGCGAAAGGGAAGCAGTATGCTCCCTCCCATATTGGGGTAGATCAGGTGCTTCGACAGAAAAACGCTTAATTATATATATGTATATATAAACAAGTGAAGAAACAATGGATGGAAACTAATCAGGAGAATTAAGGAGAAACTTCCTAACAGTGAGAACTATTAACCAGTGGCCTTCAGACACTGTGGCTGCTCCATCACTGGAGGCTTTTAAGAAAAGACTGGACAGTCACTTGTCTGAAATGGTAGAGGGTATCCTGCTTGAGCAGAGGGGTAGACTAGAAGACCTCCAAGGTCCCTTCCAGCTCTATTTTGACTGAATATGTTTCGGTGTCCTTTTTTTAATGCACATTTTAAAATATCTTGTTTGAATTTATTTTGTCAGAGTGTGCCCAGTGTGACTATTTTGAGACAACCCAGGAGCAAAATACAGTAAACGGGTTTCTCTTTCAAATAGTGGTTACAAGGAATAGGGACGCGGTGGCTCAGTGGCCAAGACGCTGGTTTGTCGATTGAAAGGTCGGCAGTTCAGCCGTTCGAATCCGTAGTGCCAGGTAACGGGTTGAGCTCCCGTTACTTGTCCCAGCTTTTGCCAACCTAGCAGTTCGAAAGCAGGTAAAAACTGCAAGTAGAAAAATAGGGACCACCTTTGGTGGGAAGGTAATAGCATTCCATGCACCTTTGGCGTTGAGTCATGCTGGCCACATGACCACAGAGACGTCTTTGAACAGCGCTGGCTCTTCGGCTTTGAAACGGAGATGAGCACCGCCCCCTAGAGTCGGGAACGACTAGCACATATGTGTGAGGGGAACCTTTACCTTTTTATACAAGGAATATATACATGCAGGTAGTAGGTAAAATTAGGCAATCAATCATCAGCTATAGCACAGAAGCACACACCGAGAGAGAGAAGGCCCCAACAAACCACTCTTATAATACAGTCTCTTAACATTGTGAAGAGTCAAATAACCCTGTTGACTCATTACTACCATTGCATTATCGTTACAGCATTACAGTATTACAGCAGTTGGTCAGCTATTAAATCAACATTACCCTGACATATTTTACTTCTGTAAAAATGTTTTGTTTTTGGAGTTTTATCTTTTAACTAAACATCTAGCTATCTATCATCTATCGATATCGATATATAGCTATAGATATATGGATATACAGGTAATTCTTGACTTACAACAATTCGTTTAGTGACTGCTTAAAGTGACAGCGGCACTGTAAAAGTGACATGATCGATTTTCACACTTATGACTGTTGCAGCATCCCCATAGTCATGTGATCAAAATTCAGGTGCTTAGCAACTGACTCATATTTATGACGGTTGCAATGTCCTGGGGTCATGTGATCCCGTTTTGCAACCTTCTGACGAGCAAAGCCAATAGGGAAAGACGATTCACTTAACAACAGATTCACTTAACTGTGTTAAATTACTAACTTAACAACTGCAGTGATTCACTTAACAACTGTGGCAAGTAAGGTGCTGTGGCCCGCCAGTGGCCAGCGGATCTGGCAGCAGATTTGGACAGTGAGGAGACTGGGGAGGAACATGGGTCAGTCCCGGAGTCTGGGGAAGGCTCTGATGAGGGTTCTGTGTTGGAGGCAGAGAGGGGGCTAGGGCCGGATGCCAGTTATCAGCTGCCTTTGGAGTCAGACATCAGAGAGGCAGACAAACAGCTGGAGCCTGTTCCCAGTGTGCGCATGCGCAGAGGCCACAGGTGGACGATGAATGGCTCCTCTCAGAGGGAATAAAAGAGGAGCGAAAGGGGAGTGGAGTTTGCAGGAGACAATTAGTTCATTCCTGCATTCTTGCCAAGTATTGTGGCATCTGTAAGATATCGGCCTGGCTACTCTCCAAGCCTGATAAAGGTCGGTAATTGTGAACCATCTTGAAAGACTGTGGGAGAGGAAAGACTTTGCTGGAAAGGAATTCACTGTAAATTAAATAAAAGGGGTTTATCGGGATGAGGACTAGGCTTTGTGCTGCTGGGGAAGCCTTGGTCAGAACATAAGGTCATAAATTGGGGCAAAACACAGTCAATAACCGTGTCACTTAACAGCAGAAATTTTGGTCTCGTAAGTCGAGGACAACCTGTATAGATACTGTATATAGATATATAAACTTTTTTTTCCTGTCCCACTCACCTCCTGCAAATATCTTGGAACTCTGCTGCAGTGCCCATGTTGTGTGCCGATTGAGCAGCATCAGGGCCATTGTATTCAATAGGATTTTTCTTCAATCACAAAATGAATGTATCTTCTCGCCTCTAGCTAATGACCTGGAAAGAGAAAAAGGCAAAATTACCTCCCTGGAAACTTCCGCAATAATTTTAGCATGGAAGACCAGCAAAACATGGACTCTTCTCTTAAAAAAACACACCTCTAGGAAGCCTCTAGATCTCAAGAGTCTGGTTTGCAAAACCAACGAATCAGTAAATGGTGCATTTGTGGCCAAATATGTCTCTGGTTGCAATTTTCTAAGCTTCAGCTGGTTACTGAAACGTTTCTGTCTTGTCTTTGGCCAAAGCTTGAACTACAAATGAACCAAACCAGACCACACCTAGTGTGCTGCATCCAGTCTTGGTCACCACACTATATAAAAGATGTTGAAACTCTAGAAAAAGTGCAGAGAAGAGCAACCAGGATGATTAAGGGACTGGAGGCTAAAACATTATGAAGAACGGTTAACTGGGCATGGCTAGTCTAGTGAAGAGAAGGACCAGGGGAGACATGATAGCAATGTTCCAATATTTGGGGGGCTGCCACAGAGTGGAGGGGGTCAACCTATTTTCCAAAGCACTGGAAGGCCAGACAAGGAATAATGGATGGAAACTGAACAAGGAGAGATTCAATCTTGAAATAAGGAGGAATTTTCTGACAGTGAGAATAATCAACTGATGGAACAGAAGTTGCCTTTGGAATTTGTGGGAGCTTCATCACTAGAGGCTTTCAGAAGACATTGGACTGCCACCTGTCAGAAATGATGTAGGGTCTCCTGATTGGGCGGGGGATTGTACTAGATGACCTACAAGGTCCCTTCCAACTCTTAATCTGTTAAACCAATGGAACAGAAGTTGCCTTCAGAAGTTGTGGGAGCTTCATCACTGGAGGCTTTCAAGAAGAGACTGGACAGCCATCTGTCAGAAATGGTGTAGGGTCTCTTGCTTGCGTGGGGGGTTGAACTAGATGACCTACAAGGTCCCTTCCAACTCTGTTAATCTGTTAAATTGTTGGACTTGCCCACAACTTGTATCATTAAGTAAAAACAATCCTTGGCTCATTGAGAAAGGCATCAGTGGTGGATTGCTACCGAATTGGGCGAATCGGTAGCAGCGGTGGCGGGAGGCTCCGTCCACCTGCCCAGACGCTTCTGCGCATGCACAGAAGTGTTGCGCACATGCGCGAGCACCCACAAGCGAACCAGTAGTGACGGGTTTTGAAACCCGCCCCTGAAAGACATAGCTTTATTAGAGAGCACAGGTGTTGCAGCATTGCAAAGCCATAACTGAGAATCGCGTGCCAAAATACCCAAGTTCTACTTCTCCCTCCCTTCACTGTCTCTCACTGCCCACCCCAGTATCACCAATCAGTTTCAGGTAAGAAGTTTTCATAACGGTCAATCCAAATGCAGTTTGTTATGCAGCTCCCTTTTTCTTTCTGCTTGGTAACCTTGAGGCATCGTCTCAGGAAATGCAGGAAATTCGTTTCCCCAAGCCTTCCGCTCTTCATTCCTCCCCATCGTTCATGCCAGGCTGTCACTGCAGAGCAGCGAAGCACAAGCAAGCAGCTGACACAAATGGTGGTTCAGCCTGTTCTTGAAAACCTCCAGTGATGGAGCACCCAGAACTCTGGGAGGCAAGTTGTTCCATTGATTAATTGTTCTCACCAGTCAGAAAATGTTTTCCTTCCTTCCTGGTTGGATCTTTCTTTAATAATCTTATTATTCTGCTATCTTCCACCCACTGTTTCTCATCTGGGCCCTCTTATGATTTGGAAGAAAAAGTCAAAAGGAGATTAATGGCCCTGCTGTGCTGAATATTTTCCACTCATTCTGTTCCTGCTCATTCAGCTGGATGAGAGTTAGTTTTGAAAACGTATTTCCATGTTTAACATTAGGTTATGAGGTAAAATACAAAATACAAAAGTAAATAGGAAGACACAGTGGGGGTGGGGGTAGGCAGTGGTGGGATTCAGCCAGTTCGCACCTATTCGGGAGAACCGGTTGTTAACTTTCTAAGCAGTTCGGAGAGCCGGTTGTTGGAAGAAATATTATATTGTTTTTTTTCCACTTTACAGGGCTAATCCTGTAAGGAAGGCAGGAAGGAAACATTCTGGTGTTGTTTCTAGCTTAATCTTTATTGCCTTGTTTACAGAAACTGCCTCTCTGGTTAACCCTTATTACATTGAAACAGCTAAGGCGAAGCGCCCATTGACGTGACGTTGAGTTGGCCATGCCCACATGGCCACATGACTACTGAGCCACGCCTACCCAGCTGGTCAGAGAACTAGTTGTAAAATTATTTGAATCCCACCACTGGGGTAGGGGGAGAGAAAAGTGAGGAGAAAAGAAATGTTGACGTCTGACTCCCTCAGTTGTGGTTAAAAAAAAGAAGCATTAACATCAAACCACAACATTTTGTTTTTCCATAATATAAACTAGCCATTTCTATTTAAAAAAAAAACATATCAATCTCATCCGCAAAACCCCAAATCAAAGTTTCATTTTTTTCCGCACTTCGAGAACAAAGTTCAGAAACGGGCTCCACGTGGAAACAAAGGTACTTATATTTATTTACTTATTTATTTATTAGTTCAATTTATATGCCGCCCTTCTCCATAAACTCAAGGCGGCTTACAATGCATTATAGCAATAGCCTGCATACTTTTTTGTATATACCTGCTTATTAGGGCTTTCGGCCCCCCCCAAGCAGTGTTGTTCTATACAAAGTCAGCTTATTGCCCCCACAATCCGGGTCCTCAATTTACCTACCTCGAAAGGATGGAAGGCTGAGTCAACCTTGAGCCTGGCGAGATTCGAACTTGCACTAATTGCAGGCAGCTGGCAACTAAGTGCTAGCACTTAACAGCACTTTAGTCCGCTGCATCACCGAGGGTCTTGATTCTTTCCTTTAACCTAAATTGGTCAATTTAGCCATTTATAGAGTGGCATTAGTACCTCCCTTGATCTTGATTGTATCCCTCTGTAAATGCAATTTAGGATTGCATTGGCTTTTTTTGGCTGCCACTGCACACTGTTGGCTCATATTTAGCTGGTTGTCCACTAAGCATGGACAAATGTGTCATCCCATATTTGAGTGAGATGACATAAGGTCTCTTGCCTTGAGCAGGGAGTTGGACTAAAAGACCTCTAAGGCAGTGGTGAAATCCAAATTTTTTTACTACCGGTTCTGTGGGTGTGGCTTGGTGGGCATGGTGTGGCTTGGTGGGTGTGGCAGGGGAAGGATACTGCAAGATCTACATTCCCACCCTACTCTATGGCCAGCCAGAGGTGGTATTTGCCGGTTCTCCTACCGTGGTTCCCCGAAAAGATGACCCTGTCTTATATTTTTTTGAACCCCGAAATAAGGACTTGGCCTTATTTTCTGGGAGGTCTTATTATTTGGGGAGGGCTTATTTTTGGCAGGAGGCTTATTTTAGCGCATGCACTCAAAAGCCGGATTGGGTTTATTATCAGGGAAGGTCTTATTTTCAGAGAAACAGGGTAACTACTCAAAATTTCCGCTACCGGTTCTCCAGAACCTATCAGAACCTGCTGGATTTCACCCCTGCTCTAAAGTTCCTTCTATCCCTATGATTCTATGTGCTATGCTAAAAACAACTGTCCCCAGGATTCTTGGCAGAAAATGCAACAAAAATAAATACGAAACATAAATAACCTGAACTGGTCAGCCAAGAATCTCCAGGACCAGAAATGCAGAAGGAATTTCAAACCCAGCTTTCCAGGATGGAGCTTCTAGTATTTTTCATGTTGTTTTTATGATTCTACGTTGCTAGAATTTCATGACGGGCGATTCCCACTTTCAGGTTGCAGCATTACCTCATGTTCTCAAAAAAAAAACCCTGAATTTAAATCCGTTGCTCAGCTACAGGCAATTTTCATCATTTGTAAATCCTTTGGCTGCCGCTGTTTAAAACCACTCAGCCTTGGATTAACATCAATACAAGGCAGTGAATTTAAAACACTTAATTAAAATGCTAGAAACATCCCCCCGGTGCTCCTCTCTACCCGTTTAAAAAAAAAAAAAGCGACCGCAAGCAAAATTCAGTCAACAAGTCCAAATTCAAATTCAAAAACGCTCTCATGGACTCCGATGACAAATAAGCACGTTCAAAACTTCCTCCTTAAATTAAAAACTAGATTTTTATTTATTTATTTATTTTTTGGCAGCTGCTCAGGTTAATTTTACAAACAAGCACACCAATTTAAAAGGCTAGTTTGGGTTTTTTTCTTTGCTTTTTATCTTCTAAGAAGATGCAGCTTGCTTCAAGTGTTACAGTCATATCGGAAACCCCATATTTCAAAGCATATTTTCTGGTTAAAGAAATGCAGCAGCATCATAAGCCACACTAACTATGCACCAACCGCAGCTCCGTGCAGAAGGCATTCCTGCCGGCCCGAACAAATCTTGAAAAACCACAGAGGTTTGCAAGCAGCTTGCATTTATTTTTACAGTAGCCGTTTCCTGCCTAACTAAATCTTGGTGTAGGTCAGATGCAGTTCAACTGCTGGAAATCGGAATTTCACCTACTACACTGATTCAACTGGTTGACGCTACATCTTACGATTCTTCCTCGGGGTTCATTCCAACGGGGTTACCCAATACATTTAGTTCTTGAGTTAGGATCATAACCAGTGGTGGGATTCAAATAATTTAACAACCGGTTCTCTGCCCTAATGACTGGCTGGGTGGGTGTGGCCATGGTGGGCGTGGCCAGGGGTGTGTGACAGGCAGTACTCGGCCTCCTGCAACCCCTGGGAGCAAAAACGGGCCACATGGGGGTGGGGTGTGGAACACGCCACCCCCGTGCCCCGTTTTGGGCCTAGTAGGCCTCCCTGCACTTACCTGAGAGCCAAAATGGGGCATGTGGGGACTCCTGGAAGGGGCAGGGCCAGCCAGCAATTTCTCCCGAACCGGCTGAATCCCACCACTTATCATAACTGAGCCCAAAATTTATATTATGAAATGAAACATTGGTTAAGTGCCCCATTTTAGGACATTTCTCGCCACAGTTCTTTACACGAATCCTTGCATCGGTT